TAAAGCCAATTTTAGACAACTTATATTTCTGATAACTTTGGCTTCAGATTCCAGTGCTAATTTTCTTGGTAAGAACCTTGTAATTCTTGTTTGAGTGCATTTTGTTCAGAGAACCAGAAAATTTTTGTGACTTGTATGTAAGAGCATTTACCTCAAATAGATATCTCATTTAAGTTAGAAGTTTTATTAATATTAGGCTAATACTTGCGCATATGCACGGGTTATTTTTATCTACTTGATATTAAATTTAGGAAGTGTTATTGGTTCTTGTATTTTAATGGATTTGAGAATCCAAACCAAATTCAGTGTTATTGGTTCTTGTATTTTAAAATTTATATTGAAATACAGTGTTATTGGTTCTATGATTTTAAAATCCATAATGAAATACAGTGTTATTGGTTCTATCATTTTAGAATCTAAATATTATAAGGATTTGAGTTTTAATTGAATTTGGATGGATTTGGAAGGATTTTCATGACTAAAATACAAAGACCCAAATACAAGGTCTAACCTTGGTATTTGAGTGGATTTGATTTTTTTTCAATTTTGCTGATTTTGAAATCAATAAATTTATCAAATCCAAAGAAGATTTATAAATCCACCAAAATACAAGAACCAATAACCTTTAAAGAAAACGAATCTCCCAAATGTTAAATTTTTTCAAAAGATCCTACAATAGTTATCGAACACTACATGTAATTTAATCGACTATACATTGTAAATTTACAAAAAACTACTCATATGGATGGTATGGTTCCAACACTATGGGATGAAGCCACCAACAACACTGAGCTGATGCTGGAGCCATCTTCCATGGCCCTTAACCACTACGTGTTAAGCCATGTCGTCTCCCAATGTCTCTTAAAGCTACGTCCATGTATTCTCTAAATATCTTGTAATTTGAATAGAGAGACCCCCTACTACTTATTGCATATTAGAAGTGTTATAACATATGGTTAATATGCGTCTATGCTACACAATGAGCTTTAAGTTTTTGTGTCATTTCTAAACTTTAAATTAATGAGCTTTTCTTAAAATGAATCGCCGGTTTGTTGATGGAGATTTAAAAAATTGTCTTGTAATTCATATTGGTATTTTTCTTTAGTCAACAAAGATATTTTATAACATACTTATTTTCCATCAATGGAGGAAATGTTTACAAAACGCAATAAAAAGTCAAATCGATAAAAGAAATCGATGCAATAACAGCAAATCGGAGAGCTAACATAAAAAAAAACAGAAGCAAACATAACATTAACAGCACTAAAGACATGGATAAATCTTCTAACATCAACACCAATAGTGTTAATAAAATGAGATGCAGCAATGAAGCTTAGAAAGCATAGCTAGTGAAATTGCAACACAAAGTGCAAAAATAAGATAAAGATAAATAGAAAAGAAGAGAATAACAAAACTTGATACATCATATAACAAGTCTGCTATCTCATTTAGACCTCTTTCCCAAAACGAGGGAGAAAGCAAGGACATGTGAGTCTATTAATAATTATAGCAAGATACTACTTGCAAAATCTGAATTCTCGAGCGCCAACCAAAGAACAAAAGCTTCATGAAATAGGAGCTGCACATGTGAATGGGAGTTTTCATTGAGACTGGACCTAAACATAGTGAGGTTCACTAAGCCGTCAACAACAGGACACCAGAGGAAAACAATGAAATCATCCTCACAATAGCCAGAACTCTTGCATATTCCATACTCTGTTAAACCTGAAAAGACAAGTAAACATAGTAGAGACCCAATAGTTCGAAATGAACACAATGAGAAATTTTGAAAATCATCCTCATCCTAAGGTAAAAAATGGCTTAAAGAAAGCCTAAAATTCTCATACTAAGGTAACATGGACCACATAAGGAAGTAGTCGAAGCTTGATAGAAGGCAAAAACCAACAATAAACAACTTCTTTCAAAGGGCCGCAGAGATATAACTTTTCGAAGTGATGAGGGTAGAGAGCTTATCTGACGGGTCTGGTGGGTCAGGAGGCTCTTTTCTATAAATAGAGACGAACTGAATCTTCCTCGAGGAACACCTCCCAACAAGTAAGCCAAGGGGTCTGAAGGAGCAAAAATCCTTAGCAGATTTAGAGGAACTTTCATACTCGACGGATCTGAATTTGGTGGAGACTGTACAAAGGGACCACCACGAATAACGGCCAAATGTCCTGCTGGAAGAACGTAGAAAGGTAGAGTTGATTGAAGAACTGACGTCTCTGAAAGAGTGATAGACATGCTTGGGAACTTAATTCTCAAAAGCGCCACAAGCCCATCTTTACCACGGTTGAAAAGAAATCAAATTTATCACACCGAAAAATGATCTAATGGAGCAGTAGAAGCCGGCGGCAGATCTGGATTTGGAAAAGGAAAGAAGAGCGGTGGAAACAATAAAAGAGCATACTTTCGGATACCCATGAAAAAGGAGAAGGGGAAGGGAGAAATGAAGAGAAGGAAAAAAGGAAAAAAAGGAGAAAAAAGAGATTCGTGCTGATGGGTGTGAGGCTATATCAACGGTACTGCAAAACTTTAATCGCCTAAACTATCGTCAAGGGAGAAAGAGTATTATCCGACCCAATTAGTTGACTTTTTTTAAATATGAAACATTTTATATTGGTATATGTTAGTCTTAAAATACATATTTGATTAAAACATAGATAAAATATCTGCGCAACCAACACCCAACAAAACATAAAGAATAACGAAATAAAAAAAAAAAACCAAAATTCAAACGCATCTAGTAGATCTGTGACATTGATCAGCTGGTAGGTAAATGGGTAATGGTCTTTGTAACATCGTTTTTTTTATTTCTTTACTCATTTAATTTTTTAACCAATTAATAACCATATTTTTGATATTTTAGAAAATTATTGTAAAAAATTGTTTATTTAAAATAAAACAAGTGGCAATGTTTCAAAAACTTATGTTCACTTGACCAAAAAAAAAAAACTTATGTTCAATGCAAGAAACATGGATTCTCAAAATCAACAACCACTATATGACACAACAACAACAATGAAGGATGATTTATCCCTACTTTCAACTACATTTTCTCTGTTTATATATGTGTTTAATTAGGTTTTTGTACAACATTTGAACACCAATCTTTGAGTAGAATCAATAGTTCGATTAGGTATAGATTAAAATTTAGATATAGACTAGAGAGAAAGTTTTTTTATGAAACAGAAGAAGTACTAAAATGCAATATTTCATTATGTTAGTTGTAACCTACTGTATATATTTTTCACTGGCCTTAGATTAGAATGTATATATATGCTAGTCAATTTAGGTTTTGGACAGTTGGGTATGCAGGTTTTTTATTTTGAGAATCACTTGAAAGTATTCTGTTTTCTTTTAGGCTACATATGTCAGCAGAAATGATAATTAAATTCCGTTGATCAAGTGTTGTGTAAAAGCTGATCTCTTGTTACTCAAATTATAATAGGCTTGCCAAATTTGGTGGATATGATCACTCCAGTTTAGACAGTATATAATATAGTTTTATTTATCAAATTATATGTTACTTTCACTAATTCATTCGCATAACGTAACATTTGGCTTTTGATGACCTATACTTATTTCATTCAACATATCGAGATCCTCCCATACATGGGAGTTTGGAGATAAAACATGATCAGGTCAGGACTCATGATCTAAATGGAGATTGAATTTTGTTTGATACTAATAGCTTTTGAAGAATATGATAAGTTCAAATTATTACAGTGGTGATATATATATATATATATATATAGTGGGTTACAACCAATATAATGAAATATTGTATTGAATAATTTTTTGAGATTTTCACATTTATTAAGAAATTTTTTGAAATGATATGTTTACTTTTTACTTTTTACTAATATAAAATAAATAAATAAATAAAAAATATATAATTAAGGGTAAATAGAAATACTTAAAAAAACTACATTGAAGAAGGATTTCCTTTTAAAAACAATTTTTTCTCCTAGAAAATCCTTATTTTAAAAATAGAAGGAATATATTATATAACTCTCTCTCTTTCTTTTCAAAAAAAGTTTTTTTGATTTTTACAGTATCGAAAATTGAAACGGTAATTTATCTTACACGTCAAAACGGTAATTAATTACTAGTGTGTTTTTTTAAAACTTAAGTTTCGGGATGTGTTTTTTTTTTTTTAATTTTAACTTTTAAAAAGACAAAATTGGTTCCCAGAAAAGTACCAAAACGACCAACCTCTAGGAGACCATATATATATATATTAATGTATCAAATGAACACACAATATTATTTAGAAAAAATATATAAATGTCATTTCTGAATCTTTTAATTAGAGCACGTAATTTATATATATCATGCAATTGAATCATCAAAGATGGTTACTAGAAAATTATACTAGTAAACTCGAAAAATAATGCCCCCTTAATCATCACATCAGGTATAATTCGAAACCAGCATCACATGAAGTGTACACAATAATTGGCTGAGTTCAAGTTATTTGTGTTTCGGTGTTAGTTTTGCTAAATGATGTGGAGATGTTGCTTTTATCTACCTAATGAATCGAAATCGTAAACGGTTCAACTACTAAGATGATGAATATTGAGCCTTGCTTCAATCATCCACAAACAAAAGGCTCATACATATTGAGCTTTATTTAAAAATCCATACATAAAAAGTAGAAAGACAAAGGTTGCATAAGAAAGTAGAAAGACAAAGGTATATCACACGATTCAAAAACACCAAAGAGCTTCGTCGAAAGAAAGACTTCTACACCAACCCCCTCAGCTTCTTAAAAGCCATGAGCTTCTCATGGACCTCGGTCCTCGGCAGCCATCATTATACAGTGAGCTACATATATAAAACAAAAGACGAATTCAAGACAAGTTTTACTTTGAAATCAAGAAATAAATTTATGTGCCTGGGATAGAGCACGCAAAACGACTTGGGCCGCGGTCATAGAGAGGAGGATTATTATAACTCCCTTTACTCGACTTTAGTTACGCGAGTAGCGACTAATTTCAATCCTCCCACTTCACTTCCATCAAGTAGCAGCGCCTTATCTTCTCCGTCTTTATGGACAAAATATACATGAGCCTTGCCGCCAAAAAACAAAAAAAAATAGTCAAGCTGGGGAAAAAATTCACTAACACAAAGTGGAGAAAGCCACAAACCTCTCGAGAGTACTGACAAAAACATGTGTGATCTCTCCGCAAGAAGAGAAATGTTGGATCAAAGTGCTCTTGAGCTCATCTACAGGAACCGAAATGTCATATACCCTAACCGTAATACCAAACCTACTGTAGTAGGTAATTTGCATGTTATCAACAACACATCTTACAAATGTAAATCTCCACGCACATATATTAAAGAAGAAAAAAGTATATCAACTTACAATCTTGTGTCATAGTATGTCTCTCTATGAAGAGTGGCTGCATAACGTTGAGTCTCCTCGTCATCTTCGGGTGTAACCTTAACAAGGACATTCCATCCTCCCGCGTCACTCCCATTAAGTTGCAACGCCTTCTCGTTTGAGCCATCTCCGCGAAGAATAATAAAAGCACGTCTGCTAACAAGACCAATTGTTTTTAGCCAACTTGGTTCTCACATATAGTAAGCAACGAACCCGACACGGCCTTGAGAGAATGTAACATTAAAGACTTCGCCGCACGAAGTGAAGTGATCAGTCAACGCCTTCTCGATATCTTCCTCAGGAAGCAATGTGTTGTATCCCTCAACGGAAACCCTAACCCTAATTTTGCAGGAGATCAAACATTATCAACAACAATTGACAACACATACAAAATCTCCGGGAAAAAAAAAAGAAGCATCCATTAATTTACCGGGGCATTCTGCTACTCTTCAAGTAGGCTTCCACAACAGCATCACTGCCGTACAAATGAATTTTGTTCCTCTAAAGTACAACAGATCTAATCAGATATTTTTCTTACATATAGGTATGTATTATTTGTGAAAAAACATTTAATAGAGAAAAAAGAGATCCAAAAACCATTAGGAGAAGAAGATTACTTTGGTGGCGGATCTCTCGCTAGAGTTCTTGTCCATGGAGAAATTGAGAAAAGGCAATAACCCTAGGAAGAGGAGAAACGAAATTCATAATCTCTTCTTCTCGTTTGGGCCATAAGTCGGTCCTTTCATACGGTGTTTTTTTTTTTTAATATGTTGCTGAATATTTGTTGTCACAGAGAAGCTGACATGACAAAAGAGTGCATAGAGAAACTTCTTAAAGCTGGGGCCAATGTAATTCTTACCACGAAGGGGATTTGACGACTTGGCACTTAAAGTGAGTAACCATACCAATTATTTCTTCCATTTCCTTTACATATAACTCAGTTTTTGAAGTGTTTCTAGTAGAACTTGCTTTTATAATTTGTTTTCAAGTTATTCAAATCCGTGGATTCTAGTCTTGTGCTTTTTTATTTCAGTACTTTGTAGAGGCAAGAGCTATTGTTGTTAGGCGTGTGCGCAAAGAAGACATGCGCCATGTTGCCAAGGCAACAGGAGTAACCCCGGAGAGAATCGCAGATGATGATGTTGTATTGTAAAGGGAACCAAAACGAGCAGTGCGGTATGTCATCTGCTCCCGGCACGAGATCATGCTTAACTGTTGACACTACGATACTCATTGAAAATCAGTCTGTAGTATATCAACTAAAGTTATTACCCGAGAGTTATTTAATGTAATCACACAGTGTTTAGTCTAGCTTTGTCATGACTTGATAAGCTTTTTGTCTGTAAAGTCTCCTTGATCTTAAGAGAGGTGCAAATGACTACATGCTTGATGAGATGGAGAGAGCACTGCACGATGCTCTATGTATTGTCAAGAGACAAGAGGACACTCGAGTCTAACACGGTCCTTTCATTTGGTAATTAAGATCCACGTTTCTGGTTTGACCTAACACTATGCTTCAGGTGGTTGCAGGTGGAGGTGCAGTAGAATCAGCATTGTCTGTGTATCTGGAGCACCTTGCTACAACCTTTTGCTCTCGTGAACAATAGGGCAATTGCTGAATTTGCAGATGCGTTATTGATTATTCCAAAGGCTGTGACCTACAATCCTATTTCATCAATACAATAATCTGTCTTTTGTTCTTTTCTTATTACGAAACGATTATCATCCTTTAGACTAACAAATAGTATATTTAGCAATACTTCTGTTAGAAATAATTTGGATTTTAATCGAATTACTTATTTTAAATAGTTGGGTTACTTCAGAATAAATTTAATCCACAATCTATTGGTAGTAAAATTACTCAGGTTAAACAGTAAAATTACTAAGGTTAACCAGTAAAATCACTGAAACAACATTATTTGGTCTTAAAATTTTGAATTGATTAAAAATATCACATCAGTCCTAGCAAAACAAACAGAAGAACATAAAAGTATTTTAAGATTCTATGGTACCATCATCATTAGCAAAAAAACCAAAAGCCATTCCTCGCAACATCGTCCAAGTTCCACTTTGGCCTAGATTAATTGGCAATCGTCTTTATAACGCACACTTCTTTGCATCCCACTCATTTAATTTTCTAAATTAGTATTTCTTAATTTGTTGGTACATATGTGGTACAATTTTTTTGACTTATTTTCCGAAAACATGATTATGTTTCAAATATATTAGCCAAAAATGGATGATTGTATTTTTAAAAAACTTATGATCAATGGAAAAACATGAATTCTCAAAAACAACAATTGAATAGATATACCAATAACATTATACAGATGATATATCTCTAATTTCATTTAAATCTCTAATTATTAGTATGTCTTATACATATATATGCAACTATGCATTGTGATTATTATGATTATAATTTTTGGTTTTCTAAAACTCATATTGCTACAAAAAAAATTTCTGTTAAAAAAACTAGAATCATGGTTTGATGGACCATCTATGAAAGAGTGAAAACTCCTCACAAATGCTGCAACAGGTGAAATTTTTAGACACCTATTAATCTCTGCCTCAAACTACGATTCATTTTTAAAATTCTCGATTTTGTGCATCCACCATTCTAGAGGGTTGGAATCTTGGTATTCCGGCAAATGAATTGGGAGATATAGTTATGTTTAGTTGGTAATTCAAAGGGCAGTCTTTTTTAGAAAAGCTTCCTTGAAAAAGAAATGGTATTACATCTTCTAAGAAATGGATCATTGTCGACCACCATATATGAAGACTATTTTCAAAGAAAATTTTGTGGATTTCTTTTAATCAGCAACATACGAAAAGATAACCAATAAAAGCATGAAAGCATGAGGTAATCACTGCAAAAGCAAACTTATTTGGTAAACTATGAAAATTGTTATGATTTGATATCAAAATTTTATAGAATAACTAGATTACTTTTGTATTAGTTGCATTTATGCTTTATATTTGGTTCTCTTAATTCCTTTTCTTTCTAATTTAAATAAATGTTTTAAGTTAGGACTAAAAATTGTAAAATGCAAATGATTTATTAATTATATTTTGACCCTGATAAAAAGAGAATTTTGGATCCGCAATGATTTTTTTTCAGATTCATAGCATTTTTTCTTAATTAACTGTTACATTCACCTTTTCTTATGGTAATGAGCATTCTCGGACATCTTTTCCGCCTGCCAAATGCTATATAAGCATATAATTAATCAGTAGAAGACTATATATTAAAAACACCACTTAGAAAATATTCAATATTAGATGAGGTGTATTCAATTTAATATTTGAAATGATTTAGAAGGATTTGAATTTTAATGAGTTTAAAAATAATTTGGTTGAATTATGGAAATTTTTATGATTTGATATCAAAATTTTATTGAACTCTACCTAAAATCATAATATTTGAACTTTTTATATTTTTAACTAGAAAAATCCATAAAAGCATCTTAAAATGACTCTAAATTTCTTAAAACTCATTACTTAAATTATTTTCAATAACAGTGAATTTGAAAATATATTTTTAAATTACTAGTTTAATAATACTAAATTTTAAATAACTTTTTGAATTTTATGTTTCAATAATAGAGAGTTTGTAATTTTAATACAAATCACTAAATTCAATTTTAAATACACCCACTTAAATATTTATTCAAACTAATCTAATTACCACTTGATAACTCGTTGACTATGATACTTTGAATGGGTTTCTCAACTTTTTAGAATACCCAAAAAATAAATACTAATATAATTTTATGTACACACTTGATTAACCCTCTCCATATTTTGTGACATGTCAGCATAGAAGAGAGCAGTACACGTGTCCCATTTTTATGGCTAATCTTCTCCAACGATTTCGCTTACCTCCAGATGAGAAGCTATGTGTCAATTTTGCTTAAAGGTTTGTGGTGTAAGTTTTGTTTAGAACTAGGTATGTACCTGCGCTATGTTGCGGGATGTTATTCTAAATTTTATATATTTTAAAAATAAAAAATTATTTTTTACAGTATAAATAAATATTATACTTATTTTTTATTTAATATAAGTTTTGGATTTAAACTCTATTTATTTCTCCATGTATATGGTTCATTTGAATAAAAATGAGAATTTTGTTTGTTTTGTAACAAAATTAAAAAAATATTTAGATGAATTATCTAGATGATTTTTCAAGATTTAGATAAATTTTTGAGAATTATATGAATGAACCAAATTGGACCATCTTGATGGAGATGTTTCAGTTCAAAATAACAAATGACTAAAATACTCTTAAATTTAAAAATAATAAAAAAACCTAAAATCATATTTTTTGAAAAAACCACAAAACCTGAAAAATTGTATATTTTTTTTTTGTAAACTGGTAAAATCATATTTTCTGGTAAAATCGAGAAATCGCATTTTTTAATCAAAACTAAAAAAACATATTTTACTATTATAAGTTTACTTACGATCATAAATTTCACTACTCGCAGGTTATATTCATATTTTTAATTATGAAACTTTTAATGCATGTTTTTCTTACACTAACTAAAATAATTATTTTAACATTAATATTTCTTTAGCATTAAAAAAATATTTAGTAAAAAACCACAAATATTTTTGCTTAAAAAACTTAATACACTTTCAAATATTCATTCATAAGTATACAATAACTTAAAAACACTCATTCTTTTGATAATTAATTAAAATTTGATGCACTCTCTCTTTGTCAAAGTATAAAAAATGATTTAATTTCAATATATAGAAAACATAATTTTTTGGATTTTTTACTTTTTCTCATATCGTTGCTTTAAACATGTAAACATTAACATTATCATACATAAACATTAGTCACACTTATATGTATATCTCAAACCTTCAAACTTCACACTATATATAGATATAGTTTTATTAATAAGCCATATGACATATATGATACAGGAGTAACACCCAAATACAAAGGTCCAAAACATTAAAGTATTAAACGCAAGCCTAAATACAACTTAAACTATATTGGTGTTATTGTAAATGGATATCTCATCTGTCTTTTGCATCAGGGACAAAGTTTTACGACTTTAAAGCTTAAACTTTCAGAAAATACATTATCACAATGCGGTTGTAGATCTTTTTCAAACTCTTTCAAGAACCACCATATCTCCTGAATAGATCCATGGTTAAAAAATTCTTCTTCCCCAAAAAGTTGCCACAAAGTTAAAATCTTAGAAGTGAAATCGTGAGTTTGATGAGGTAACAATATTAATTGATTCATTAGAATTTTAGGTTTGTTTGCCAATAAACGTTATCAATTAGTTAGATTAATTAGATAATTTCTAGAATAATTGAATTTGAAGAAGATAATGATAAGGAAAATGAGAAAGAAGATGTCGATAATATACAATGAGCTTCAATATGTTCTTTTTAAAAAATTAAAAAAAAACTTAAAAATTATAAAACAACACGTAGTACATTATTAAAAATGATGTGTTTTAATTTTTGTCATCGATATAATGAGGATTAATTTTGCAATTATTGATTCTTATTAATGAAAAATTTTGATGATAAAAAGAAAAAAATTTGCCTATGTGTTAAAATATTTAGATGAAGTGTATTAATGAAATGTTTTAATTGGTTCAATATTTTGCTGATGTGTCAGCTTCTAATAACTTCAAAAAGCTGAGTTGTCAATACATGGAGAGACTTATGGGTCATTGTTGTATTGATTGATAATGTCATTAGAAATGAGTCAAATGGCCAATGACAAAGAAGAAAATGAGTCTCATCCCATATCGGTCAAACTACTTTCGGCCACAATAGAAATGAGTCAAATGGCCAATGACAAAGAAGAAAATCAGGAAACAATTGCTGATTTAGTGATTAGAGAAAATAGATTATCTGGATTTTGACTTGCCTCGGACTGCAAATAAAAAAAACAATTGCTGCTTCTTTGGCATTTTATCGGGGAGTGAATAAGTTAATATCTTTTTGGGATTCAGGCATTGAGTAATGAAAACTCTCAATAGTTTTCCCCCAATTTCTTATATTCCTCATTCCTCACTCTTAACACTTTCCTTCGTTTGTATTGACTTTCCAAGGCCTTTGGTGCATTAGTAATGAAAATGTAATGCCATGCCAAACACGTTAGCATAACTAATTTTGCTATCCTTGGCTTTGTACTACTAGGAAAACATTTAGACAGTCCACTCATTGTTGTAACTTCTTCAGCAAGTTCCTTCTCTGTTTTCTAGGGCCTTCTTGGATGGTCCTTATGTCTACAGAGCCGGCAATTGTCGAATCAGGCTGCAACGCTATTGTTGGTTTCAGAGTGGTTCACACACCAAGGAATTGTGGTTCGGTAAAGCAAGGAGTGACAAGGACCAACAATCTGACCGGTATGGTCTGTAGCATGTTTTATAAATAAAGCAATTTGATAGTTTGAGTTCTCTCATTATCTGACAAAGTTCATGACTACTTTGTAGAATTGACAACTTTCATTTCCAGAGTTCTCTGATCCCATACGTGTATTCAGGAGTTTAGAGGCTGCTAACAAGGTTTGGCTTCAAGCATCTTTGTCATTAGTGGGGGTGCATGAGTTATTCTCTTTGTTTAGTTCCTTGAAAGTCTCTTAAGTATAATAAAAATGTGCCTAGCAGATCGAGATGCTAGATTGGTCCATTTCGGCTGAAGGTGGATTTTGATATGTTTACTGACTTATTTACCAGACAGAGGAGTTGTTCAGAGCTGCTGACCTGAATGGTGACGGTGATATGACTATTGATGACTTAGCTACGCTTCTTGTTATTAAACAGGAAAAGTTCCTTGATTCACTTGATTTTTTCAAATGTTTTCTTGACAAGTTAGTTTTCTTAATTTTGAATTTCTCTTTAATTCAGGGAGACGATTATAATTAACTAGCCGGTGTTTGGTGACGCTCTTCAACTCTCTGACAAGCTCAACGCCATGATTCATATGTGGCGGAGAGTTTGGTGAGGCTCTTCAACTCTCTAACTGGCCAATTACACTTATCATTAATAATATAAACTGAAATTTGATATCATTTTACAAATAATTTTGAAAAGAACTCAAATTTTATAGTTTTCCCAGTTTATGAAGCAACCACCATAACAAATTAGTTTGCTAAAAATATTTTAGATATCCATATAGAAATATTTTAAATTTAATATCAAGTAGATAAAAATAACCCGTGCATATACACAAGTATTAGCCTAATATTAATAAAACTTCAACTTAAATGAGATATCCATTTGAGGTAAATGCTCTTACATACAAGTCACAAACATTTCTGGCTCTCTGAACAAAATGCACTCAAACAAGAATTACAAGGTTCTTACCAAGAAAATTAGCACTGGAATCTGAAGCCAAAGTTATCAGAAATATAAGTTGTCTAAAATTGGCTTTAGCATGGTGTTCACTAAGAAATGCTAACAATCTCATTTATTGGAAGGTTCTCAAAAAAACTTTGCAAGAAAGGAAACGTGGTTCCGATATAGCCAAATGTGTTTTTGATTGTTGCTACTTGCCACTATCCTCCAAAATTATAGCGATCATAAATATTTTAAATCGGATTTTCACAAAAATCATAATTTGACCTGAATAACAGAAATTAAAATTACTTGATTTTCTTATAAATCAAGCAAACCAAACTAAACAACTAATTGAGTAAATCTGTTTCCTTTAGTTTCTTCATTTATATGCGATGATTTTGGTGTGAAAAGAAACTTCTTTTTTTTCTTTTGAGTTCAAGCAAACGTGATCAGTTCTTCTGGCATATTAATTATCGTCTGAAAAGTTAAAGCTTAAATAAGCCTGAAAGGCCCATATTTAGAACCGACCCAATAACGAATCTCCAGTCGAATGTTTCTTTATTACCAACGTCCCGTCCCGTATCGTACTGGATTTACAAAGCCTCGGTTTCGTTCAGCGGGTTACCTTATCGTCACAAGACGAAGGAAGGAAATCAGTATAACACGCAAAATCGCTGTGAAAAGCCTTGCGACCAAATTTTCCGATTTTCTCTGAGAAATCCAGTAAACCCATATCATGATAATGATTCTAGCTTCTTCACTCTTCTCTTCCTACTTCTTCTTCTTCTTCTAGGATTCCTCCTCTGCAGCTGTTCAGCAATGCCAGTGGCCTACACATTTCCAGTTCTCCCTTCTTCTTCTCTGCTTTCCAGAATCTCTAATCGCAGCACCAGCATCATCGTAGATCGCCCGGCGGTTCAGATCTCAGGGTTTCTCCTCGTGCGTTCCGAGTTCGGAAATATCGACGGCCTTAGCTGCTCTTTCCGGCGGTTTCAGCGGGGAGGGCGGAGGAGGTTGAATGCTGCTGGTGGTGGTACCCATATCGTCGATAATGCGCCGTCTCGTACTTCTTCCCTCGCTGCCTCTAGCTCTACAATCGAAATCCCGGTTACGTGTTATCAGGTATTTTTGCTTCTGGCTAGCTTATTCATCAAAACCCCTACATACGTTAGTCAGTGGAAGCTGAAGTGCAAGTCGAAGCTGTGTTTTACCTTCTAATTTTGGTTGAAATAGAAGTTGGTGCTAGTCAGTGTTGAGAAACTTCTTCCTCCAAATTTGCTGGAATTTTAGTTTCCAAGGAACGAGTTGAATGTTTTTGTTTGTTTGGCTGAGTTTATCAGATAGGGTTGGCAATTTGTTAATTGAATAATCGTTGATTTCTGCAATAGAATGTATGTAAGGGGATGTAGGCGTTTTGTTTTCGAAACATTGTTCCAGTATTATATGTTTTGCTGCTCTTAAATGGTATTGAATTTGCAGCTTATCGGAGTTTCTGATCAAGCTGAGAAAGACGAGGTCGTTAAGTCGGTGATAAATTTGAAAAAAGCTGATGCTGAAGAGGGCTATACAATGGAAGCTGCTACAGCTCGCCAGGTTAGGACCTATAAAGAGTTTGATTCTTGTTTCAAGTGCTCCATAGAATCTGACCATTTTATCACTAGAGTGGGAGAGGTAACGTGGCTTTAGTTTCTTGATCCGTTGTTCTCAATGATTCTAATGTGCAGGATCTTCTCATGGATGTTAGAGATAAACTTCTGTTTGAACCAGAATATGCTGGTAACATCAAAGAAAAAATTGCTCCTAGATCTCCTCTCAGAATCCCATGGGCATGGTTGCCTGGTGCTCTATGCCTTCTTCAAGAGGTAAATAATACCGAGTCGTTATTGTGTTTTGGGCTATCTTCGTGCACTATTTATCATTTCGTCCCAGTTTTTTGGCATTACTTTTGGTTAGAAGATAAATGGTGATGTGAGCTGGTATGCTTCAGGTTGGAGAAGAAAAACTCGTGCTGGATATTGGTCGTGCTGCTCTCAGACACCTTGATTCAAAGTCATATATTCATGATATATTTTTATCTATGGCACTTGCTGAGGTAAATATCAAATGAACGAGGGAACTACTTACTAGCTTCCACCTACCCTCTGCTTGTCTTCTATTCCTTAATTATGTTTTTTTTTTTCCATGAAGTGTGCAATCGCCAAGGCTGCTTTCGAGGCTAATAAGGTCTCTCGAGGATTTGAAGCTCTTGCTCGTGCCCAAAGTTTTCTGAAGAGTAAAGTTACTCTTGCGAAACTTGCATTGTTAACCCAGGTAATAGCTGTTCTGATGTCTTGCATCAGTAAAGACAAACCTTCTTTGTATTTACTTTTAGTTCTGTCACCTGCTTGAATCGTCAAAAGTGCATGAGAATGCCTCTTACTGCAAATCAAATAATGATAGGGAGCTTCATATATAATTTCATATCGTCTAAACACATAATCTACCAGCATATTGGGTTTCAAGGGATTTAAGTTGACAAAATTTTAGATTGAAGAGTCCTTAGAGGAGCTCGCACCACCATGCACATTGGATCTACTGGGCCTGCCTTGCTTGCCAGAAAACGCAGAGAGGAGACGAGGTGCAATTGCAGCGCTACGTGAACTGCTCAGACAGGGCCTTGATGTTGAAGCTTCGTGTCAAATTCAAGACTGGCCATGCTTTCTGAACCAGGCAATTAGCAGGCTGTTGGCCACAGAAATTGTTGATCTTCTTCCATGGGATAACTTGGCCATGACACGGAAAAATAAAAAGTCACTTGAATCCCACAATCAAAGAGGGGTTATTGATTTTAATTGCTTCTACATGGTGCTCGTTGCTCATATCGCTGTTGGATTCTCGGGCAAGCAAAATGATATGGTATATCTCATTTTATTTCCTTTTGTTAAATTTAAGCCAATCAGTACATTTCTTCTGTATTCTATCTGTTTATAAATCATAACATTCAGTATGCTTGTGTAGATTAATAAAGCAAAAACTATATGCGAGTGTCTCATAGCATCAGATGGTGTTGATCTGAAATTTGAGGAAGCCTTTTGCTCATTTCTTCTAAAACAGGTATTTTTCCCTCTTGCATTTTATAATACCTTTTCCCTTTCAACTATGTTGCTACGTCTTATTTACGTCAAGTCCATTTGCGTCGAAAGATCCATGCGTTGTACATTTAGTTAAGTGCTACTGGACCTACATGTTGGATAGCACAGGGTTCCGAGGCGGAGGCTATTGAAAAACTCAAGCAGCTGGAATCAAATTCAGACTCTTCCGTTCGTAACTCAATCCTGGGGAAAGAGTCGAGAAGTACTTCTGCTACTCCATCATTGGTAAACCTTTATGTTTTTACCAAAAACTTGTGTGCATTTGTTGCTAGCACTAAAGCGAACGTAATAATACCTCGTCTTATGGTTTTATCCTGCTATGCCTGGTGTAAATGGCATGATCAACTTTAATAGAATATGAGTGAGGTTGAGCTATGTTCGTAGGTACTGACTGAAACAATGAAAATAGATACGTTGATTTGGTGGTAGTAAAATTGATAGAATCTGCTTTAACAGCATTATGCATGCCTGCCGTCAAATTCGTGTTCGTTGCTTGTTTTCATTCTTATTCCTAAATATTTTCTTGGTAGGTACATCATCCCTTTTTCAGCTCTGATTTTCTTTAATAAATTTGACCAGGAAGCGTGGCTAACGGAGTCTGTGTTTGCTAACTTTCCAGACACAAGGGGTTGTTCTCCATCTTTGGTAAGAATTAGATCAATCGAAGATTGTGTATACCAGTTCTCCAATTAAAACATATTCATTAAAACCAACTTCTCGCAGACAAACTTTTTTCGGGCTGAGAAGAAATATCCAGAGAACAAGAAAATGGGGTCATCGCCAATAATCAATCACAAGACGAACCAAAGACCACTTTCCACCATGCAGTTCGCGAACTCGTCACAACATCTTTGTACAGCTGTCGAGCAGTTGGCAGCAACAGATTTGCAGAGCCCAGTGGCATCGGCAAAGAATATTGATGAAAGCGGTGCCAGCAGGCCATCGGTTCAACTGAAAAGGAACCTTGGTTTACCACAAAATAAAATATGGAATGGTTGGCTATCTCAGAGCAATTTGATCAAAAGGGTATCTGTTGTTGCATTATTAGGCTGCACCGTGTTCTACTCCCTAAAGCTAGCAGGCATTAAGTCTGGTAGATTACAGAGCATGTCTAGATGGGTTTCTGCAAAACCGCACTCAGAATCAGATTCTGGGATCGTCAGAAGGAACCTTGCTTCTGTGGATAGAAATGGTGTCGTGGGCAACATCAAAACACTCTTGGACATGCTTAAGATGCATCATGGGGAACATCCGGATGCTTTGTATCTGAAAAGCTCTGGTCTATCAGCTACATCGTCTCATCCCACGTCAGAAGTGCACAAGAGACCAATGCTTACAGAAGATGCCGAAGAGCTTGTGAGACAGTGGGAAAATATTAAGGCTGAAGCACTTGGACCTACACATCAAGTTTATAGCCTTCCTGAAGTCCTTGACGAATCCATGCTTGTCCAGGTTACTATTTCTCTACATTTACTCTGTTTCTGTGCTTAATTGAGATAGTTTAGGGGTTTGCTCATTCCCTGGTAATGTGGAACTTTGCAGTGGCAAACGTTGGCACAAACAGCAAAAGCTAAATCGTGTTATTGGAGATTCGTGTTGCTTCATCTTGAGATTTTGCAAGCACACGTATTTTCGGATGGCGAGGTTGCAGAAATCGAGGCCCTTCTAGAGGAAGCAGCGGAATTAGTTGACGAGTCTCAGCCCAAAAACGCAAAATATTACAGGTAAAAAAACATTTCGCTTTCGCTTTACTTTTGGATTGAGTGCGTAGTTTCACTGTTGCTGCGTTTTTGTATATTTTCTTGCAGCACTTACAAGATCCGATATACTCTGAAGAAGCAAGAGGATGGATCGTGGAAATTCTGCCAAAGCGATATTCAAATACAGAAATGACCATATCATTTATCTTCTAACTAAAAGTTGTAGCATCATCAACTATAAGAACATCGGATCTATTTAGCCTTTGTTCTGGTTTAGTTAACCGTGTAGGAAAATCTTTAAGGTTTGCTTGGTCGATTATTTGATATACTGCTTCGCAAGAAGTTATTTCGTGGGACATAACGTTTACCCTCTATTTTTTTTTGTACAAATACGCTTTTACCCTATAATCAATTTCTTTTAAGTGATCAAATTAAGTCCAATTACAGTTAGGATTTGGAAACCGGTTGTTAGATTAGCGGGTACCACCGCCAAAATTGGTATACAATATACATCGGTAACGGTTCCGGTTAGCAACGAAAAAGATAGAAGAAGAGATAGGGAGAGATTGATAGAGAGGGAAAGTGTTCCCCACACGGAAAAGCCAAAATCGTCGACTCACTTTGCTTCCTCTTCTCCGTTCTCCTCTCTCTCCGCAATCACCAACTTCCCCGTCACCATCACCCCCAATTCCCCGCGAACTCGAAAAACCCTAAATTTTTTCAATCATCCCAAAATCACGGTCTCCGGCTGGGTTTCTCTGATCGGCAGGGAACACGATGTTTCCTTGGAACTTTGCTAAATCGGCGGAGGCAGCTTTCTCTAGGTGGGCGGTGAAGAGAGTCGTCAAGTTTTTGTTGAAGAAGAAATTGGGTAAACTCATACTTGGTGATATTGACCTTGATCAGCTCGATATTCAGCTCAGGGATGGCACAATTCAGCTCTCCGATCTTGCTATCAACGTTGACTATTTGAATGACAAGGTTTTTGGCCTTCTCTCTCCCTTCTTAATTTTTTTTCTCCAAATGATGCTTCACAAGCAGGGAATTCTGGAATTTATGGTTTAGTACTAGTGTTTGGATTGAGAATTTAGAGCAAATTTCAATCCAGGGAGCTTTAGTTCATTGGTGCTGGTCTAGTTCTCAGTTGTATATGAATTTAGAGGTTCATCTATGACGTCAAAGTTCTGAATTTTATATTAAATGCGTGTTTTTTCATAGTTCATGTATGATTTACTCTACATGTTTTGGTTCTCAATGTTGTCAATATTTGAGAAATATATTGTCAACCAACAATTCTGAGAGTCTCATCCCTTACATCATATCTTTCTTCTTTGGATCCAGTTTGATGCTCCGCTGCTCATAAAGGAAGGTTCGATAGGATCTTTGTTAGTTAAAATGCCATGGAAGACCACTGGTTGTCAAGTTGAGGTGGACGAGCTTGAGCTCGTTCTTGCACCACGGTTGGAGAGTAGTGCATCATCTTCAAATGAAGCCAGCACCTCCTTTTCTAACCGAGATGATTCACGTAATACTCGTCCTGGACTAGGAAAGCATGAGAATGAGATGTTGGTGAACGCTGCTAAATCTGCGTCTATCGATGTCCATGAAGGTGTTAAGACGGTTGCGAAGATAGTGAAATGGTTTCTTACAAGTTTCCATGTCAAAATTAAGAATCTGATAATAGCATTTGACCCTGATTTTGGCAAAGAACGGAACGAAGCTGGTCCACGACCAACATTGGTACTTAGAATGACAGAGATAGAGTGTGGAATTTCAGAGGACCGAGTTTTGGCTAATGAAGTTTCCCCTGATAGTTTCCTCGGTATTAATCGACTTGCAAACTGTGTGAAGTTTCAAGGAGCAGTTGTAGAGATTTTAAATATAGATGATGATGATGATGATGATGGCGAAAACAATTGTGGTAAAAAAGGATCAGATGATGTGACTTTGATCATGACAGGCGAAGGAGGTGGCTTTTCAGGAAGTGTGAATTTAAGTATACCTTGGAGGAATGGTTCCTTAGACATTCGCAAGGTGGATGCTGATGTTTCTATTGATCCTGTTGAATTACGATTGCAACCGTCTACAATTAGATGGTTTTTACAATTGTGGAAGACTTTCACGAGTTTCGGATCAGACTGTTGTCCCTCAGTTTCTCATTCTGATTTTTCGACGGATTCACCTGCAATACCTACTAATGTAGTGGTAACGCCTCCAGCTACATTATCCTCGCCAGGTGGCCAAGATGTGGAGCCTGACATTACACCTGGGTTACAGTTTATATCAGATTGGTTTCCGTCTTCTTTCAGCAAGAAAGAAGAGGATGGAGAAGTAGATATCGGTGCAAGGTATAAATGATGTCTACAGCATAAAAAGTCATTGTCACAAGTCTTTAAAAGATACTGTATCTTTTCCTCGACTTGTATTTTCATTTTTTTGTCACAATTTGGATATGACTTCACCTCTTATTAGTTGTTACTGAATTCTCTTATCTGTGTTATCTTTTCTTGTTTCCTACAGTGTGGACCAGTTTTTTGAATGTTTTGATGCAATGAGGAGTTACCAATCAGCTTTTGGAAGCCAAGGAATGTGGAATTGGACATCTTCCGTCTTCACAGCAATCAATGCTGCATCTAGCCTTGCTTCTGGGTCTTTGCTTCTTCCGTCTGGTAATAATATTTTCTTGAATTATGTTTAAACTGTGCATTAAGCATATTGGTCTGTGTTATCACCAAATATATGTCAGCTATCTTGGTGGTGTGTTTTGGTAATCCTGTTATTTAATCTTAGGTTTATTCTATTCGTATTCTTGTAACCTATATACCATGAAGCTTTGTGCTTAAACCAATATATTAGCTGATGAAAGCCGTTATAGTAACAAACTGTAGCTTTTACTTGCGTAGGTCTGTATCTTTTCCCGTTCATATGATTTATCCTCAATTAACCATTTCTTCTTCATGTGCAACTATTCTCATCAATGTGCAGAACAGCAACACGTTGAAACAAGTTGTAAAGTATTCTTTGCTGGAGTTTCCGTGGTACTATTTTTCCAAGATGAAGACAATTGGAAGGATGTTTCCACGGGGATTCACTACTTGGGTGCAGAACTCAGAGATATATCCGTCTCTTTTCAGGTAATTACTTTGATGAACTGTGTTTTCTCCCCTCACTAGTATATGTGCCCGAGTTACTTAAAACATTCGTCAAGGTCAACAGGTATGCCCTCAGAATATGAGGTTAGAAGGAGAAGTGAACAGCATGGAGATCGCTGATTATTGTCAAGCAGAAAATGTTGTTGACACCACCAATGCTGAATATCAGAGTAATTTGGTTAAAGATTTACAAGCCAAAGTTCAGGCTACTCTTCCTCCCTTTGCCTCGTCTGATATGAATGCTAACTCCGAGAGCTTAAGCAAGATAGTTTCTGATGGCTTCCTATTTAGTAACAAGGGTTTGGCAGTCAAGACATTGTTAATTGTAGCTGCAGGGGGCAGTGGATTTCAGTTTATTGTCAATCTCCAATCATCCAAAGCCAGCTCTAGAGGAACAAACTCATTCTCGTTGAGTTTACCACCTACCACGTTCTGGTTGAACCTTCATTCAGTAGATATGTTGGTAAATCTTTTCAACGATGTGTCAGAATCTATCCCCATAACCAGTCATGGAAGGAATCATGTGGCATCCTCTTCTAAATCAGAAAGATTGCGAGGTAGTGTGTCAATCTGGAATGCTAGAGCTATTCTGTGCTTCCCTTTTGAGAGCATTTCAGAAAGGTTATGTAACTCGCTCGGTGAACAATTTATTGTTGTCGACTTAGCTTCCCCTCTGCCTTCTGACACGGTTAGGCGTAAGGAAGCAATTCCAGGAGAAATGTACTTTACATCGGCTACACGCTCCATATGCTTAAGTGTTGGTGATGCTGGCATCTATTTGGTCACTTCTGACATGAAAGATTCTGAAACAAATTCATGTGGTATGCAGGGTGAATTCTCTGCATATAATATATTACTTGCAAAGAATGAAAGTAGTCACCAACTTTCAACCGTTGGTATGTTTTGGCAAGATAAACCTATCGTTAGCCCTTGGTTAGTGGAGAGAGCTAAGATGTTGGCTACGCAGGAAGAATCTATTCAGAGAGATAAATCTGGGAGGAACGGCCTTGAGTTTGCTGCTGTTGCTACTGCCAAAGATCAAGAAGACATCTACTCTCAAACCAGGAAAGAGATAATTTTGGCTTCTTCGTTCTGCCTCTATGTTCATTTGCTTCCACTTACTATCCGTTTAGATAGTTGGCAATACATCAAGTTATGTAATCTCGTAGACCAGGCAAAAATTTGGCTATCACGTATGGCAGCCAATACAACTGAGAAAACAGAGGAATCTACAGCTGAGAAAACAGAGGAATCTGTTGCGTGTCAAACGTCTCTGGTTGTGGAATGTGATTCTATTGACATTTTGGTTAGGCCAGAACCTCGAATGGGCATAAAAAATCAGCTTCAGATTGAGCTTCCTGGATCATGGACTCAGTTAAACCTGAGGGTTCAGAAACTTAATTTTATGTCAGTGTCCAATCTTGGCAGTATGTCCGGTGCTGGTTTCTTTTGGTTAGCCCATGGGGAAGGTACATTATTGGGTTCTGTTACAGGTCTACCTGACCAGGAGTTGCTACTGGTCTCATGTAGCAACTCTGCGATCAAGCGCGGTAATGGAGGAGGTTCAAATGCATTGTCATCAAGGTTGGCTGGCTTAGACATTCTGCACTTACAGGAACCTGGGATCTCTTACGGTTATTTAGCAATATCTGTCAGAGGCTGTACGATTTCTGCCGTAGGAGGACGCCTGGATTGGATAGATGTGGCTTTTTCTTTTTTCACTTTTGAAGTTGAAAAAAACCCTCAAGAAAGAAACTCCAGCTCATCTGGTGGCTCCTCGTTTACTCTTAATTTGGTTGATGTTGGTCTAAGCTATGAACCCCACCATGAGAACACAGATTATTTAAATCAATCAAATGATCCGTGGGTAGCCTGTCTGGTAGCGGCGTCTTCTTTTAGCCTTTCGAAGACAAGTCTGGTTGATTCCATAAGAAATGATTACAGAATCAGGATTCAAGATCTTGGGCTTCTTCTGTCCGTGGATTTGGACCTTAGCAGATTTGATGGAACGTACAGTTCAGCGCATCTTCATGAGAATGGCTATGTTAAAGTTGCTAATGAAGCGCTTATTGAAGCAACTCTAAGGACTAGCTCTGAAAGTGGGCTTCTCTGGGAGTTAGAGTGTTCAAAATCTCACTTATTAATTGAAACTTGCAGTGACACGACTTCTGGTTTGATTCGCTTGGCCACGCAGCTCCAACAGTTACTTGCTCCTGATTTGGAGGAATCAGCTGTGCACTTGCAGACTCGATGGGACAACATTCAGCAGGCGAATGCTAGGAATGATTTTGATATCAACGATAGACTCAGCAGCTCTGATTCAAGTGGGGAGATGAAAAATTTAAGATTAGATTCAGAAACTGAAGCTGGGATCATCGGTCTGATGGATGAAATAAATGAAGATGCTTTCCGATTTGATGTCAATCCTAGTAGCCAGTCTTACTCTTTGGAATGCCAGAATAACTATATATCATCTCATGGGCAGGCACGTAACCGGATATCTGCTACTCCTGAGAAGCTACCTTCTAATCAGTTTATGTGTGGGTCATCATCTAAAATAAAACCAGAAAGCAGTCAAATATTCCTAGAAAGAGATGGACTACCTGAAATAATTGAAGACTATTGTTTGTCTGAGTTCCCTCCATTGTCAGAGGTACCTCAAGAAGGGGACTCATCAGGGAGACAATTGTTTCTTGAGACTGATTTGAGGAGAGGAAATTCTGGGTGGTATGACGACATGTCCTTAAGAATTTTAGAAGACCATGTGTCAGAAGCAACTGAGGAAGATCACGAGGAACGTATTCTAGATGGAGAATTTTCAACTTTTGGCCTGACGTCGTACTCTGCTGTAACAGCTAATGGGCGTATACTTGTGAAGAACATCGACCTCAAATGGAGAATATACTCTGGCTCTGATTGGCATGATTCTAAAAAGAAAGTTGAAATTTCTAAAAGTATGACGGGCCGGGATACAACTTCTTGCCTTGAGCTGGAGTTATCTGGGGTGCAATTCCAATATGAAATCTTCCCAATTGGCGGAATATGTACCTCTAAACTATCTCTCATGGTCCAAGACTTTTATCTGTACGATAGAAGCAAAGCGGCACCTTGGACATTGGTAATTGAGTTTTTTCACTCTTGTCGTTATACGATTGATTATACTAAAAAATAACCTGGGTAGATAATTCAACTTGTTCTTTCCCATGAATTATAGGTCCTTGGATATTACAACTCAAAAGATCACCCAAGAGATTCCTCTTCAAACGCATTCAAGTTGGAACTAAAAGCTGTCAGACCTGATCCTGAGACACCACTTGAGGAAAACCGGTATGCTATCTCTACTATTTCAGTGTTATGCTCACTTTTCCTTTATATCTAAGAACGAGGTAAACATTTATTATTTCAATAAACATTGGCCTAGTTGTATGTGCAATTGAATTTTCAACAAATGTTTGCTTACTTAGTAAAAAAACTCCATCAAACAAATTCCGATTTATGTTCATTATCTTTATCGATTAGGTGCACTGTCAAATTCAATGCTTATTAAAGAAAAGTCAGTTTCATAGATACTAAGATAATTAAGGTCATTTTTCAATGGATGTAGTAATATTCATACAAAACAGTTTCCTCGATATTATCCTCTTTTTGGCAAAATGCAATGGTATAGTACATTATGGATGTATTCTTAGTTAACTTAATATACGTTCTCGCTGCTACTTAATTTTTTTTCCCTTTGATTGATTTTGGTGTTTCATTATGACTTAAATGGATCTTCTGTCTATCATACCGCATATGTGAATCCTTTCTTAAATTGTTTCCTCCCAGGTTACGTGTTGCTTTACTCCCTATACTGTTGCATCTTCATCAAAGTCAACTGGATTTTCTCATCAGTTTCTTTGGAGCTAACAACCTAGAAAAGCCTTTAGTTTCCGGAGACTCTGGTGGTTCAACGTTGTCAGTTTCTGTTAAGGGACAAAATATCATAGAAGAAGCGCTTCTTCCATATTTTCAGGTTAATGAAGTTTCTTTCTACCTATAGGCTAGTTTAATGCTGGAGGAGAAGCACTCACGTGTTACCTTCTTAGGACGTGTATAATTATTTATAATGTTAGGGGTGTTTTCATACTGTAGTAATTGTGATACAAATCATGTAATTGTTAAATATATGATGTCGCTCAGCTGAAGTTATAAACCTTAGTGTTCTGGTGAAGTGTGTTTCTATAAAGGTTGATTTTACTAAAATTATAATGAAATTCATTTGCAGAAATTCGACATATGGCCTGTTAGTGTACGAGTTGATTACAGTCCCCATCATGTTGATCTAGCAGCACTAACGGGAGGGAAATATGCAGAGCTAGTGAACCTTGTTCCCTGGAAGGTAAGAAACAAAGTTTCCAGCTTGCGTCTTGAAGGTCTTTTGAGCATCATTTACTCATCACAGAGGAACATATGCACAGGGTATTGAACTACAGCTCAAACACGTGCATGCTGCTGGAATCTACGGCTGGGGAAATGTATGCGAGACTATACTGGGAGAATGGTTGGAAGATATATCTCAGAATCAGGTTCGTTGCGCATAGCATTAATTATCATCCAATTTATGTGTTTAGACTGATGAGCTTTTCGTGCCAAAAAAAAAGACGAAAGACTGACAAGCTTTCTAATGTTCTGTAATTGTATTTTTAGATTCATCAACTGTTGAAGGGTATCCCAACAGTAAGATCACTTTCTGCTCTTTATGCTGCTACTGCGAAGCTGGTCTCTTCACCTGTTGAAAGTTACAGGAAAGATCGAAGGCTAGTAAAGGGAGTCCAAAGAGGTAAGGCGTGAACTCAGAGTGCTCAATGCTCAATTTCACTATTATTTTTTTCTTGTATTCATCTTATTCTTTCCTATTATCTGAAAGTAAGCTACATGTATCGTTATCATATATGATGTTATAACTGTTAGAGTAGGCCACTTGCAAAAGTGGAGCTGTTCATAAAAGGTTTCTGGTGCTAATATATATTCTAGACTCTCATTTCTCTAGAACAAGGGTGAATGATAATTGCTGTTGGCCCACTAACCCTTATAAATACGACTTCGAACATAGCTGATATTGGAATTTACCTCACTGTCGATTTTCAGGTACTATCGCGTTTCTCAGAAGCATTTCACTGGAAGCTGTTGGACTTGGTGTTCACTTGGCAGCCGGGGCTCATGATATTTTGTTGAGAGCCGAATATATATTTGCAAGTGCACCAACATTGCCACAGCCCCAAGGCAGAACGAAAACGAATGTTAGACATAATCAGCCTAGAAACGCTAAGCAAGGCATGCGTCAGGTGAGGCAATACATGTCCTGCATTTCTTCTCATATGATCCCTCGTCTACTCCTGGATCATATATATTTACATTGCCAAATTTTACAGGCATGCGAGAGCATCGGTGATGGAATAGGAAAGACGGCTTCTGCATTAGTCCGCACGCCTTTGAAGAAGTATCAACGTGGAGACGGAGCTGGATCTGCATTTGCAACAGCTGTACAGGGAGTTCCAACAGCTGCTATAGCACCTGCTTCTGCTTGTGCTAGGGCTGTACATAGTGCTCTTGTTGGCATCAGAAATAGGTCGGTTCATTTTCAAATTTTTGGAAATGTGGCATGTTATTTGCAAAGTGTTAAAGACTCACGGAGATTTTTTTCGCCTTTCAGTCTTGATCCTGAACATAAAAAGGAATCCATGGAAAAGTACTTAGGCCCCGATAAACAAAGGAATCAAAACCAACATCGATAAACCCAGGTAGATTTTCTTTCAGTCACATTTTCGTAGATTGGTTATTGCAGTTGCAGTAATATATCTAGCAGTTGGAGAAACCAAGCTTGGTTGTAAGCATTTATCCTGTTTTACTAAAATGTTTGCTACAGATTTTCCTCCAATGATGTCAAGGTCCCTTTTACATATAGCATGTAAGTCTGATAAACTTGCTGAGTAAAATCTTAAGTTTACCAGTTAAATGGTCCTTTTCAAAGACCTCTAAAGGAAAAGCAGTTTGCTATTTATATGAATTTTTGGTTTCGAAATCTGTTTTGACGCTTATAGTTTCATTGTGTTTCAAAATATTGCAGGTAAAATAGGTTTGAATAGAGTAAATTGCAGAACCATTCTTTTGCCCTTCGAAAAGCCGGAGAAATGGCATAATTTTGGTATAGAATAAAGCATTATAGAATCATTCAGTTCGTCTCTGTACATAAACAATTTCGATCTTGCTCCATTGTATATTTACCCCCACAAAGTTTGCCAAATGAGTGAAAGTGTACAGTGTTCTCTGTTTATAGTGCAAACGAAATTCAAAATTGCCAACTTGTTTTTCGTATTTTTCTATTTTCAAAAAATAAATAGAGTGTGATTTGACTTGAATCACAGTATTTTTCTATCTTTGTTTTATATCCGGAGATTCCACACCGAATTCTAAATTGAAACTGAGCACAGTATTGCAAAGAAATAAGCAGCAGGCCCGGCCCATGAATATATTGAACCTGGTGCTATTTATAAGGATGCAAAAGCCTCTAAATTTTTTAAAAGAGCCTCTAAAATTTATCTAAAATTTTCAAAAATGCCCCTGAACTTTGTGCAAACGCATCTCCAGCATATGCATAGAACTGGGCCTGGAAATAAGAATCCTCTTGGGTATTTCGAAAAAAAGCTGTTGGTTTCTCTACTGAATTGAAGAAAGACCACTATTTTTGATGAAGTTAACCGTCCGATTCAATCAGACTTTTCCAAAGACAAATTTTTAAGGATCAATGCAAAGTAGGTCAATCATATATGATTATGCATACATGACCGGTCCATGCTCCAGATCTGAATGTATAGTTCCATTTAGATCCCAAGCAGTGACATATAAATGAAGACATGCAATAAATCAAACTAGAGAAAGAAGCTTACCTCCCAGGGAAAAAAACTTTAAGCAATTTTCAAACTCCATGTCGAGGCATTCCAAAGTTCATCTTCTATGACTAAAATTACACTCCTTCAAATTAAATAAAAGCATTATACTTGTATGTATTTTGATAGAATGACTATGCTATCATTAGTTTTGTGACGGAGGTTCCCCAAAAGTCTCGACAGAACATGCATCTTCCCAGAGAGCTCGACCCAGGCACCATCACCCCCGGTCCATGCTCCAGATCCCAAGCAGTGACACACACATGTAGTCAAGAAAATGAAGGCTCTTAATCGTATAATAGCAACCTTACAAGACTTTAACAATAATCTCATTATTTGAGTGTTCCAGTCGCAATAATAAACACATTTTAAAAAGAAAAAACAAGATAACACCCTTGAATCCTCAGATTCGATATCAAGGAAAAGAAGCTGGACAGAGACAGAAATTCTCTGATATTCACTTCCTCCCAAAGTTGTAAATCTCTCGGAAAGGTAATAATGAGGATAGATTTTGATCAGTCTTTGCACATGAAAAAAAAAACTTTTGATTAGTCAAAATAAATTTGGTTTTTTAATCAGTTTGAAAGAAAGTTAATTAGCTAATTTTGCAGGAAACTCTGAGAGTGATAGATAAAGCTATCTGCGCTGCATCTCAAGCTTTGTTAGAAGCAGCTGCTGAAAGATTGCTCAAATGTCTGAGGTACAGAACTTTAATTGAGACACAAGTAAACGTGTACCTTCTTTCTTAAGCAATTTTCTCACTGGAATGATATATAGGTCATACTCGGAGCTTTAGGACCCGAGAAACCAAGATCATAATAATCAACAGTCACAAATTGGAGAGTTCTTGAGTGTAGTGTTAGTTTTGCAGTAGACCAGGGGTAAACATGTCATAACGAAACATATATGTTCATGAGTTGTTTTGTAATGAAATGCTGACGGTTGTCGTTTGTGAGTTATTTTTGAAGGTACGTTTCAAAGGGACGGTGCCTGGAGCGACGAGTTTTCCGGCGGTGATATTAACGGCAGCGAGCTTTAACGCATCGTTGTGGGTAAAAATGGGAGAAGTAGTTTCGACGGAGGCTCGAGCGATGCACAATGTAGGACTAGCTGCCCTCACGTATATTGGAGTCCCATCGTTAACGTCTTCAGAGATCCAAGGTGGGGTCGCGGCCAAGAGACGCCAGGAGAGGATCCTCTCGTCGTTTCCAAATACGCCGTGAATTACGTTAAGGGCTTACAAGACGTTCACGAAGGTGGCGGAAGATCACGGCGGCTTAAAGTGTCGAGCTGCTGCAAGCATTACACTGCTTAATTTCGATCTTGATAAATGGAAAGGCATCGATAGATACATAGATTGTTAAAAGGAAACTCAAAGACAAAAGAATAATCAGACCTTACACGAGTTCTTGATTTTTTTGGGTGGGAAGGTGACTAAGCAAGACTTGGAAGACACGTATCAGCCGCCATTCAAGAGCTGTGTAGAAGAAGGAGATGTGAGCAGTGTAATGTGTTCTTACAGCAGAGTTAATGGCATCCCAACTTGTGCTGACCCTAACCTTCTTCGTGGAGTTATCCGAGGCCAATGGCGTCTCGACGGGTCAGTATATTGTTTTTAACCTTGTTACAAGAACAAGTTTGAGCTCAAGATCATAGACTTAAGTTATTCAAAAATCGATTCCTTACATCTTTCTTGGTGGCAGATACATCGTTTCGGATTGTGATTCCATCGAGGTCTATTTTAACTCCATTCATTATACTAAGACACGTGAAGACGCAGTTGCTCTCGCTCTCAAAGCAGGCAAAAATCTTTACATCATGATCTCAAAATCCACTACACTATATATGGAGTTTGATCTTTGAGAAGTAAAATGTGTTTTCTTGTTCTTAAACAGGTTTGAACATGAACTGTGGAGATTTTCTAGGTAAGTACACAGAATGCTGTGAAGCAAAAGAAATTGAACGGATCAGAGGTTGATGAAGCGCTGATTTACAACTACATCGTTCTCATGCGGCTCTGATTCTTCGATGGAGATCCTAAAACGCTTCCATTTGGTGATCTTGGACCATCTGATGTTTGCAGCAACGATCATCAAATGCTTGCGCTTGAAGCCGCAAAGCAAGGGATCGTACTGCTTGAAAACAGAGGAGATCTTCCGTTATCAGAAACGGTGGTCAAGAAACTAGCGGTTATAGGGCCAAACGCTAACGCTACAAAGGCAATGATTAGTAACTACGCGGGCTTGCCATGTAAGTACACAAGCCCTTTACAAGGTCTGCAAAAGTATGTACCGAGAGGGGTTGTTTACGAGCCAGGATGTAAAGACGTCAAGTGCGTTGACCAAACGCTGATCGCCGCAGCGGTCAAAGCGGCTACAGAGGCTGATGTGACGGTTTTGGTGGTTGGCTTGGATCAGACTGTAGAAGAAGAGGGTCTTGACCGGGTTAACCTAACCCTTCCAGGTTATCAAGAAAAGCTGGTGAAAGATGTGAATAATGCTGCAAAGAAAACTGTTGTTTTGGTCATAATGGCGGCTGGACCTATTGATATCTCATTTGCCAAGAACCTGAGCAAGATCCGGGCGGTTTTATGGGTCGGATATCCCGGTGAAGCTGGAGGAGAAGCTATAGCTCAAGTCATCTTTGGTGATCACAATCCTTGTAAGTCTCTTCTTACTCAAACCCTAATTAAACCCTAGACACAGTTACTTATCTGTGTTTGCTATTTGCATCAGCTGGGAGACTTGAGCTTATCATGCTTTACAACATATTAAAATTAAAACCCTACTTTTTAATCTGAGCCCCCTTGAATTTTTTATGTTGCAAATTAATTGGAGATACGTAACACGCGTTCGAGTTCTCAGCAAGACATAGACTTAGTGGTGACAACTCGAGAATACTTGACTTGGTACCTCGTTCATTTCTCCAAGCTCTTAGATTGGCCACCAATGTCGTAAATTTAATATGTCGTAAGAAACTGCATGAGTGACTCTTCAAAGTTTGGGCTTCGTCTGGCCCAATCATATATGAACATTCATACAGTATATTCATGACCGGTTCGATCCTACGAAAACAAATCATTAAAATGAGCCAGATCAAAACAATATTCATTCTATTTTTGTAGCATAACAATGTCCACAACAAAATACCATAACAATGTTTCTTAGTTCAAAATATTACATCTCATACAAAATCATCATCGTGATTTACAGAAACTTGGTTTGGCCTTTGCAAAGATAGGTGAATGTTAGCATCACCAGTGCTACTAGTAGAGTGTAAACGCTTATAAGTAGTCAACTTCACTCTTTTTGCGGTATCGTTGACAGATAACGGTTGCAGCGGTTCCCGAGGTCTTTGTTGCGGTTTGTTGAACGCACGATTACTTACAGTTTGGTTTCGGTTGCGTTCTGTTGCAGGCTCTTCCGGTTTCGGACCAACATTTGATTGTATGGGAATGAGTTTCCCATCTACCTGGTTTGTGAATACAAATGTAACCTGCAATGTTTTTTACAGACTGTGATAAATCTGACATTCTGGATTCACACTTTTACAGTTTAAGATTGATCGGATTGAAAAAAACTTGGACACAGCTCACCTCGTCACCAGCTGATGCTTGCAGTATAGCATCTGGAACCGACTTTGAGGTAAAATGATGTCCCCAACTTCCTAGATCTTCCTCCAATGGAGTGCCCACCTGAGGATATTCATGGACAAAAGCTTTTCAGATGAATCAGAAGGCAAAAGACATGAACCAGATGGAATTAGAGACGATTTTTGGTGGTAATGTTTCAGTGTTCGTTTAATATCTAGAGAGACTTAGATTAATGCTACTTAGATGAAGGGACCTGTCTCTCGGAGTCTTTGAGCAAGTGAAAGCACCCTGCTTCGTCTGCAAATCCGCCTATATCTTCTCCATCAATTTGGCAAGCATCGCTATCTACATTGTTCTCATTCCCTTCTTCCATGTTTTCAGTACTGGAGGCATTATTTTGGCACCTGGTGCAGCTCATCTTTTCATGGATTTCAGACCTAGGAAAAAGGCAGAGTACAAATCACTGGACTATGCTACAGGACGTGTGTTCATAAATATTGAGATGCAAAATATTGTATGTTGCAAGATCATGGAAAGTGGAAACCATATCTGAGTGGGCAAAATATATACCTCACATCCCCGTGGAAGGAAAATAAATCTCTTAAATCCTCTGTTGAAAGCAAGTTCCCCTGAAAAACCAAAGATGTTGTGGTTGGTATTTAAGCATTAGGCACAAAATGTATAACTGATTAAGCATATGACATTTCAGCAAGGACCTGTCTCGTGCTGTTATCCGTCTGTTCATTCTGAATAACTTTCTGAAGCCCTTCTTTCGACATCTGACGCTGGTAAACCTGACAATATACCACATGAAATGCCAATATGAATCTGAGTTTAGCAAGGATATAAAAGAGGTCACTTCTGCTGGTGTGATGCAAGCACCTTTTCTTCAATAGTTCCAGTACTAAGAAACCTGTAGACATATACTCTTTTCTTTTGCCCATCCCTCCAAACTCTAGCAGCAGCCTGTTTTGACAGCGAAGTAATGCATGTACAGCACAATCAATCATTCTCTTATCAGCATAGTTCTGAAACAGTTTTAAAAGGAAGTTAAGATGATAATTACTTGTTTATCATTGGCAGGATTCCAATCGGGATCGAACAACACAAGTCGATTAGCACCAATTAAATTTAATCCACAGCCACCCGCCTTGCTGCTTAAGAGAAATGCAAACTCATCCTACAGACGCAAAAGTCAAACCGGTGGTTACTCAGGTTTGTAACAAAGTGGAGAAAAAAAAGAGATAAGCTCATGTACCTTTGTTGGGTCGTTCAACCGGTTAACAAGCTTCTGCCTCTTGCTGATTGTCGTTGATCCATCCAGCCTCAGATAAGGATATCTTCTTTCACGACAGAGTTGAGCGAAAAGATCCAATGTCTAGTGCAAAAGGTGCAGGCTATGGTTACTGTATGCAGACTGGATTTAAAATTGCTTTCTATATGCAACACACCATGCTGGTCGTTTTATGCAATCACACAACTACAGACTTCAGCTCTTGTAATGTTTGAAACATAACACATAGCTTATACGAATACTATTTCAAAGAGATTGCAACACCCCTAATTGACAATTAGACATTTAAACCAGTAGTAACATCATTAGACATACCTGTGTGTAGTTTGATACAAGAACTATGCGGTCATCTGTTTTCCTACGTAGGTTTGCCAAAAGTCTGGAGAGAACGTGCATTTTCCCAGAAAGCTCGACCCAGGCACCATCACCCCCGGTCCATGCTCCAGATCTGAATCAATAACTACATTTAGTGCCACATACATGCAGACATGCAATAAATCAAACTAGAGAAAGAAGCTTACCTCCCGGAGAACATTTCTGCAGGGAAGAACTCTAAGCAATTCTCAAACCCAATAGTTCCAGGACTTTTGCTTTTTATTGTATCGTAGATAAGCTACATAAAATAGAATAGGTCTATCATTAAGCATAAATGGGGAAGATGGAATAGGGTTTGTTAATCACGTAGGTCAGGGACCACCAAAATTTATAGTCTTAATATGAGAACTTGATAATAGCGCCTTAAAATGTTACAAAGATGCCTCAAATACTATTGGAGAAACTTCATTGAAAATAGATACCTTTGGATGATTGCAGAGCTTCTTGAGAGCTGTTATATAAGCCAAGACTTTGGTCTGCTTTGCATTATCCGCAAGTGCTCTTTTGAGCTGCATGCACAGGCACCCATTGTATACAGTTTCAACTTGTATATTTTACACAGCGTAATAAGAGTGACTGTGATCAATGCTTACATTTTTTGAGCTTATAAAATGATTGTATAGAGTGGACTGGAGAGTAGTCATCTTGCAACAAACTACTTCAATTATCTGCGAAACATCTAGCATCAAAATTTTGATATATTCTGTTGGCTTCAAAATAGAGATAGCAGCAAAAGGAACAACTGGTAGCTACTTTCACAAAGGTGTTCATTCTATACGTATTGACAGAGCATTGGTTTAGCATCGTAAGAAACTATATTCAGACGCATGTAAAAGAAGCAGAAAGAAAAGCACCTTAGGTGGTAAGTGATTAGAGAGCAACGCATTGGTTCTCCTCAAAATAAACTGTTAACAAAAAGAATTTTTTCATTAGTGATGCTCTGTTGATCATAGTAGCAAATTCATCTAAGCAAACTGCATTTCCTTTAAGAGATATATATAGATGATGATGATGAATGCTCAATGAGAATCGAATATTTACATACACAATGCTAAGAAGAATTACCTGATTGACTTTTGAACTCAGTTCTGCAGAGCGGTCAGCAGCTAAGTTCTTCTCTTCCTCGGTGGCTGTAGGTTCTCTTCCACATATAATAGGTGCCTTGTGTTTCACATATCAAAACAAGGATGCATCAAAAGAAGGTAGCGTTGAAAAATATACACAGCCTATACTCAATTGAAATGGAGTTATATGACAAAGATAACAGCCTAAAAGAAGCGGCAAAGTATACTTTACAAAGTAACTTAGGCTAATCCTACATTTTTTGGCCAACAATCGCCTAGAAATATTGATCTTAACAAAGTAAGAGATGACAGAAGACCGAATGATTGAATAAAAACACAAAGTATGTCACCTCGTAATAATGGCGAAAATGCGCAGCATCGCCTAAACTTCCTGGATTTGTAAAGTTGACCATCGCAAAAAACTCTTCCAAGTCATTCTGGAACATTCGGATGCAGAAGAATTATAAATAAGGAGTAAAGGCTAGTGTACATGCTAGGGGAAGTTAAATAGAGAGAATCAGAGGACTTGTCCATTACCTGCATGGGAGTTCCAGACAACAAAACCCGCCGTTTGCATGTCAATGAAGCCAAAGCCTGTATCATAATCAAAATTAGATAAGATTACGAAATAAAAAGTATCAAAATTAGATAAGGATACGAAATAAGTATGTATTTGCATGCTACCCTGTTGGTTAGTGTCTGGTCATTTTTCAGCCTATGAGCCTCATCGCATATTAGAAGATCACAGGATTCACTCTGGCAGAACTTGGATGCGTGCATTCGGAATGTCTCGTAAGAAATGATAAGTACCTGTTAACATTAATTAAGTCATTAGCACATTTTTCAGAGCAGCTAAAAAATATGCACAACTATACCTGCAAAGCGCTTCGTGGTCGAGTGAAACTATCAATTCCAGACAAAACATCATCTCTAGTGCTTTCACAGAGGGCTATAAGCTGAATCCTGTCTCCAACCCATTTCTTAATTTCAGCTTCCCAGTTACTGACAAGACTCGTTGGTGTAACGATAATGGCCTTTTTAACCATAGGCGTCCCATCAAACCCTTGACATAGAAGTGTGTATAGCAGTGTAATGGACTGCAATGTCTTCCCCAAACTGTCAAATCAATTTATAAGGAGATAAGAAAACTAATAGCAAAGAATACAGCGTCCAGACCCAATATTACATAACGGAGAAGATAGGTTTTACCCCATATCGTCAGCCAGAATGCAACCATTTATATTTGCCGAACCATGTAATCCTGAAACACAATCGAACATGAACTGGACACCCTCTCTGCAGTCTCAGAAAAAACAGCTCACCATGTAAGCAAACTCGTATTATATATCATGCGTGATGCCAATTATAGATAAATTTTATTCACAAGCCGTTCACTGAGAGCAAAATACTAAGAGCATACACTGATGTTAATCAACTAGCAGAATTTGAATGCTATGGCAATTGTAATATCAAAGCACAGATCTTAAGCAATTTTTGATATTCTTAGAGATTACTAAACTGTTCTTGACGTCACTTCTTAGACAGAAATAAATTACCTTTGATGAGGCCGAAGGAATCGGACAAGCAATGGATGCACTGCAATTTTGGTTGCAGTGCTGATTCCATGGCCAGGTTCATCAAGTTGCCATAATACCAAGGGATCAATTTCAGGTGGAAGACAAACAACTTCCTCTTCTTCATCTTTCTCAATAGTGGTTGATACATTCAGCTTAGTAGGTAAAACAACCACAACCGGATTCGAAGAACCCCAAGGGACAAACCGCTTGCGAGCCGAGAGGCGACGAGAAAGCTGATCGGTGGAATCATAACCATGAGAACACGGAGGCTTGAAGGGCTTCCTACAAACCGCCGCTCCTTCTGACACTGAGAGCACCCGAGGAAGAAGTGGCTGCCGTTGCACCACCAGATTTCCCCTGTCAAACCGTAAAGAAGATTCAATTCCATCTTCATTAAACATTCACCCTCAATGATTTCATCATATAAGAGATCTATCGAATATATCTGTGATACTATTAAAATGTTATCGAGATCGAAGTAGCAACACTAAATTTGCTGGAGCTGATAGAACTCGAGACACGAAATCTCCCAGAAATCCCCAAAATTTAATCTCAGAAACTCCAAATAATGTATATAGACGCATGCGAAAAAAAGAGCCTCGATTAGGTTAAAGCTCAAATTGAAATCGAGGAACTTCAATTACACACCTCAGAAGATCGTTTACGTTCTTCGATTTCCGATCGGCGTCGGATGGAGGAGAAACGGCCGCAAGGTCTTCGCACTCGAGGTTTTCCTCGGAATTTTCATTTTCTGCTTCCGAATCTTGAGACTCTTCCTTGTAACTATCACTGGAATCTTCGGAATCGGAGGACGAAATGATGTCTTCATCTTCTTCCTCCATTTTCGACGGTAGCTGACACACACCAACGAGCCCAGAGCTCCGCTTTTGACGATTCCTAAAATTCTTTTGGCGGCAAGAAAGAAAGAGATACTTAGTAAGTAAACCAAAAATAAAATCCAAATAATTTGAAATAAGTATTTACGATAATAAAATGTAGTATTTTTAAAAATATCCGAAATTTTTAATTCGTCGAGGTTGATTTTACTTCACCCAATTTCATGGCCGCACCTGCAAACTTCTCGTCTCGATGTTCCGATTATACCCTAATTGCTCTCTACCCTCTCTCAGACCTCTCGTTTTTCTTCCCCGCCTTCCTTCTCGCTCCCTCCGTTGCCGCGCCACCGCCGATATCCCCCTTGGCGACGGAATTCGGTTACCCCGGGAAGCGGATTCTTCCACCTCTGACTCGGCGAGGTCTCGAGATGTCTCAGTCACCGCCGGCGGGAATGGTGAAGCTGGGAAATGGAGAAAGAGGAGATTGCTATGGTCGAAAAGTGGACAGAGTTACTTGGTAGACGACGGCGACGCGCTTCCTCTCCCTATGACTTATCCTGATACATCCCCTGTGTCGCCGGATGAGATTGACCGGAGATTGCAGTGCGATCCTGTAGTCGAGGTTTTTGTCTTTGCTCCACTTTCATTTACTGATTTAGATAAGCCTCAAAGACACTCGTGTTTAATAAGTAGAGAATTTGAATTTCTTAGGATTGCCGGGAAGTGGTTTATGAATGGACTGGAAAATGTAGAAGCTGCCAAGGATCTGGATCTGTCAGCTATTACAAGAAAAAGGGTAAAGAGGTTATTAGCAAATGCATACCATGCCAAGGGATAGGTAAGTTTCTGACTGTGTTTCTTTTTCCCTGGTTTATGGATCGAATGAAAGTTTTAAGATTTATCTTTGAGCTGAATCGTCTTTGTGGAAAAGAATTCAAAGCCCCAATATCTTGACTTGATAAGTTTAAATTGATTGCAGGATATGTGCAGAAGATAACATCTCGAAAGGACATTGAAGTGATGGAAGATTTGGATGATGAAACCTCTTGACCTTGAATTTGCTCAACCGTGCCCATTTGTGCATGATGCGTATGCGTGCGCTTGGGTTTGCTGCATGTAAAGAAACCACAACCAGAAGAAAGATAGCTACTTCTTTTGGCATGGCATGTTTCTCCCAAACAAGCTGTTTGGAGGTATAGACAGAAATTACTGAATTCTTGCTCAGATAATGGCTACTCCCCAAATAGGAAATTACCTTTTATTTATTTATATATATATATATATGTATCAGATCTTGAGCCACCATAAACTGCAGTCTGCAGGAATTCTTTTTGGTGTTTAGGTTGTATCAATTTTCCACACAGGAAATAAAGTGGTAACACGATCTGTTTCAATTGTTTTCATGTGCTTGCTTTATCTCTTTGCTCAAGTTACTCTAGAGGTCCAAAGATTGTTCAATGAAATGAAAGCATAGGAAGTAATACAGTCATCTTAAAAGTATCTGGCCTAGATGCTTCCTCGATCGAACCCTTTCTCCATGAAATCTGTGTACTTTCAATCCTCGAGGCCAAGAATAATGACCCTTTTAGTTCTACAGATGACCTTTCAATGAGCACTTGAAATCTGATCATTGTTAGCAACCCTAATTTTGGCTGGTCTTGTTTGTGCTTGGCATGTTCTGAGGAGACGCCCTACAACAAGTAGATACATTTTTGACATCAAAATGCCTATGATAATGCTACTGTTTTAAAAATATCAACTCGGTAAAAATTCTTACTGAATAGTTAGGCCCTTTTTCTGGAGTAGTGCAGTAGGAATTGTACCTTGAAACTTGTTGTTCTTAAGGGACCTGCAGATTCACTAATAACATCAACAATAATAACCTGATGCTAGTTTTTATCAGTTACAGGTCGAAACCTTAGTTTGTCATATAAATAAGTGAACACTTTTGGTCATATTATCAGATTCGTATGTGTAGACATGCTGTTATAAGCAGAGAGGAGAAGAGAATTATGTTTACAGTGTGCGGAGATTAGGAAGCTGTGCAAGTGACTCAGGAATCGCTCCGGTAAACTGATTGTCCTCTAAATGTCTGCCTCGTCCCCCAAAATAAAACGGTAAGTCTTAATATTTTGTACAACAATTATAGAAGTTTGGCTAAAAGAAGGCATACAGAGTTTCTAATCTCGTCATGGGACTCAAATCTGGGATAGGTCCTGTGAGCTTGTTCTTCCCCAACCATCTGCAAACCCGAAAGTTGCAGCTAGATCTTAGTCTTACAAAAAGTCATTCCAACACTAACACCTTTTTAGGATGCAAAGTCCTTACAGATCTTTAAGGGCAGTCATCTTGTTTATGCTTGGTGGTAGAGAGCCCGATAGTCCACGATTTGTCAGATTTCTAGCAAGAGAACCAAAACCCTAGATTCAGACTTAGTAGTCTACACAGCTACACAAGCTTCTCTTAGAGAGTATTGAGTTTTTTACTTACAGAGAAATCACTCTGGTGATTTTTTCTTTGGAGCAAGTTAAGCCAGTCCACGAGTTGGCAAGAGGAAGGCATGGATCGCCGGACCAGTCTACCGGAGGCTTCTTGATGCTCTCTAACAGGTCCTCCATTGCAGTTGCTGCAGGAGAATGTGTTTGCTTCATTTATCACATAATAGACAAAAACATAGATGAAGCAGAAGGGGGAACATTTACATTACCATCTTTGATATTAGTGCTTCCACCAAGAGGAACAACCTGAAACACTTCTCCAGCATTAATCACTGCTCCCATCGGCGAATCCTTGGCGGGAGTCAGTGTGATCTGAGTCTGACCTGACAATGGCCACTGACCAGAGTAAACCATAACCCCATTGGTGCTCACATTGAGTTTTCTTACAAAGGAAACTCCATTGATCGAGACACCAAAAGCTCTCCAGCTCAAGGGGCTTGGACTCCGATCATCCTGAAAATACAGAGCTACATAGTACTTTGTGGCCGGAAGAGGAAACGGCGGCCATTGAAGCTTCAGAGGCTTCTCTTTACTCACTGTGAAACCTTCCACAAAGGCTTTAGTCGGTGGAATGTTCCAAAAGTCCGACGGGTTAATCCTGCTTCGAGAAGTCACTGTCGGATGCTTCTGGTCCGAAAACGGTTGCCATAAACGGTTGTATTGGTCATCTGGATAGCTATGTTACATACCAGCACAAGTCATCAGGCTAAAAAAGATGAAAATTATCAGATGATCAAACTATGAAATGATGTAAAGGGTACCTGATCATCTCTCCGTCTACTCCAAAGCTGTTCCTGGCGACGAGGCTGAGCTTGTAGGACCCGAGGTCCGTGGAATTGTACATGTGATCTTCAAGAGATTGTACATCTAAAGCCGATATGAACGGTGATGAGAGGGTGTTTGCATTCTTGGCTAGACAAACACTCAGTTTCTTCCCGGGAACACCAGCAATGATCTCGTAGTAAGAACTCTGACCCTTGGCGTAATCCTCTGACGTGTTCACGACGCTCCATTTTGTGCCTCCAACGATCTGATCGAAGACAGGTGGGCTGTTTTTGCCGTCGAAGTTCCCGTAGTAGTAAGTGGTTCGGATTAGGTACTTGGAGTTCTCGGCCACGGGGAAATTATAACAGTGTTTTCGCGATGACTTGTCGGGGAAGTAACGCAGCGTCGAGAGGATCGGAAGAAGGTCTTTTTGCTTAATGGTCGCCGTGTTGCCTACGGCGATGAATCCTTTGTCCGTTGTGTAATTTATCTCGTTGAGTTTCGTTGAAGCTGATGATCCACAATTTAAGTAGAAACCTTCCATATGAAATAAACGGCGACATTTTAGGGCATCTATAAGACTATAACAATGTTTAGCATGGAATAGCGACATTGATTCAAGAGCTTTTTGAAAAAGTTTCTAAATGGTTATTTCTTAAGATTCTATTAAAAATGTTTCCCCAGAAGAAGATAAATAAAAATTAAATTACGAAGCACAAAAGAATTTTACCTCGAGGAGGAGGAAGAGCTTGAGAGACAGAACACCATAATAAGAGGAGGAAGAAAGGAAGCATTGAAGAAGCAGAAACAAAAGATCGGATTCTTTTGATTGTGTTCTTTTTGATGGAGGAGATAGAGATATTGGTGAAGGGCATGCTTGAAGGTAGAGAAAACACCGAAGATGTCTAAAATTTGTTAATTTTCTTATTTTAGCATCAATATGAGGTTTGAGAGTCTCACTAGTTTGAAGAGAGACTAAATAAGCTACATGCAATCTCTCTTTTTATTTTATTTTTGTGTCTTATTCTTAATTTATCTGGGTCCATGTCCTTGAATGTTAACACAGTAAATTACATATGGTATCTCGTACAGAGAGAGGAAAGCTAATACTCACGACTTAAGAGTGTATCAAAATTCAAGCTTTTCTAATTCAGTGACAAGTGATTCATAAAACATGTACAAAGGTTTGTTTACTTGTCTCTACTCAGAGTTTTGTGGAAGCTAGATCAGACAAAATTATAAAATACATTGGCCAGTATCATTATGCTTGAGGACAAGATCGAGTAAAGAAATCTCAATTCGGTGACACGAACCTTGAAACAAGAGATTATATCTCTCCTCTGTATCCACCAGAGCCAAAATAGTCTTTTCTAGAATTAGATATGGCCACACTCTTCTGGTGCTCGAGTTTTGGGCAGTCTCCAATACGATGTCCGAGACCGCCACAATAAGCACAACCCTTGACACCACTTGCATGCGCAACGGTCTCTGCTTCTTCCATTGGATCATCCAGCTCAGCAAGTACAGGCGGAATCCTCTGTTTAGCTTCCTGCAACAAGTGCTTCAAATCGAGCAGCGTGGTCTCGCTTTGGTTCTTGTTTATAAACGTAGTTGCTATCCCAGTTTTCCCACACCGGCCTGTTCGTCCTATCCTGTGCACATAGTTCTCAATCTCCGCAGGCATGTCGTAGTTGATCACGTGCTGTATATCAGGGAAATCTAAACCCTTTGAAGCAACATCTGTCGCCACCAAGACGTCTTTTTTCCCAGCCTTGAAGGAATAGATTGCGTACTCTCTGTCTTCTTGATCTTTGCCTCCATGGATGGCCACTGCTTCCACTCCTTTGAGTAGCAAGTACTCGTGGATATCATCAACATCAGCTTTGCTCTCACAGAAGATTAAAACCGGCGGAGAGGTTTTCTGCAGGCACTCGAGGAGGTAAACAACCTTTGCCTCTTGTTTGACGTACTCAACCTCCTGGATGACATCGAGATTCGCAGCTCCAGCTCTTCCCACGTTAACAGTCACGGGTTTCACCAGAGCACTTGTGGCAAAGGCTTGGATTTTCGCAGGCATCGTGGCGGAGAACAGAAGCGTCTGACGCTGAGACTTAAAGTGGTCAAAGACTTCTCTAATGTCGTCTTCGAAACCCAAATCAACCAACCTATCTGCTTCGTCCAGCGTCAGGTACCTGCAAGCATCTAAGTTCATCTTTTTCTTGGCGAGCAAGTCCTTCAACCTCCCAGGGGTTGCAACAACGATGTGCACTCCTCTCCTCACAACCTCCAGCTGCGATCTCATATCCACTCCTCCGATGCATAGCAACGACCTCAACGGCGGAGATCCAGCCGCAGATAAAGGAGCAACGAACTGTTCAACCACGTCATAAGTCTGCCTTGCAAGCTCTCTAGAGGGACAGAGGATAAGCGCGACGGGACCTTCTCCAGGAGCGATAGGCAACATCGTCTTCTCCTGCAGAGCCATCATGATCATGGGAAGCACGAAAGCCAAAGTCTTTCCCGAGCCCGTGAAGGCAATCCCAATCATGTCTCTCCCCGACAAGATCACAGGAAGACCCTGAACCTGGATAGGAGTCGGCTGCACGATTCCCTTCTCCCTGAGCGTATCGAGAACAGCTCTCGGAAACTTCATATCGCTGAAGTTCTTGATCGGAGGGGGAATGTCTTCACCATTGACTATGATATGCCACTGCTTCCTAATCAAATCCATATGTTTGCTCGACATCTTCCTGATACGCAGAGGCGGTTTCCACCCTGTTAGCAGAGGCTCTGTGTAAGTGATACCTTTGGCCAGTTCGCGAACAGACATAAGCGTCTTCTTGACGGATAATTGCTCCATCATCTCCTTCTCCTGTGATATAATTTGCTCCGTAGCACTCACTTCGGGTAGATTTCGCCTGAGATGAGTTGCTTGAACAAGCAAGCTTGGCCTAGCTTCAGCCGGCTTTACCTGCAACTCCGACGACACCTTTCCCTTCACACGAAGCATCTTCTTATATTCCATCTCTCTGCGCAGCGCCACTGAAACATACGGCACGAATCCATCATCTACCTCCATGATTCGATCAATCGAACTGAAAACCCTATGGAATCAAGCCTCAAATCTCTCTCGCAAACAACCTCAGATCTCTCTCGCAAACAAAAACAATTCTAGGTTTGTTCGCAATACTCGCCGATATATATATATATATATATATAGGCGGGTAACTGAAATAAGGAAACTGGAAATATTATGATTATACAATTCATCTAAAAATAATGGAAATTTGAAAAAGGAAAAGAAGTGTTTCAATTTAGAAATAGAATCCTTTATTAAATATAAAAATAATAGTTACACAGACATGGAAGCGCCTGTAGCTCAGTGGATAGAGCGTCTGTTTCCTAAGCAGAAGGTCGTAGGTTCGACCCCTACCTGGCGCGCGTCAATTTAAACTTTGTCTTAACTTTTTGATATAATGTTTTTTTTCCTTTTTTTACATTCTTCCAATTCTATAGACAAACCTTACAAAAGATTTTAAGCGGAAATATGTCACTATTCTATTGTCAAAAGTTTTTACAGCAAGTATTTTTTAGTAGTTAGAATATGATTTTCATATCTTTACTTCTTAAATAAACACTTCTTTATACATCTCTAAAACGCCAAAACAGTCAGTCACTGACGCGTTCTAAAAGCGTTGCGTCAGGGTGAAGCAAAGCCCAACGTTATATGGACGCTAAACGAATTTCCAAACAGATTATCGTACCCATATAAAATCCCCAATTCTCCTCCCAAATCCCTAACTTCCTCCCCTACAAACGCTCCCAACTCTCTCTCTCTCACTCTATCCAGAGAAATTTTCAAAATTCGCTTCGATCCAGGCCAGAATATTTTCGGTAACGATCTTTTCTGATTCGGCTGCGAGAATTCAAAAGAGGAAAGTTATTTTCGCTACCTCTCCGTTTCGGTTCTTCTTGTAGCTGATCAAAGCCATGGGTACTTCTCAGAGTCGGGAAGATCGGATCACCGATTCGGATACGGATTCCGATTCCGATTACTATGAAGAAGATGATAATCAGTACGATGACGCAGATGTCTCGAAAAAGCAAGGATCGTCGTCTGCTTCTGGCTCAAACCTCTCACGGCCGTCTGGTTCTTCTTCTTCGGGGCCATCTGATTCGTCGTATCTGGATATTGAGCAGAAGCTGGGAGCCTTGAAGTTGAAATATCCATCATCCGAAACGCCCAAGATGAAAAACGCGGTGAAGCTTTACCGCCATATCGGTGGAAACACGCCCAAAGCCAAATGGATCGTCACAGAGAAACTGACATCGTACAAGTTCGTCAAGACCTCGACGGTGGACGGAGAGGATATTGATCACTATGATGATGGTGAAGCATCAGGTGAAGGAGGTGAGTCCTTCTGGTTTCTGGGTGTTGGATCTAAGGTCAAAGCTAGCGTTTCGACGGATATGCAGTTGAAAATGTTTGGGGATCAACGTAGGGTTGATTTTGTGAGTAACAACGGGGTTTGGGCTTTGAAGTTCTTGACCGATGAGGATTATAGGAAGTTCGTTACCAGGTTCCAGGACTATCTGTTTGAGAATGTGTATAAGGTCAAGGCATCAGATGAGAGTAGGGTGAAAGTTTATGGGAAAGATTTCATTGGGTGGGCTAAACCCGAGGCTGCTGATGATTCTATGTGGGAGGATGCTGAAGGTCCACCGGAGGAAGAGGAGACTCGGGCGAAGGTAAATACGGATTTGACTGAAGAATTCGAGGAGGTGGCGAATGGTGGAGTTCATAGTTTGGCTTTGGGAGCATTGGATAATTCATTCTTGGTGAATGATATAGGGGTTCAGGTTTATAGGAATATGGAGCGTGGGATTCATGGGAAAGGTGTGTGCGTGAGATTCGACAATGGAAACTCGAGACTCGGTCCCGGTTCGAGCCAGACAACACCGAACAAGGCTCTATTGATGAGGGCGGAGACGAATATGATGCTGATGAGTCCGGCTAAACAAGGGAAACCGCACTCGAGCGGCGTTAAGCAGCTCGACATAGAGTCGGGGAAGATTGTTACGGAATGGAAATTCGAGAAAGACGGGACTGAAATCACGATGAGAGACATCACAAACGATACGAAAGGGTCGCAGCTAGATCCGTCAGAGTCTACGTTTTTGGGGTTGGATGACAACAGGCTGTGTCAATGGGACATGAGGGACAGGAGAGGTATAGTGCAGAACATCGAATCGCCCATCTTGGAATGGACTCAAGGGCATCAGTTTTCTAGAGGAACGAACTTCCAGTGCTTTGCGACTACTGGAGATGGGTCAATCGTTGTGGGATCGCTTGATGGGAAGATAAGGTTGTACTCGAAGACCTCAATGAGACAGGCGAAGACGGCTTTTCCAGGGCTTGGTTCACCGATAACACATGTGGACGTCTCGTATGACGGGAAATGGATATTGGGCACAACAGATACGTACTTGGTTCTTATATGCACCCTTTTCACAGACAAAGATGGTCGGACGAAAACAGGTTTTAGCGGAAGGATGGGGAACAAAATTCCAGCGCCGAGGCTGCTGAAGCTAACGCCACTAGATTCACACTTGGCAGGAAAAGATAATAAGTTTCACGGCGGTCACTTCTCATGGGTAAGTTTATCGTCAAACATTATTGTTTACTGTTATTGACTGGTTGTGAAGCCAAATCTCACAGTCTTTGCTGTGTGTTGTGAATGTTATATGCAGGTAACGGAGAGCGGGAAGCAAGAGAGGCACATCGTAGCAACAGTGGGGAAATTCAGTGTGATATGGGACTTGGAGCGGGTGAAGAACAGTGCGCACGATTGCTACAGGAACCAGCAAGGGCTCAAGAGCTGTTACTGCTACAAGATCTTGTTGAAGGATGAGTCAATTGTGGAGAGCCGATTCATGCACGATAAATTCTCCTTTTCCGGTAACAAATCCCCAGAAGCTCCACTTGTGGTTGCCACTCCTCAGAAAGTCAGCTCCATTAGCCTCTCTGGAAGACGGCTGTGATGAAACACATTTTGTATCTGTTACTTTTTCCATGGTGGCTTTGTAATGAAGTTGGTTGTGTAGCGTTTGCTTTATTTCTTTCTCGTCGTGTGAAGGTTTGTGTTAAATGACATTTGGCTTTGCTCAAATATGAGTCCTTGAAAACAGCTTTGTATGTGCTTTGAATCAAATTGGGTATGAGTTGGTTTCATGATCCTTAATGACATCATAAATAAATACATTTTCATGAACAACTAATGTATGTTTCGTCATGACTACATAACTGTATACTACAGAAAGTACAAACCAGACAAAGAGTAATTGCGTTTACAATATGCAGTCATTGCTATCTCCTGCATCTGATTTATTTTTTAATCAACAGATGGATTCTCAAGCAAATCCTCTTGCAAAAATCTCTTGCAGCTTGTTACATGAAATAATTATATATATAACCAACTTCGAGAATTAGTTTTGACTGGCTTAATCAGTTTTGTTGCTTCACTTAATCATTTAGATTTAGTGGTCTATCTGTTTTACTCCCTAACTCGCCGAAATGTCTTTCAATTTTCAACTATGCAACGTCTGAGATCCCCACCTCAGAAATATTATCATCGCCTTTGGCCAACGGTGGCTGGAGGCGTCGGAGATCGATTATCTCCTCCTGCTGAACCAGTCTGTTTTTTTGCAATCTATTGTAAACCTACCATTAGACACTCCCACACTTTATCCGTACAAATTTCAAAACTAAAATTATTAAAAAAATATATAATTTCAGATCTCATTAATAATCTGAATAAAAATATAAATTAAAACAGTTTTGCATAATCATTACAGCTTCCTAACGAAACTAAATATAAATCAATATAAATCATTGATTATATATACTTTTGGATTATAAATGCAAAAGTATAATATCAAGATCTTAGCAAGAAATTTTTTTTTTAAATCAAGTGTATATTTACGTCAGAATTAGATAATTGGATAAATATCATTATTATTATTATATTTAATAAGATTTATAAATTTATAAATAAAAATAGAAGAAAATTAAAAAATATATTTTAAATTATTTTATATAAAAAATTTTCTAAAAATCTATTATATTTTTGATTATTAAAAAAATAATTACTAAAAATAATTAAATAAAACTAATAATTCAGAAACGGAGTTATAAACATAGTTAAATATAACCAAAACAAAGATGAAAAAGGCTTAAATGTAAGTAGAAGTTACGGCTCGGCCCATATGAAGCCCATTGTTTTAGGTCCATATCGTATGAGATTCTTTTAATACCAGATACCGATTCCATTGTCAAGACTAAAAATCCGCCGAAGAAACCTTTTCCACTGAGAAATCATCCATACAGAGCATCAATCTTCCCCAGGTTGAACAATCGCCGGCAAACCGTGGTTTCGATTGGCAAAATCGGAGGAGAAATCGTGTGGTTACCTTTTTTGGCAAAGATTCGCTGCACATCTTCTCTAGGTCTTACGGTCTCGCCCTCTAGAATAACGTTACTTCACGTCACCGTTTTCACGCAAATCGATCCCCAAATCTCACTCTACAGGTCAAAATTCCTGCTGTCGATTCCTTCAATTTTGGTTTTCAGATTCAGAATTTCAGTTTAGTGCCTTTTATTTTCCCTAACCCTGTGTTGTTAGCAATTTTGTTATCTGATCATCATCATCATCATCATCATCAATGTGTTTTCAGATTTGCATCATCCACAATGTCTGGGCTGCTCGAAGGGATTCCAGACGCAGTTGCTATGAGATGCCTCGCGCACGTTCCGTTAGACGTTCACCCGAATTTAGAGCTCGTGTCTCGTTCCTGGCGAGCAGCGATACGCAGCGACGAGCTCTTCAAAGTCCGGGAAGAAGTGGGGTCATCGGAAAACCTTCTCTGCGTGTGTTCTTTCGAACCTGAGAACATATGGCAAGTCTACAGCCCAAACTGCGATCGCTGGCTCACTCTCCCTATCCTTCCGTCCAGAATCCGCCACCTCTCCCATTTCGGTGCCGTCACCACCGCCGGAAAACTCTTTGTCTTAGGCGGAGGAAGCGACGCCGTCGATCCGCTAACAGGCGATCACGATGGTACGTTCGCAACGGACGAGGTCTGGTGTTACGACTTTATCCAGAGACGATGGACTCCACGAGCACCGATGCTCGTGCCTCGTATTATGTTCGCCTGCTGCGTCCTCGACGGGAACATTGTTGTCGCCGGCGGATTCACGACTTGCCGGAAATCGATATCTGGAGCGGAGATGTACGATCCCGAGAAGAACGTGTGGACTTCGATCCCGGATCTCCACAGGACGCACAACTCGGCCTGCTCGGGTCTAGTGATGAAAGGCAAAGTTCACGTTTTGCACAAAGGGTTGTCGACGGTGCAGGTGCTTGAGAGCGTTAAACTCGGATGGGCCGTGAAAGAGTATGGCTGGCCTCAAGGTCCAATGGCTGTTGTTGAGGACGTGCCTTACGTCATGAGCAATGGACTGGTGTACAAGCAAGAAGAAGATGATGAGACGTGGAAGATGGTGGCATCGGCGTCAGAGTTTAAGCGGAGGATTGGAATGGCGATGACGAGTTTGAGGGATGAGGTTTTGCTAGTAGGAGGAGTGATGGGACCTGATAGGCTGAATTGGGACATCAAGCCGTTGTCGGACGTCGACGTTTTGACGGTTGGGAGTGAACGTCCGGCATGGCGGAAGGTGGCTCCGATGAAGGGTCGTGGAACGGCCCTTGGCTGTACGCAGTTGACAATCTGATGGGAATGTGATGTAAGACGACGTCTTTTCTTTGTTTTTCTTTGATTTGTCTTTCTTTTTGGGTCAGGGTTTGTCTTTCTTCTTCTTCCTGTTTGTTAAAATGTTCTGTTTATAGTTTCAAAATTCTCTTTTAAGATATAGAAAGAAAAAAAAGAAAGATAGCTATGAGACTTCCATGTTGTGTTTATGAGAGCAGAGACAACTATGATGCTTTATGTTTAAACAAGTGGTGTTGAAACCAGCTCGATATAGAGACGGAAACTGAAGAAAGACGGGACTGAAATCACGATGAAGGAGATAGCAAAATGATACAAAAGGGCCGCACCATGACTCACTACAGTGAGATCCATTAAAATAGAAGGCTAACTTTATAGAAAACCCAATACAAAGAGGAATTGCATTTACAGAGAGACTTCAACTTTTGTTTTATACAGCACATAACAACAACACAAGAAACCCGAGTGTCTGTTTTCCTTTTGTTTATATTTGTCAAAGATATGCAATCTAATGTCGAAATCGACTCGACCAATACAAAACTGAAAACTATATTTTCCTTTCTTCCTTTTTTTAACCTCCAACTCTAATCAGTATGGTAATGAAGCTGAGAACAAATTCTTCAGCAGCTAAAGGGTTTGTTGGAGAAGTGGAAACATGTTCCGTATCTTTCGTGCTTGCAAGCCTACTCATCATCCTCTGAATCTGCCATTGCCAAAAACAAACGAAAAAGAAATGTTATAAAAACTCTTATGGGATCATCCACACTACACACCCAACATAACATACAACAATGAAGAACGATAGAGCAAAATGACCCAGACTCGTAAGAAACAGTTCTATTCAAAACAAAATTACAAAAGCCTTACCAGATCTAATGTCTTCTCCCACTTTTCCTCTGTTTTTAAGTAGTCTTACGATCATGGCGCAAATGAGATACCACCAATATATGTGGAAAACAAGAAGCATCAGTAACATTGTGTTGAAGGAATAGTACATGATCGTGCCTTCAGCTGACGTCATATCCAAATAATCCAGTAACTCAATGCTTAAGTTCAGAAGAAGAAAAAAAAACTGTGGTCGTCAGATAAAACATTGACAAGGAGAAAGCATATAATAGCTAACAAGAGTTCAAATAAAGTGTGGGTACCTCGTGGCCCAGATGATCCAAAACGGGAAGTATATTAACCGTAGCAATAGCCAAGAGAGAGCAAAAAGTGCAAAACCCACACTTGCTCCAAATTCTTTTTCAGAGTACTTGAAAATTTTAGCACTTTCCATAAACACGTCACTTGCATCATGAAGGGCTAGGATGATTGCTCCAATTCGAAAAAAACTGCACAAGAAACAAAAATCTCAGTTTACCTATATTAATATTTTTAGTAAGCTTATGGTTGCTTGCTCTATAATTCACTATGTATATTTTAATCTCCCGGTCAAAAGTCCAATCTTGAATTAAGAATTTGGAGCCGTTATTACCAAAAAAGAGCTCTTTTAATAATGGATTTCTAGCTTACCAAATCAGTTCAATAAGTCGAAGCTACTAAAGCAATATTCTGCCTTACTTAAGATAAGTATCCATATGCAAATAGATGAATCAATGTCAAATTATAAATACCTCGTTAGGTATGAGTAGCCAATCAGGATGATGGTAATCACATGGTGAGACATCATAACAGCAAAATCTTTTCTTCTTGTCTCCCAGGCAAGCAACGCAGCAACACCATACATATAGAACCCACACTGGCACATATAGTAAAGCTTTATTGGAAGCCTACCAAAAAAACAAAAACAAAATCGTATAAATTAGATTCTTAATTCGCTGTTCCCCATCAATGAATTCCAAAGACAGTGACCACTTCTAAAACCAAGAAATTCAACGAAGCGAGTTAAAAAAAATTGAAAATGTGATCAACTCACGTCAACTCTTGATTTGGCCAGCCGTCAAAGTAGAGTTTTATATCTATGGCCCACGGCTCGTGAAAGACGACTTTGAGAACGAAGATGTCACAAGCAGCATAGTACAAGAGTTTCCACAAAGACTCCTTGCATTTTACGATTTTGGCCCGAGTCGCATCATTCATTTTCATCGGAGCAGAACCGGTACTCAGAAGCCAAACAGCGATCCTCTGGAAAAGATTGAAAAAAAGGCCAAAACATTGATCAATCTCCTATTTCCTTGTATATGCATGAATCAACCAGCAACACTTCTCCAAGATTACGAATCTCATTGTATCTATCAAACGACATGTTGTCTATTAAAATTCTGCTTATATCATCAAGAATTTCAGCTTGTCAACGTATATAGAAGATAACAAAACGCGAATTTTTATGACTATTCACTCTGCTAACAAAAGCTTTTGCGATCAATTCTCAAGAAAAAACGGAGATTCTTACTTACTTGAAAGACGAATCTATCGAGGACGAGCCTCAAAAAGAAGAATCCGAAGGCGAAATAGACAGCAATCTGGAAATGCCATGCCGCAATCGACGGTTCGAGGTTTTTTACGCCGGCTTCTCCGCCGCGTGACGATACCGATTCCATTGTCGAAGAAGAACTCAAGAAAAAAAAAAAAAACCGCCGAAGAAGAGACCTCTTTCTTTGTTCACTAAGAGATCATCCAAAACGGAAGAATCAAAAACCTTCCCGTGGAACAAAGAACATCAGTACGCCGGGAAATGGTAGCGGGACGGCGGAATCGGAGGTGGAGAGAACCGATGAGAATTTTTTGGGGGCACAGAGATTCGCTGCACGTTTTAATCCTCTCTCCGGGCTCCTGAAAGTGAGCGACAGATGGAAATTGCCGAGCTTGGGAATTGGGATCTCACACGACCTTCTTTTTTTATTATTAATTGCTCTTTTTTTTTAATTATTATCAATAGAACAAGTCATAAGTATTAAATTTTTTTAATCATTTTATTGGAGGTCTTTGCTTTTTCGACACGCACGATTCGTGATTTTAGATGATTTTTATTTTCTTATTAACTAATTACACATATTTAATAAATGTTTGTTTTTGTTAAAGTTTCAATAAATGTTCATACCTGCTTCATTAGGGATTACTTATGTTGACACCTGAAAGGTATGTATGGTTTATTATTCCAAATATAAAAAGGGTAAATTCATTATAACACTTAAGAGTTTAAGATAAGGATACTTTTTTTTTTTTTGAACATTTGCTTAAGATAAGGATCCTTTAAGAGGTTGTTATGTTGTTAACTTTAAACCAAAGCAGCATGCATGATGATCAAGTTCAAGTGTGAGCAATAATCATGTCCCCTTTAATTAGCTTCCAGCCTTCCACTTTTTATTTGATACTATAATTTCAATATGTTTTTTTTTATTTTTTAGCTAACTTGATCTGGCTTCTCTTTAATTCTAAATAATTTCAAAAATTTTATTTTTCTATGTAGCTTTTTAGTTAATTATTATATTTATATAATGTTTATGATACAGTAACTCAGCTTAACAATGTTTTTTTGGTTGTGTATTGCTTTTAGACTTTAGTTTTCATTTCACAATTTGCCTTCTCAACCCAAAGCCATCGACAACATTTCTTTGTCGCATAGGCCTACGATACTTTTCTACGTTAGTTTATGCGTTTTTATATATTTTCGAAAAGGATATCTTCTTAGCCGTTTGTATCCAAATATATATATCTCAAAAATCAAATATTCAAATGCCATCATTTTTTTATATCTAGAATTTAATTCTGTTTAGTTTAAAATTATGCATCTTAGTATATTAGCATGATAATATATTTCTACTAAATAGAGTATTAGCCGGTTTTTTTTTTTTTTTTTCATTCCCACTTTTGAAGATGATGATGATCCATCCACGGCATTTAGATTTAGAAACTCACGCTTTCAGCGTTTATCTTTCTTTTTTTATAGGTTACGCTTCGACACTTTCTTTACATAAAAAAAAACTAGTTTGTGACAAGACTGGAAGAAGAAAAAAAAGACTTGTTAGCTCATTTATAATTTTAAAATATTTGTATATTTTTCCAACCGTAGACTTGTAATTCTGCCATTTTGTCTACATATTTGTTTTTTTGTCATATATATTATTAATGATCTAGTGAATATGAAATTCATCTAGCCATATCTTTAACCACGTTGACCCAGAGGAGAAGTTTGTAATCTTCTTTCTTACTCCTACTAAAATTCCACGAGCAATTAGAACTATACTAAAGCCCAATGGGTATGTCAATATGAAAGCCATCTGAGAGCCTAACCAATCTTAATAGATTTTGTTTATTTGGGATCAAAGACGAATCTTAATACAGTTAGCACCAAATATCTGAAATGTTAAACACAAAATATTAGAAAGAAAAAAAAAAGGTTGCATTGTATCACAAAATCAAACCATAAGTAATAGGAAGACAAAGGTTGTTGCATTTGCATAGTATATCACACGATTTAAAAACACACTTTTAATCATCCACGGCTCATATACATATTGAGCATTGTTTGAACACAAAAAAAAGACGAAGGGCACACGATTTAAAAAAGACATTATAATCATCCACGGCTCATACATATTGAGCTTTATTTAACACTCAGAGAGACATGCATAGTATATATATCACACGATTTAAAACACATTCCAAAGAGCTTGGGCAGAGATATTTACAGCAACCCTCTCTGCTTCTTAAAAGCGATGATCTTCTCCGCGTTCTGGCGAAACATCTCAATACAATGAGCTACATATACTGATATACAACAAACGACGGCGAATTCAATGAAGAGTTTTACTTTGAAGTCAAAGAAACATATACAATAAACGACGACGAATACATGACAAGTTTTACATTGAAATCAAGAAGTCAAAGAAACAAAATTTATGTACCTGGGATAAAATAGAGTCAAAGATGATCAGAGTCACGTGGCAGGTCACATCTCGCTGCTGTTGCTACGGGAAAAACAGCTAATTTACATCCTCCCACTTCAGTTTCATCAAGTTTCAGCGCCTCTTCTTCTTCGTCTTCTCGGGAAAAATAAATATCAGCCTTGCTGCAAAAAAACAAGGTTTTTTTTAGTTAGTTAAAGCTGGGGGAATATTCACAAACACAACTTGGAGAAAGACACAAACCCGTCGAGAGTGCTGATATAAACATGTGTGATCTCTCCGCAAGAAGAGAAGTGTTTGATCAAAGTGCTTTTGAGCTCATCTGCAGGAACCGAAGTGTCATATCCCCTAACCGTAATGCCAAACCTACTGCAGTATTTAATTTGCATGTTATCAACAACACATATTACAAATGTAAATCTCCACACACACACACAAAAGAAAGAAAGCATATCAACTTACAATCTTGTGTCATAGTATGTCTCTTCGGGTGTAACCTTAACACGAGCACTCCATCCTCCCACGTCACTTCCATCAAGTTGCAACGCCTTCTCTTCTGCGCCATCTCCGCGAAGAATAACAAAGGCACGTCTGTAACAAAGACCAATTGCATTTTAGCTAACTTGATCTGCTAATTCAAAAAATTCTAAAATTTCATTGTCACAAATAGTAAGCAACGAACCCGACACGGCCTTCAGAGAATGTAACATTAAAGACTTCTCCGCACGAAGCGAAGTGATCAATCAACGCCTTCTTGATATCTTCCTCAGGAAGCGAAGTGTCGTATCCCTCAACGGAAATCCTAACCCTAATTTTGCAGGAGATCATACATTATCAACAACACATACAAATCCCCATAACACAAAAAATAAAAATAAAAAGTATCCATTAATTTACCGGGGCTTGCTGGTTTCCTTCATGAAGGCGTACATAGCAGCTTCACTCTCGAACAGCTTAAATTCCTTCGCCTTAAGCTAAAAAGTACAACAGATCTAATCAGATATTTTTTCTTACGTAGGTAAATTGGTGAAGAAACCATTTACTAGAGAAAAAGAGAATCCAAAAACCGAGTAATGAGAAGAAGATTACTCTGGCGACGGATTTCTCGCTAGAGTTCTTTTCCATGGAGAATTCGAGAGAAGGCAACAATCCTACTAGGCTTATATCTCCTATAGATTCGCATATTTTTATATCTCCTATAGAGCTCCACGCATTCATTAGAATTCTAAAATAAAAGCTATTGGAGATAACTTGGGAAGCAAGTCTCCAATATAACCACATCAGGTTTTCCTCCGAATTCTAATTCTTCCATCAGATTCACAACCTGTCATATTAACATCTTCCCCTATATAAATAAGCAAAACGGATGTGAAAGAAACGTATTGAAAAGTTAATGAACTATAAATAAGCGAGATATATAAAAACCTCAAAGCTTCTTCCATCTTGCCTTCTTGAGTGTAGCCATTCATAACACATCCTTGGTATGATCATGTCCTCAACTGTACATGTTGACCCGATCCGTGCATACGCTCGTGCCAATGTGTTAAACGTGACCATAAGGTTGCATCTTATATACAATCGGTAGGATCAAAGGCGTTTAGTATTTTAATCTGATTCTCTAACCAGGACGCCTATGTAAGTGAAATTAAAGAGCACTCTAAACATAAACAAGTCCGGAATCTAGGTGACTAAACAAGATGATTATTATAAACAAGTCTACTAAAACACATGGTGGAACGACCGGGCTACGGGTCTTATTAGATACTTGTTATTATTTCATTATGTGTTTAATTTGGCTGATTATCTGTTTAAAATACGCTACGAATGTAATTACTAGTCTTTTTTTTTGAGAAAGAAAATAATTACTTGTCACTTTCCTTACATTATTACATGCATGATATAATAAGTGAATTACAAAATTCACCCACCACACACTCAAAGGGACAACAACTCTTGAATTTCCGACACAAAAATAGAAGAACGAAATATATTAACTACTACACGTAAATATATATAAGGATCAATTCCTTTCAGATAAAAATAAAAGGAATTTTAGCGGGGAAAATTAATAAAGGAATAATTGAAAATGGCGATGTTTGGTTGCATGAGTAGGAGCACCAAACAAAAATGGATATAAAATAGACTAAAACCCGAAAAGGAAATCAGTTCGTAAATTAGGTCCCCACCCTAACTTTACATTTTCATTGGTACAACACTCAACACTCCCATGTTAATTTACACCCCAATATTATTATTAATCATAGCTATTATAATAAATAAATAAAGGAGCCCTCCTTTTTATATGATCAATGTTGATACTTCTTCTTTTCTTTTCTTTTTTCTAAACCTTGTGGTTCTAATTAAAGTGTAAAGTGTGATGATGATACACACTTGTGATGCTCAATTCCTTTGATGATATTCCTTGTAAGGCTTTATTTTGGAACTAAGAAGAGTTTATAAATATCGTCTATTTAGTACAAATTCTCCGGGGAAAAAGGTGTCGCAACTTTATCACGATTTCTAGTCTATGCTGCTATTAGATTATTTCACTTATTATTCAAGTTAAGATCCAAAAAACTATTAGGTCCTTAATTAAATGTTATTTACAACATAAAACAAATGTGTTTTACAAATGCGTTTAATTTCCTTTGCCAGTTAAATTTATTAGCTTAACCCCCAAAAAGAAATTAAATGTTAGTATTAACAATATATACAAAATGACAATGAACGCAAAACGCAAACACGTTGTTTTTCTTTTATCTATATCTTTTGCCTCTGCGTTTGCAATTTCAAATGATTCTTGATTTAGAAAAACTGCTAAAATGTTGTATATTCGTCATATCCAAAAAAATAACATAAAATAACATATAAACATTTTCACCGTTACCATTTTCAAAAAAAAAAACATTTACACCGTTAGCTCGTCAACAAAACAATTTGACGTGTGGTTTGTAGGTGATGTGATTTACATATTAAATGTTTTAAGTCTAACTAATATATATATATATATATACAAATATAGTTCTACTAGCTATATTGTTATCTCGATTCATCCAAATGTAAACGTTGTATTCTATAATACGTTTAATGGTGTTCTACGTGAGATTTTTTTGAAATACCGTTCAGTAAAAAAAAAAATCGAATAAAATCGTTGTGTTGCCATAACAACTACATTAACGTCTCAGTTAAAAAAGTATGGTAGACCAAAATTTAGCGATTTTATTAAAGAGAGAGATACATAGAATTTTCGGCAATAATTTGGATGATAGGGCCTAAAAAATAAAGGTTTCAACAAAAAATAAATAAAGGGAGGCAAAGGCCATTGTCATGTTGGGGAGGGACCATTCCTCCAAGATATGATGAAACGGACCCCATTTTTTGTTCTTTTTATATTTTTATTAAAATGTAAACTTATATTTGTAGGTGGCCAATTCATTTAACGACACGTGGCATAGCCTCATGAAAGTTAGAAGATGCTCTGTTTTATCGTAGCCATGTCATTTTCGCAGTCCACTCACAAATAGACACACACCTCTTTGATTTTTCACATTCACGCTTTGTGGTCTTGCTGCTCCCTTCACGTGGTTCCCGACACTTTGATTTGGTAAAACAAAATTTAACCAATTGAGAATACCGTAATAAACATTTTACTCCTTCATATTTGTAGCATGCATGTTATACAACGAACATAATTTAAACCCCTCTAAGAATACTACAATAATAATTTTCAAAAAAAAAAATTATAAGGGGTTTTAAACATTTTAGCAAATTCTGGCTAATTAAGACAAGATTAGTAGAAGACTTGAAATGTTTAAGAACTAAAGAGAATGTCGAAATGTAGCGGGAAGACCATTTTGAGGGATTGGAAATGGACCATACTCTATTCCCTTCTCTCGTCCCACAACTTCCCATCTGCATAATCAAATAAAAATAATTTAAAAACTATTAATTCGTATTTCCTTCTTTAATTAGTACATCACATGTGAAGTGTTTGTAATATTTTACCAGTTATTAGTTAGGAATAGTGATGTGTTTAATTAGGTTTAGACAAGTTACTATGCTAAGCCGTCTTTATTATAGTATAGTACGATCATATTGACACGCTTTTTTAAGATTGTAAGATAATAACTGTGATGTTAATGATCGATTATGTACACTAATTATCTAAAGATATAACCCGTATCAGAGTTACGTAACTTACGTTAATCTTATCAAATATGAAAGAGTTATCTATCTTCTAATATTTACTATGTATCAAGTTTCTTGCTCTTTGGCACTTTATTGATATTTGTCTCGCTTTAAGATTATTCTATCTCTTCTTTCCGTCAATACTATAGTTTTAAAGTGATCATGCATGTGGCTATGTATTGATCAGTAACTAGGTCGTATCCAATAAATAGTATGTCAGTAGAATCATGGCATGGTGTAACTAAATCATATATATATATATATATATATATATATTCTAATTTAAAGACTCGTCGCGGGTGCATGATAATTAAGCTATATAGTAGAGAGGAAGACAAAAATTACCGAAATTTGGAAACTAGATGGTGGAGAAAGATAAGAATCTGTAACTTGGCGAGTTCGTTCCCGGGACAAGCATGAACTCCACTTCCAAAGGGCATGAATGTATTTGGCTTCGGATTTACCTATGATTAGTTTCAATCATCACGTTAATTTATCTCTCTTTTTTAAACAATATATATATATATATTAACTTATTAATATTGTTTTTATGTATTTATTAATTATTACCTCAAATCTAGATGGATCGAAAACCTCAGGCTGTGAAAAATATTTCGGATTGTGATGAATATTCCGAAACAGTGGCATCACTTTCCATCCCTTGGGTATCAAATATCCTGTATACATGCATGTTACAAGAATCAGAAATATTAGTGATTTGTATTCATTTGGACCACAACATTTTTGATTTTGGTACATCTCATAATAATCTGAACTAAAAACAAAAAACACAAAAAAAGCTTAATAGATAGAATGTTCTAGTAGTGTGAAATGATTAAATTAGTACCCTTATATTCAACATCAACCACTGCTTCTCTGAATGTGAAGGATATGATGCTTGCCATCCTCAAGCTCTCAACTATAACCTATGATGCAACATAACATTTAAACATGAGTTCCAAATTAATGGTGATTCATATACAAAAAAAACTATTAATTATAATACTATTAATTATTACCCTATGTGTTAGTGGCATATTCCTCGTTTGTCCCCATGTTAAAGGCTTCTTATCTCTACTATTTTCTTCATATATAGCCCTTTGCTCATCCTGCAACCATCATAAATAAACATATACTTAAGTTTTTATTTACACAAAAAAAAGAGGGATACGATTAAACACATGCATGTTATCAAACCTTAACAGCTTCTAGAAGCTTCTGATCATCGTGTAAGTACTTGAGAATCCAAGTTAGGCAACTAGCTGTCGTGTCTTGCGCGGCGAAAAGGACTCCGATGATGTTGTCCGCAATCTGTTCTTGGGTTAGCACACGATCTTTATCGTCCTTGAAGTTGAGGAGATGACCAAGAAAGTCCATTTTCAAGACCCTTTTCTCTCTTCTTTCGCGTACTATCTCGCTTACTATTGTCTTTAGACGATTCCTCGCCTTTTTTTAAATTTATAACAAGTTTTAGTCAGTTTCTCAAACTTAAGGTCCGGAGATTATTTAAATTCAATTTTTCAAGAGATGAGAGATTATACCATGAGAGCTTTGTGATAAGATGTTCCAGGGAGGCTCATGGGGAAAGAGTTGTAGCCTTTGTCCACGATATTGTAGTTATGTTTCAGGATCTCCTTGTAAGAACATTCCAAATGTCCAAATATGGCTAGAATACCCACATCAAAAGCGAACTACAAGAGAAAATATAACCTTGCTTATTAGGATATCTGAAAAAGAATTACGAGATAAAGAAAGCATATCAAGGAATTGCATTGTCTGCGTGTGTGTGTGTGTGTTTTTATAGTATGAATATATCATATATACATACCTTCTTCATTTCTTGGTAGGTAGAGACAATACGCATAGTGGTCCAAGATTGTAAAGAAGAAAGAGCAATGTGTTCGATATCGGGGATGAGTTTACGGATGGTTTCAGGGTATAAAGAGGATTGAACAAGTTTCCTTATATGGTCATGATAGTCTCCTTGGTGGAAAAATAGAGCAGAGGGTCCAATTAGCTTCTCTTTGCTTCTCGGATAGGTTGGTTTGAACAAATGGGCCTGAGTCACCAAGACAAACCTCGCGGCTTCGGGACTAGCCAGCATCACGCAAGGATAGCCGAGGATTCGCGTTTTGAATATCTCTCCATATCTATCCATCGAAAGGTAATAAAAAACAAAAAAAATTAGTGCTAAGATATCATAACCGGAAAAGTGACTTGAGGGACAAGTTTTTTAGGTTACCGCTTTTTCTTGGAGGTGAAGAAAATATTGGGGTCTTGTGAATAAAGTTGTAGAGTCTCTCCTAAGTAAGGCAATCCCATGGAACCAGGAGGAAGCTTACATCTATTGTTCCTCTTCTTATCTCTCTTATTCTTCTCAGAAACCATCATTTTTACCAGAAGCAAGCAGAAGATTAGACTTGGTATGATCACGAACCAAATTTCAGCCATAACCGATTATCAAATTTCAATATGAGATGATTCAATTATAATGAAATGTTTTGGAAGATGAAAAAATTCTGAACTCTGAAAAGGGAGGAAGAGGAGGAAGAAGAAGAAGAGATATGGAACAATACACACGAGTACCTAAGAGAGGGGTGGGTATATATACACATAGAGAATTGTTAAGTAATAAAATAAAGACAAAGTTGAGAATATATTAATTTTTGTTTCTCGCCCAAACGTGAGGAGAAAGACGATTGCTTTTCCTTTCACAATTTTGGTCTCTCAGGCGAAAAAGCTGAATAAATCTAAATGTAGATCTTGTCGATTCTCATTTATGTAGAAGGATATAGACAATTTTCTCATTTCAATCTTTTTGGTTTGTTAGAAGGATGTATTTTTTATATTTGTAAATTTAATTAACGAGGGTGCTAGAAATCGCGATTTACTTTATTCACGTTGAATATACAACTGCCTTGGTTTTTAAGGTAATGAGCAGTGCAATTAGCTACAGCTAAAACTACAAGTCTACGACTACAAGGTTCCATAATTTTTTATCAAACGGGACAAGGTTCCATTATTTGTTAATTATAAAATATTCAAATGTACCAGCCATTTTTATTTAATTATCTAATTATTTCACATAAAAGGGTCCTATTTATGATGTTAAATCAAAAAGGTCCTATATATAGAGAAAAGTGTCCCCAATGTGTAAAGTTCTGTCTTCTTCTAAAAATAAATTTTATAATATGTAAGATGTAATTTTATTTATAGTTATATCCCTCTTGGATCTGTAAAATGGAGGGATATATGGAGATCTACAAAACTAAGTCGGATCCAAAGTTCTACTATCAATTATTGTAGCATAGATCTCCCTATCTCGGTTGACCCCAAAAAAAAATGATATCTTTCATTCTCATCTACAATAGATGAGAAATCTTATATTTAAAATATTACTATACCTTTCACCTTTTTAGCCTTCAGTTTAACATACTGTTTATTATACTATCATTATATTTATATCTCTATCTCTTTGCCTTATTATTTTCCTGACAGATGAATAACAACTCCACGATAGAGATACTAAAATGTGAAACAAGAGAGGTACGAAGAGGAACTAATAGAATGGCTCTTTGTGCTTTAACAACGAAAAAAATGGCTATTTGTGTTAGTAGTTATACCATGCATAATAAAAGGAATAATAGCACATACGTTTAGTGACATCATGATTGATTTGCATTGACGTTCGAATTATTAATAGAGGGAACACATATTTTCGGACCACTTAATTTCATATCTAAATGGATAGTATTGTTATAGTTGCTTAATGAACAATTTGCATACACATTTATCGACGGCATTACACATCAAAATAGTATAATACACGTATATTCTAGCCTCTAGGGAGAAGTTTTAAAAGGCGGCATTGCAAATTAATCATTAATTTAATTTCTTGATTTGATGCGTTTAACGTTTCTAGTTTCTTCTACATGATAATTGATAACTTATACGGGTGTTTTTTATGAAGTACAATCCAAATTAAATTATGGATCTAAAATTGGCCATTAGCTTTTGAAGTTTAGGTATCACAGTCTAAGAATAGAAAAAGGGCGTTTTGCTCGTGATAAAATATTTCCATACAAGGAATAACCCAATTCTATAATGGAATTGCAAGTTTTAGCAACATAACCTAAGATCGAATGTTGCCCAAATTGTTTCGTAGCATTCTCTAGTATATCGCTCTAGTAGTTTCTTCTTTCTCTATTGAAGATTTATATATTCAAAATGGACAAAGCACGAATGAAGCAATCTTATTACGAATTATTTTAATCGTAATAGTATAAACCTCTTTTACTTTATTTATATTTGCTCAATAAAGGATTGGAAACTTTCATTACAAAAATAAAATATTGACTTGGATATTTATAACACTAGTATATATTCTACATGAATACATACATGTATAATGTATCATCATGATCAAATGAGAAGTGAAGAATTTGTCTGACTATAAAGTTTAAAATAAAATATTACGAGAATAAATGAAATGGACTTATGAGGACAAAGTCGGTGCCTTACACATACCAATTGTCTCCGTCTGATTTGAACCTATAGGCTAACGTTATTCACAAATGTATGTAACAAGCTAAGTTCACAAAAATAATTTTTTTATACGATATTTTTTTCAAAGGAGATTGTACATATATGTGTACAAATTGGCCAAATGGTTATGTTAATGTATCATAAACTTGTGATTTTGTAATTAACGTCTGAGATCTACAATGAAAATGGACATGCCAATAAATAGTTCGAAAATATGTAAGGAATTATAGGTTTCTAATTCAAAACAAATGTTATTGACTAATTATTACTGTTGGTATCTTTTTGCTTTCGAATCATTACGAATAGTATTAATAGTGAATAATATCATTAGGATTTCTCCTAGCTAATACAAGTTTCATTGCACTTTAGTAGTTTTTAACAGGCAGAACTACGTACTATTATATTGCCTTGTTTTATAACAACAAAAAAATCGTATAATTTTAAAAAGTTTGTGTTATCTTCGATGATAAGTTTTTTTTTCTTGGGTACTTTGAAAAGAGTCTCTTTATCATAGAATATAATTTTAAAAATAAATAGTATTTAAAAACAATTGGCCCAGAAAAAAAAAAATTTGTGGTGAAGGGCAGTTGCCGTCAATTGATGATCGAAAAAAGAAAGAGAAAATTAACGAAAAAGGAAATAATTTTGCGGGAGGGAGGAGAAATCCAGTGAAGTCGGCGCATTGTGTTCACGTGATGACGTGACACAAAGTGGGACCCATCAATAAAATGCAATACAGCTCAGTTGTGTGATGATGATCTGTTTCTTAGTTCTTACCATCAGATGGCGGGAACCTCTATCCGTCGATGGGTCCCACCAGCTTCTTACTTATTGGTTCGAACTGTATGGGTCCCGCCTCGTACGGAGGACAATTGACACGTGGAAGCTGATTCTAAGGAGCGTGGGACGCACGCTCGGCTGACATCAGGTGGCTGTTTTTAAAATTTGTTTTCGTTTGATGAGAAAAACGAGTGTTACTGTTTTGGGGATCTTGTGCGCTTATGGGTCTGATATTGTATGGACACAACAAAAGACAAAATCGAACAGTTCAAAGTTTTTTTTTTTAGTTGGTCGGATCTCGAGACTTCCATAACGCAACGGCAACTACTTTTAAAAAAAAAAAAATTGTATATGCGATTAATAATATACCCGATTTTAATCTCACAAGATTACTATATTTTTATAAAATATACTGAGTACTACTTGCCAACCAAAAAAAAAACCGTAATCTTCTTACAAATGTTTTAAAAATCTGATTGGAATAGAAAATATTTTTAAGCAAAAAGTTTCGATAATCTTTTTCAATCATGCTTTCACATTCTTTCGTTTGTGCATGAAAACTTGCAACAGAATCGAAAATAATGCCACATTCTGTATATATAGCCGGGTAGAATCCATATTATTAAAAATGCCTTAATGCTTATCAGTTATATATCATCAGAAAACCAATGCAGTTTAACTACTGCGTATAATTTTTTTTGATAATCCATAGATAACTCTTATCATTATGCCATTAATAGAAATGTCAAATTGCAATTGTTGACTTGGCTCCACATAAGTGCACTCTTTCTCTTTCCTCGAGTTCATTAATATTTTTTTTTGTAATTATTAAAATCAACAACAAATAAATCCTTTAATGATTAAAATGTTAAATCGTAGTACTTGACATGCAAGGCAGTGACACGAGTAAACCCTTTTTCTTTTCCTTTTCATTTCTCCCATTAACGGTTTTTATAAATTTTATCTACTTTTTAAGTAAGAAGTATTCATTTTATCTACTTTTTAAGTAAGAGGTATTCACTTCTTCCAATCTTTTATTTCTCTATTTATCGGTTTCAATTTTATTTTTTTACTTTCGTCTTTACATTATTTCGTGAAGGACAAATGTAGATATTTAAGACAGTTAACAAAGAAAACGTAGAGATATTTCTTGTGATCACGCATGGAGAAAATAAACTTTTTAATTAAGAAATATTAACTTCTTCGAATCTTTTATTTCTCAGTTTATCGGTTACAACTTTTTCTTTTTTTTTTACTTTCGTATGTCATGTATTTCGTGAAGGACAAATGTAGATATTTAAGACAATTAACAAAAAAAACGTAGAGATATTTCTTGTGATCACGCATGGAGAAAATAAAACTTTAAATTGCTTCTTATACACCATACCTTTAATGATCAATAATGCCTCCCTTTTCTTTTTCTTACGATACACATCCAAATATACAGTGTTGAGAATGTTTTATATACGTATATATAAATAGAGTATATACATATAGAAATAAAGTGAGTGTAGGTAATGATTGGGAGGTTTACATGGAGCACACATAGAGGATGACTCATAGACACTCTAAATTGTTTAGACTTTCGTAGCATAATATTGAATCTATTCTTCTCCTTTGATTTCTCTCTTTTTTGCTTATCTTTCTTCCAATTCTGTACGGCTCTTTCTCTATTATCTTAATTTTACTTTCTGTCACATTTACACATGCTATAAATTACAAGTTACTAAGTTATATATCCACACCACACACAATAATATTTATACATGCAACACTTATGAATTCGACAGATGTAATTAAGACATCAGTGGTTATATTTAAACCAATCGTATTTTGTAGCTGAGTGGTTTATTACTTTGTAACTGTTGTTGTCATCGTGTTATAACTAGAGTGATCGGGTCTAGGAATGTGCATCTATATCTCATACACGACAGACAAATGAACATCGATCATTATAAGAAAATGTAGGTGTTTTTTTCTTCTAAAAACACATGTTTGATGTATAACGTGATTAGGTTAACACTAATATTCCCACTGACAATTAGTTGCAACAACAACAAAACCATAGTTTGAAGACATGTGTTTGGTTCATAAAGGTAGAACGAACAATTAAAGTGAATGGAATGCACTATAAGTAAATATATTAACCAATGATAAAGATACTAATCTTTGGTTGAAATGTGACAGAAGCATGTTTCAAGTATATCATTGGTCTTACACTGTTTTGTGGGATTCATATAGATTACTTATCAGAGATTTTGGGACACTAACGAGATGGAGATTTAACGGTTTTTAGCCACTTTTGGAATAAGCAAGAATTGGAATTTATCTTGAAATGTTTCCGAAAAAAAAAGCAGAAAAGTTAATAAGAAAAGAAAATTACAAGATTGGATTTGAATCAAAAAAGAGAGAAAATAAGAAGAAAAGAGTAGTAAACCCAAAATCATTGCCAATTTTGTAACTCTCTTCGCTCTACTCCACTCATGTCTGGTTCATTATCTCTTTTAAATTGTGTCTCATGTTTACTCATAGATACACTTCAACTGAAATTGAATAAGAAACGGAAAAAAGCAAAAATATATCATAGCAAATCGGAATAAAAGATCAATGGTTCCATCTTATCCATAAAAAACTGTCATATTATACTAACATCTCTATACGTGCTTAATAATATATAAGGTAGGGAATTTTACGTATTACATTTTAAAATAATTTCTAAGTTGGGTTGTTTTATAAAAAGTGCTACATTTTAAAATAAACTCTACAAAAGACAAAACAATACCTTAGGAACTTTTCTTAAACTGTTAAAAAATGATACTATATTGGTTGTAGAAACAAAGAAGAGATGTAAAAAAGGTTTCAGAATTCTTCATATAAATCTAAACTTTTGTGTTTTTTATTTTAGAATTTAAAAAAGTTGCGGTAAACAATATAAAAAGCTGGTATTAGAAGATTTATGTATTCAGTTTGCAAAAAAAATAACTATGAATAATTTTGAATGAGATTACAATTAACTTTAGGTTTATATATTTGCTATTTATAATCATTAACTATGTTTTATTTTAGTTAAAACAATTATGTATTTTTTTCCCGACCAGTTGTGTTATTTACATAACGATTTTCACTACATTTTATATTTTGATTTCAAAATCGATAGAAAAATCATTTTGAATGTATAATCATATAATCACACTATAATCTATCATCATTAAAAAACTACTTATGACGGTGTGGATAACTCAATCGGCGTACCACTTGACCATTTCAAAAGAAGAGTCGGAAATATCAATATTGAGACGATGATTATATATAGCATACCTGGTCAGTGGTCTCTGCATATTTTGCTTATATAACCTTACCATTTTGCTTCATCAAGTTTTTTCTTGTAATTTAGAAGACTTATGTAACTCGTAAAACATCTGACAACAACAAAATTTCTTGTAAAGTTGACAAATTCGTAATCCTCCCCACACACGATTCTTCACTCAATGATCCAAATTAATTAAACGGATTTAGTCTATTAATCGACTCGTAAAATATACACGTTTCTTAACATAACTTAGTGTAAATGAGACAACAATATGAGACAACAACAAAGAAAAAGAAGAAGATGATGGGGCAGGATCCTAAATGACTTTTAGTCAAAGATCATGCTCGAGGCTAACCAGACAGTGGATTCTCTGTCAATGTAAGAGAAAATCTAATTTGTATATTTTCCCACTTCCCTTCCACATCATCATGACTAGTAACCGATCATTATAGATTTCCTTACTTTTTTACACTACATGCAATATTTGTAAACCTGTTAAAGCTATTAGGAAGATGTTTGTGTCATTGTGTATTTTATTAAACTAATCTTGAATCTTTAGATCCAATAAAACAAGTTAAAAGTCGTTTTATTTTTTATATGTACACATCTCTGTTCATCTAAACCAGGTTTGAATGGTATTTTAGACAAAGACAACCTCGAATTTGGCACAAGGGTTTCTCAGTATGTGAGTACTGAGACTCGAGTTTCCTTCGAATTTGAAGTTGTAAAGGGCTTGTCTTTGAGTGAGACCAAGCGGGTATATGGTATGTACTCTGAGCACACCGTTTCCTTTTAAGCTCGCGGGTCTTTCCTTGTTCCATATCGGTTCATGTCTTAGAGAACTAAACTTCGTGAGAACCGCAGATTCAAGAGCTTCCACAGTCACATTCCCATCCCTGTCCCATCATTAGCAAGATGAGCTCAAAACAAAATTCATAATAAAGCAAAAATTTCCCGGTTTTGATTAGAGAAATAAACAAGAAAATGGTGGCTTACTTCAAAAAGATGGATTCCATATCAAACCGGCCTCTTTCTCTGACATACAAATGATAGTATGTCCTTAAGCCTCTGTTGCATTTGCAGGGTCGTCTCTTAAACTCGGGGCTCTTCTCTTCTTGCTCTCTGATCCTTGTAGCCACGAAAATGCAGAGACGGCAAGAAGAGTGTACAGTTGCCATATCAACAAGTGCCTTGAACGAATCTGAAGGGCCTTCGTGTTTCCATCTAATACAAAAAACAGAGCTTTAAAGCTTTTGAATATGTCTGAACGTGTTTCTTTCTTTTCATTCACGCAAATATGTTACATATCACCACACCTTAGCGTCTGATTATAGGCGATGGGGTTCTCTGCAAGATACTTCATTTTCTTTGCAACTGCGTCGACATCACCCATCTGCTTAATGTGAAGGAATGAGTCAGGAGAAGGTGCAAACTCTTGTATGTTCGGAGCTCCAACAACTACAGGGACAGATCCTAAAAGAAGAATTGACCATATATTGCTCATCAGAAAAAAAATATTGGCCATGGTATAAAGCATCATGCTATGTGACTAATAGTAGCTAAGAGATGGCAGAGGATTATGGGAAAATAAGGCATAATGGCCTTTATTAGACAATGTGAACTACGAGGATAAGTGACTCATATAGCATTCTTATTCAGATATCACTAATGGCCACAACACACAAGAGGGTGTTCTCTGTTGCATAATCCAGCTCAATACGCTACAACCAATCTATCGGAGCTGAAAAACGTTAAGTATACACACTTTCGCTTATCCACAATACGAATCAGAATTGCCTGAAAATAGCTGAACTACCTAAACCTGAACACACATGAAAATCTACCAATATTCAAATCCGAACTATACAGGATTTACGCTAACTTGGTCACCATTTCTGGCATTGGTTTTGCTTATAATAACTCCTAACTAATCGAAAACAGACGAACTTTATTAGGGTAACATATATGTTTTGCAAACCTGAATTACACCGAAACACCCAACTTTAGACACAAAATGCAAAAGTTCTTCTAAAGGCGCAAACACTACAATTTGCAAGATCAGCAGAGACAGAGAGAGAGGGAGAAGGAGAGCTATCTATACCAGCGGCTAGAGATTGGAAGAACTTCTCAGTGACATAATCCTCCTCATTGGTGTTCTCAAATGCCAGACTGAATTTATAGTGCTTAAGAGCTTCCACCTTCGTCACTGTAACGAATTTACGTTACACATCTCCACAAATTACTGGCTCAAAAACTTTTAAGGATATGGTTAGCAATGCATACACACCTCTCCCATCCCGGTTCCGGTGACAACCACCATAAGAATCAATCCTAACATTCGCCTCCATCAAGGCTTCAAGAGCTTGCAACCTGAAATTCTGAGCCTCACAGTTGGATATAAAAGCAGCAGCAAGAGCTTTCTCGGTCTTTGGTTGCACCGGAGCCATAATATCATATTCCGCCCATGAAAAGTACCCAACGGGAACATCTGATGACAGGCTAGTTGTCATCACAATGTCATAACCCGTCCTGATGAACAAGAAAGCACTATAAAGTCAGATACTTTTATTACAGAACTTCGCTCCAAAAGTACAAAGTCTCCTGTTAAGATTGTGCTTAGTGCTTACCCACCGTCGTGCCTGAGCAAGATCGTTCTCTTGGAAGTACTCTGCTGATTCCATGGAACGGAGTATACTGAGTGTTCCAGGTTCATCACCTAACCCAAAAGCTGCGTCTGGTTTCTTATCAAAGCTAGTTCCAATTCCACAATCAACTGAACACGATTTGAAATCCTACAGTTGAGAGGAATCAAAGTCGATAACCCCATTCACAAGGAGATCATCCAGAAGATGATAGCCCTCCAAGCATCATTGTATAGGCATCACACAGAGGAATATAAAGAAAACAATTGAGAGGGAAAGTTCTATGGCAAACCTTGTTACCACCGGAGATAAAGATGGGATCTTTACTGAAATCCCTGGAGTAACTCACTGAATCCACTCTCTCTAACCACTCCTCGCAACTCTCCACTCCCGACCCAGCTTTTAAATCGGACGGCCTGGTGTGAGATTGTGGCGAGCTCGATGGTGATTTGGTGAAAAAATCGGTCAACGTATCGACCAAAGCAGCGTTATCGAGCCGACCCAGAAACCCGATCTCGATGAGGACTACAAGAGCGACGCAGAAAGGCAACAAGCTCGAAACTTTACGCTTGAAAGAGGAAGGAGACGAAGGAGAGCCATTGGCTACGGGCAATCCTTCGTGGGTCGATGATCCAGTTTTAGGACCTCGGAGATTGGATATAACACGCATTTTTTTTTAAACACAGCGACGATGTTGTCAGAATGGGAATCTGAAGGATTGTGATTGGGTTAATTGTTTTAGGAATTTGATTGATGAGAAGGAGGAACAAGTTGTCCACTTTGGCTTTTGAAAGTCATGCGATAAATGTACTTTTACATTCAAAAAGTTTTGGAACCATTTAATTAAATTAAATATCTGCGCTATAAAGAATACGTAAACAGAGAGATTCATCCTCCTAGTGCTAAACCATGTGAAGCAGAAGGAGATAGAGAAAACTACTAACTTTTTCAAATTTATATAAGTAGACAGACCCTGAATCAGTGTCACAAAGAGAGAGATACAAGAAATGGAAGAAGGCAACGCAACATTTGGGACGACGAGTATCATAGATTCAGAGCATTACAGTTGCTACAAATTTAACAAAAAGTGAATAAACAAATAGTCCAAGTTTTACAGATTTTGGAAGAAGCAAAACATTACATATATCCTTGGGTGGGTCGAACTCAGTATTTAAGTTCATATAACCAAATAATAATCGTGTATTTTATAAGCGATGATGATTACATAAACTAAATAAGATTGGGCTCTATCATGGTTTTATGCTCACTGTTTACGTCGGGTTTAAACGTGGCAAAAGTAGATGTTTCTTTTGAATAAAATAGAAAATCAAAAGCAAATAAGAAAACATTGTCATAATTCCAAATGAGGAAAGAAAATAATTTTCTGTATTTGGAAGTGATGACCTTAGACTCCACGCAACAGTGTTCTTTATTGTTTTGTTTTCATCAGTGGGTGTGATATTTTCATTGGCTTGTAACCAATATGAGCACCCACAAAGAAAGCACCACCACTTCTGTGTTATGATAAGGAACGCTTTAAAGGACTAAATAATTCGACAAGAAGTAATTCTTCATGATGTATAAATAAAGTTACACAAAATAATGTAATATGTATATTATTCTAGAGATAGTAGTACCATACTAATTTACATTAATAAGTTTTATGGGATTCTAGTCCTTTATAGTCTTCCCCTTTTCCTACCTTTTTTATGGATAATATCTTGTCTAATATGGACTAAGCCTAATATAATGGACATTTATGTATAGTCTTATACTCTTATCTTATTTTTTTTTTGCTAATGAAATATAGTCTTATCAAATGGGTGAAATTACTATAGTGTTGAATAAAAATACCATCCTTATCGTCAACCATTTTGGAAAAGACAAATTTAGATTTTCATATATATAATTCTAATCTTGCATTTGCGTCACTTGTAGACTTTGAAGATACTTAAAATTTTATAAAAATTTAAGAAAAGTAAAAATTCATACGTATGTGATAATGGTAATTACCCAAAAATAAAGAATATTCATCATTATAATTTTAACTCTGAGAAAAAAAAAATCCAAGCACGATCTCCAACCACTTCATCCTCATTGTCGGAAGCCAAAAACCAAACGAACGGCTAATATACTACCACGTTGTGTCATGTAATTGGTTAGAGTATTCACAAGCATTTAAAATCTTAAGACTCTTTTTATCATTCGTCCACGTCGCTGTATCTTGACAAAAATAATAAATAAAAATAATTTATACACAAAATAAAAATAATTTAAGAAAATAAAAAAACTCCGAGGAGAAAATAAAAAGCTTTCACCCTTAAAATGGCTGCTCGTGTCGAGGCGGCAGCAACACACTTGTCGTCTCTCCCAGCAGCTTCTCTGGTGTTTTCGCAGTCGCGAATCTAATTTTTCGAGAAATTTATTTAGGTGAGATATATATTTGCTCTTTTCTCTTTTTATTATCTGGATCTGTCTTTGTCGGATCATCATCAACTTTGCAAATTTTTTGTTGTCTTTTCTCTGCTTATTACCTGTTCAGTTTTGTTGTTGTTGTTGTGTGTGTGTATGTATGTTTTTGAATCACATAGAAGTAGCGAAGAAGTAACTTTTCGTAGTGAAATTAGAGTCAAAGAGAGTCTTAGCGATCTGATTGTTGTTGCTATTAGGTTTTTTTTTTTTTTTTTTTCTGGGGTTTTTGATTCGATCGTTTTTCTTTATAAGAGAAATGGGTTACTTTTCGGCTGGATTTGGAATAGATCTTTCTCATGCTTGCTGGGTTTTGCGATTTTACTGTGGATCATTGTCGACTTCTCTGAAATGTTTATACTTTATAGCAATCGAGTTGATAAAAGTTAATTCCAGATAAATTTTCTGCATTTCACTACTTTGCTTGTTTACAATTTCCTGGATTTTGAGTATCCTCTCAAGACACAGACAAGTGATCTGTTCAAATTATCTGTATAATTGTGCTGATATGTTCATATATGGTTTTGAGGAAACGCTGTATCGGTATAAATTCATTTTCCACAAAAAGTCGTCAAATTACAATTTTTTTATTTATAATTACAAACGTTATCTAAAGATCTGCCGTTATTGATTGACTTTACGTTGCTTTTACATTTCTACACACACATTTATGTGGTTTGTCCTGTTTTGATTTGGTTCTCTTTACTTACTCTTATGGATGTGAACATGCATTGTGTGACACAAAGCTCAGTTCTTTTTAATATCCTTTGTAACTTTCTCTGTTTCATTGTGTAATCCCACTCTAATTGCTTTGCTATTGGCTCTCATAAGCGTTTAGGGGCTTTGATGCTTTGCTTTCATTGAAGAAGAAGAAGAAGAAGAAGACGAAGGAGTGAACACAATGAATATGGGAACTCACATCAATTTCAACAACTTAGGAGGTGGTGGACCTCCCGGAGGGGAAGGGAGCAACCAGATGAAGCCAATGGGTGGTGCCTATCCCTTGGCGAGACAGTCGTCGGTTTATTCCCTAACATTCGATGAGCTTCAGAGCACACTAGGTGGACCGGGGAAAGATTTCGGGTCGATGAACATGGATGAACTCTTGAAGAGCATATGGACTGCTGAGGAAGCTCAGGCCATGACCATGGCTTCTTCGGCTGCTACAGCAGTAGCGCAACCCGGTGGTGGTGTCCCCGGAGGGAATCTCCAGAGGCAAGGCTCGTTGACATTGCCTAGAACGATTAGTCAGAAGACTGTTGACGAGGTCTGGAAATGTTTGATCACCAAGGACGGTAGTAACGGTAACATGGTAGGTAGCAGCGGAGGAGGCGGTGGCGAGTCGAATGTGGCTCCTGTGAGGCAACAGACGTTAGGGGAAATGACTCTTGAGGAGTTTCTGTTTCGAGCTGGAGTTGTTAGAGAAGATAACTGTACTCAGCAGATGGGTCAGGTCAACGGAAACAACAACAACAACAATGGGTTTTATGGTAACAACGGTGCTGCTGGGGGATTAGGCTTTGGGTTTGGTCAGCCAAATCAAAACAGCATATCATTCAATGGCAATAATAACGACTCTATGATGTTGAATCAGCCACGTGGTTTAGGCGTGAAAGTTGGTGGGACAATGCAGCAGCAGCCACAACACCAGTTGCAGCAGCCTCCGCGACAGCATCTGAGTCAGCCACATCCACAGCAGCAGCAGCGGCTGCCTCAAATCATTTTTCCCAAACAAGCAAACGTAACATTTGCTGGTCCCGTGGGTATGGTCAACAAGAATTACGCTGGGGCTGCGAATAACTCCATCAACAACAATAATGGAGTGGCTAGTTTCGGAGGATCCGGGGTCACCATTGCAGCTACTTCTCCAGGGACAAGCAGCGCAGAGAATAATTCTTTGTCACCAGTTCCGTATGTGCTTAATCGAGGAAGAAGAAGCAATACCGGTCTTGAGAAGGTTATTGAGAGGAGGCAAAGGAGAATGATCAAAAACCGGGAATCAGCTGCTAGATCAAGAGCTCGTAAGCAGGTGATTATTACTCTCACGTTGACTATCTTTGTCCTTTTTTTTGCGAGACGAACTATACTGAAACAATAAAATCACCAAAGATTAGGATGTTTTATCTTCCCCTGCGTATTCATTATTCATTACTTGCAGGCTTACACCTTGGAACTGGAAGCTGAAATTGAAAAGCTTAAGAAAGCGAACCAAGAATTGCAGAGAAAACAGGTATCTTTCCTTTTCCTCACATTTACGACCTGTCTCTATTTTCTGCTTCTCCCTCTCAGGTTATGATACTAAGTTTTCCCCTATGTTGCAGGCTGAATTGGTGGAAATGCAGAAGAATGAGGTAATTGTTTAAGGACTTTACTTTTTTTTTTAAATAAGTTTATTCTACCAACTCTTGACTCTGCAGCATCAGAAAAGATCAAATTTTGAAAACATAAATGGTCTAAGGATTAATAGTTTACTCACATCCAGACATTTTGTGCTTGATTGTAGGTCCGATAGTTGATTTAATGCGTGATCTCTCTGACTGGTCTTCTAACTACAATAGTTTTCAACAGTTTCTGCTTCTTGCCTGTTCTTTTTGAATAGTCCTTTTGAGTGACCTCATGCTGAATGTGATTATGCTGAATGTGATTCCTTTTGAATTGGCAGCAGAAGGAATCTTCGAAACAAGCGTGGGGCAACAAAAGGCAAGCGTTGAGAAGGACACTAACCGGTCCATGGTAAAATCAGAAGGAAGCAACAAGAACCAATCAAACCAGACACCGCTTTGCATGGGACTAATGTAATAGGAGATAGTGCTACCTGTACAGGAGATTAAGAGAAAATTTTATTGTTTGAAAATCTAGGTTACAGAGTAGGAGAAGTTTTCATTATGGATAATAATGACATATTTGTGCCCTCGCCTTCATTAGTCTAGGGTTTAGATAATCCTCTCTTCTTGTGTTTTCTGGTTTGTTGGGGTATCTAAAAGACATCGTTATTTATACATGTCCTGAGACCTGTTGTATGGATTTGAAGATTGTCTCGTCATAACTAGGGTTAAACCGCTACTGAGAGATTAACAACTAAATCATTCTTGCCTCTGTTACAAAACATATATATATCGTTTGGTGACTTGACTCAAAAAGAGAGACCGTTTGGTGGAGAGTGAGGAGAGCCAGTCTCGAGCAGAAAACTCCGGCTACAATGCGACCTTGAAGTAGTACTAGAGGAAGAAGCCAAGCCACGAATGTCACCGCTTTGGAAACCAGAGTCACCTCTCAACGACCTCCCTTTGTCTTCCTCAACCGCCATCGCAAGCCCGAGATGCAACGGATCACAGCTTTCGCACAACAGCCTCAGGACTTGCTTGATCGATGGCCTAGCCACGCCTTCTTTCTCCGTGCACCATCTCACAACCGCCACTACTGTCTCGAGCTGTTCTCCATCTATGCAGTCTTTGATTCTCGGATCCACCAGATCTATGCGTCTTGATTCTGACACCAGTAACGGCTGAGACATCTCTACCAGGTTCCTACCTTCATCCACCGCTCTTCTCCCCGTTATGATCTCTAGCAACACCACTCCGTAGCTGTACACGTCGCTCTTCTCTGTCAGTTCGTGTGTTACAACGTACTCTGGATCTACATAGCCTGAAACTCAGATTTCACGGTTTTTAGTCTTTTTGATTAACTTTTTTGCTCAACTTTTAAGATGCAAATAGGTGATGTTCCTTTGTATCCATACCTGGAGTTCCACGGATATCAGTATTAACAGGTTCGAAACAGATGGAACCATCTCTAGAAGCATGTGCAAGGCCAAAATCTGCAAGCTGCGTAGATGCGTAAAGGAAAATCAATTTTCTTATGAGTTGAAACGAATAGCCAAGTCAATGAGCCAGATATGTGATAGAGAACGCAGACACACCTTAGCAACAAATTTCTCGTCCAGTAATATGTTGCTTGACTTTATGTCTCTGTGACAGAGAGGTGGGTCACAGTAGAAATGAAGGTACTCCTGGAGGAAAAGTAGAATATTCAATCAAGAACTAAGAACAGAAATACGAACCCTACTGTATGAGTCTTATAAGAGATGTAGATGAAGGCTTTGGAAATTTACCAGAGCATTAGCCACAGCAATTGCGATCTTCATCCTTGTTGCCCAACTAATTGGAGGTTTTTCTGTGTCTGCACAGAAAGTGAAGAACAATGTTCAAGATTCTCAATCCAAGTCTATTACGTAGCAATAAAAAAACTGGAAATCATGAGCATACCATGTAGATGATCGCTCAGGCTCCCATTTGACATATACTCGTAGACAAGGAACCTGAAAATCCTCAGGTTAGATGAACAGAGGGAATCCACAGAAATGGCGAGAAACAAAACGAAGCGAAAGTGTAATAACAATTCACCTCTCCTTCTTCTTAATACAAAAGCCTTTCAAAGCAACTAAGTGGCGGTGATGCAGCCTGGCGAGAAGCTCTATCTCTCTGCAAAATTCATCTTCTGCTTGTTCGGAGCTCTTGTCCATCTTTTTCACAGCTGCAACCAACCCGTTACTGAACTCAGCCTTGTGAACAATCCCAAATCCCCCACGGCCAATCACCGTGTAGAAATCTTCAGTTGCTTTCCTCATCTCCTTGTAGCTGAATTTCCGAAAAGCCAACGAGTTACCTGCAAAAATTAACCTATAATTTAATCCAAACCCATAATCTTCTTGTAGTTGCGTTTCTTTCTTTTACGTGCTCAAAACATCTCTTGTACGTGAACACTAGAAGAACTTCGCACCTTCATGAATCATCACATTGGGGCGTGGAGAAGGAAATGTCTTTGTTGGATTACGATCCATACTCTCGGAGTCATCAAGTTCCCGTTTTTTTCTTTGGATAAGGACTATAAGGACCACGAGCATTACAACAGCAAAAACTGTAACAGCGATCCCAATAGTCGGAACCACAGTCAAGTGATACGAATGGTGACTTTTACTTGGAGACAAAACAAGATCATCGCCGCTTGGACTATCAGCTAACACTGGACTTGGAGAAGCTTCTGGGCTCAGCGACGATGGAGACGACTCTGAGAAGATATCAAGAAAATCAGAAACAGGAAGATACTAAAAATGAATATCCAGGACACACTACAATATACAGGACCATGTCTAGGAACTTTCCCTATATAGAAACAATGATAAGATTCTACACTCCATGAATGACAATTCAACACACAAAACTGTATATACCTGGAGCAACGCTAAGCTCAGCGACATTAAAGAAGCAGCTAGCGAGTTCAAGGGCCGATGAATTATCAACCCGGCTTGCTAATGCAGCATAGGTTGCATCTCGACAGGTACTCACTTTGATGCTGTTCCCTGTATCCACGAGACTACGAAGGTAGGTGATACCGGAGTTCAAACAATTCTTGCATTGATCTCCCGGTGAAAGCGGGAGTTTGCAGTCTCTAGACACTTCTCCAAACTTTGGGGACTGAAGCATTTGCGTTACAGTGGACAGACCCTCACAGTCATAGTTAACCAGAATCTTGCTCCCTAGTCCACAGAAGGCAGTTGCGTTTCTTGGGATTCCATAGAGCTCCATGGTTCTGGAGATGGTGGTGATGCATATTTCGGTCAAATCTGATGCAACTCCAAGATCTGCTGTGTGGTTAGCATAGCGAGCGACGGATACAGCAACGAAAGCGTTCATGTAGCGGCAGCATTTGCCTCTGTCGGTGTTGTTCGAGCACACGGAGGCCACGAGAGTGAAGTTAGACGAGGTCAAGTCCAATGGACAATCTGTAAACACAACTTAACAAACCAGTCTCCAATTACATTAGCCTCCGAAGCAACAAATCACATAAACAATTTCTCAAGAGTTTCCTTCTTTTAGCGAAAGATGAATCGAAATTTCCATTAGAATACAAGAAACTAATTCACCAGAAACACGGATGAACAGAAACACTTAACGAATGTTCATCGAAATTTGCAAAAACCCCAATGCCTAAAACTAAAAAAAAAAATCAAGATTAACATCAGCCATTTCTCCTAATCTAGTATCGAATTAGCAAACTCTATATACGAATCAAAGCCTTTTCAAGGAAGATTCTAAAAAGGATTAGATAAATGGTGATGGTGAGGCAAACCTGCTTCCGTTAGTAAAGGCAGCTGGATTCCAAGAAATGCGAACAAGAGAGCTAGCCTATAAACCACCATGGCCAAGAACAGAGGAGAGTAAGAGAGAAAGAGAGAGACTTTAAGAAAGGTCAATGGCTAGTCGCCTGAGAGAATGACAACAGTCGGAGTCAGTGACAATGAGACGGAGAGAGAAAGAGCAAGATTTCCCTATTTTGCCTACTTCTGATGACAATGACCAAAACCCAAAAAAATTACCCTAACTTACCGTTCTCTTACGTTTTCATCCGTAAGTTCGCTAAATTGCTTAAAACACCCATACAATTTTCAAAATGTTTTCTTCTACCGTAGAAACTTTATAAATTAAAGTTATTAATTTACCGGTTTTGAATAAAATAACCAGTATATTAATAAATAAATAAAAATAATATTTTCTTTAAAATTTACAAAAATTTATTATAAAATTAGTAACAAATAATAAAAATATTTCAATTTTAATATGAATAACATGTTAACATGTTATGGGTCTTTAATGGTGAATAACATTATAAAATGAATTCCTTTTATAATAAGGATTTTTGAGATAAAGGTTTGAGCAAAATGGACATTTGAGATGTTAATCCTAGCTCTATGATGGCAGTCAATCTGTAGAACCAAAATGTAGAAAAAAGATCTACACAAAATTCTGAATTATTCTCGTAAAAATAGATGGAGGCCAACGAGATTGAGAATATATTTTTCAACCGCGAGTAGCTAACGATTTCTTTACGAAATCCACCTCTCAATACTGAAAGCGTGTACCTGTGTAATTGGAATAGAGGTTTTGAAATTGGATCTTGATTTTGGTCAAAATTAAGACAGAAATTACCATTTAAAAAATGGTTTTTTCTATTTCTCAGTTATATAACATAACAACATGTTTATGTGGGAGGTTTCTAAATATATAACCATTGTTTTCTACTTTTGTGAAAACCAAACTTTATTTGCATGTAAAAATACATTTTTGCCTTGATATACATTCCTTTTTTTGTCGCTGCCTTTTTATACTTTAATTTTTAGTTTTTGTTATTCAAATTAAACATTTTTAATGTATTGCATGATTCAGCATAATGATTGCAATGGTTTGTTGTTTTTTAAGTTTTTCTACTCTTCCAAGTGGCTATCTCATCTCTTTGCATCGTTTGGTTTTTCATTCCATATCATCATGGCTATCTTATCTCTTCACATCATTTGGTTTTTCATTCCATATCATCATCACACAGAACACTAATTTTTTTATTTATTCGAAAGCACAATTCTAGAAAGGACGATTTTAATTAATAAACATCAATACTTTGATAATTAGATAAATGGTAACAAATAATTAATTTTAGGTAAATAATAAAGAAAAATAAATATTAATATTAAAATCTTCTTGTTATTTAGCTTAATTACAAAAATACTACTCGTCAAAAAATTATGTTAACGATATAAAATCCCAACTTTCAATATTGTTAATTACCATTATTATCAACGTTGTCATTCTTGTCTAAATTAATACTGATGATAAATTATGTTATCATTCGTGATAAATAGTATTATTATTAACATTATCATCATCATTGTTTACGTTGTCCTTATTGTTGGTGTTGCGATTACTATTATCTCTTGGTGTTGCGATTACTATTATTTCCAGCAATACGATCACGACCGTTAATACTTTTATTTACAGTTAATCGTCATTTTTGCCATTAATATTATCATTATTTTTTATTCTCTTTTTCTCCTTTTTTACTTTTTCCTTCTTCTCTTTTTCTTTCTCCTCTTTTTTTGACTTTTTCACCTTTTTAAAAAATGTAGTTAATCCAAAATTATATGAGTAAAATAGGATTTAAAACTAACTTACCATAATGAATAGTAAGTTAATGAGTGAGAACTAAATTATCAACTATTGATTACCATCCATTGATATTTCTTAAAAACAATAAGCCAATGACTATAATGTAATAAGAATAGCAAATGATTTATATCTATAGTATATACTCTATATGTAGATAACAACTTCAAAATTATGTGTCTGTTTTAATTTTTTATAAAACAAAAACTTCTGTTATTAATCTTGTTAAAAAAACATATCTCTTATGAAAGAACTCAGTTGTTAGTTAGCTAATTTTAAGGTTTTCATTCTTATTCACCGAATAAGCTAATCTTCCATTGCTTATTGTACACTACAAATACTCTCTATTGTAAAAACGACTGAGGAATATTGATAGTAAAAACCGATGGTTTGGCTCCGTTACCTCCGTATTGCTATCTAGAAATGCTAATTACGCTTCTGTAGAACACGATCTTGGGACTGGTTCGTAGATTGGAAATTACAACATATAAGATCCACCAGCATAGATTGGAGATTATTAACTGCACCTTTTTTCTTGGCAACATATTCGTCAAATATGAAATGAAAGAAATTTATCATTCTAAAAAAAACAGAAATTTATCATTCTATAATGTTATTCACCATTAAAGACCCCTAAAATGTGAACATGCGGACACCTATATATAAATTTCATATATCATATAATATGAAAGTGTATATTAAACTTTATTCAAATACCATATAAATATAAATTATTCTCCTTCATGTGAGGTTATCTTTCTATGATTGATTTAGACCCGCATAAGCGTAATTTTCAGAAAATTAAAGCACTTTAAAAATGTAGCTCAGTAGCTGGCATGCTATATATATAAGTTGATATTTTATTATACGATGATGATGACGGTCTCATTTTCATATAAGTTTTTCATTTTTGGGAGAATTTGTTTGAAAAAACAGTTATATGAAAATGAGACCTCAAAGAAAAGCGAGAAACTAAAAAAAAAAAACTTGCTTCTCTTCTGTTCTGTAGCTAATAATAACATATTTGTCTCCGAGATGCCCGCAATTCCCTCTCTTTTCTTATTTTTATGAAAAGATATATTTAGACTTAAGTTTTATATTCTCTTCTTGTTGGTTGGTCAAGGCAAATGCAAATCACCGGCTGAAAGTCTTTTGGAGTCTACAAAGTAGTTGCTTCTTCCCAAAATCCTTGGGAGGGTTTTTTCATCTTTCCAACAAAATTTTTATGGGATTTTGTAGCAAGAAAGAAGACAATGTTTCAGAGATTCACCTTCTTTCTAACAGCTCTTCTCATTCCATACGTTCTCCTTTTTAGCCCGTCCTCTGCCCTCAAGGTAACGAAATCCCAACAATTTGCCCTAAAAAAAAGAATTAATCGTATTTAAAATCGAGAGAATTCGGTTGAATTTTGTTGATCTTTGTGTTGGTTGGTAGGAAGGAGAAACATGCATCGTGAACAAGAATTGTGATCCGGGATTAAACTGCGAGTCGTGTCTCGCAAGCGATAATTTCCGACCTAGATGCTCCCGAATGCAACCCATTAACCCCACCTCCAAGGTTCCTTCTTTTTGCTTCCTTTCGTTTAAACATAATTTATATTATATTACTTTAAATATCTGATTAATCGATTGATCATTTTCATGTTTATGTGTCAAAGGTAAAAGGGTTGCCTTACAACAAATACTCGTGGTTAACAACACACAATTCGTTTGCTCGACTGGGTGCAAAATCAGGCACAGGCTCCATGATTCTTGCTCCTTCAAACCAACAAGATTCAATCACAAGCCAGCTCATTGTAAAGATTCTTCTTGTTCATCATTATCATAAACCCATTTCAAAAGTTTCATTCTTTCCTTCAACGAAATCCTTTTAAAATTCTTTTCATAAACCCATTTCAAAAGTATCATTCTTTATATTTGATTCTATCTTTGATTTTATTCTGTGGGGTTTGCAGAATGGTGTTAGAGGGTTTATGCTTGACATGTACGACTTCCAAAACGATATATGGCTTTGCCATTCTTACGGCGGCAATTGCTTCAACTATACGGCGTTCGTAAGTTCCATAGATTCACACATAAGTCGATCGGTCCGATGTGGAAAACGTTTCTGATTAGGTTTTTGGTTCGTATGTAGCAACCGGCGGTTAACATTTTAAAGGAGTTTCAAGTGTTTCTAGACAAGAACAAGGATGTGGTTGTGACACTTATCCTCGAGGACTACGTAAAATCTCCCCATGGTTTAAACAAAGTGATTGATGCATCCGGTTTACGAAATTTCATGTTTCCGGTAACAAGAATGCCTAAGAACGGAGAGGATTGGCCTACCCTCGATGACATGATAAGTCAGAACCAACGATTGCTGGTTTTCACGTCAAATCCTCATAAAGAAGCGTCCGAAGGAATAGCGTTTCTATGGAGATACATGGTGGAGAATCAATGTGAGTCTGTTCAATTACATGGCCCAAATAAATTGTTACATTGTATTATTTATTGATAGAAAATTGATATATAATGTTATGAACTTTAGATGGAAATGGAGGAATGAGAGCAGGAGTGTGTACCAATAGACCGGAATCAGCTGCTATGGGAGATAAATCGAGATCACTTGTTCTGGTAAACTATTTTCCGGATACTGCGGATTTGATTGGATCTTGTAAACAGAACTCTGCTCCTCTTCTTGAAACCATCAAGAAATGTCAAGAAGCCTCGGGACAACGCTGGCCTAACTTCATTGCAGTTGATTTCTACAAGGTATAGTTAGTATAATGTGGTCCGGTTATAATGAGATTCTATCTGGTTTAAGTAACATTTAAGTAATGTTATTATGTGTGTTTGTGGTTTAGAGAAGCGATGGTGGAGGAGCTCCAAAAGCAGTAGATGTTGCAAATGGTCATTCAGTTTGCGGCTGTGACGATATAGCCGCTTGTAAGGTTAGTATTCTATGGCTATGTAGTCACTAGCCATATGAATTTTGTATGTTATAAAAGATGTTATTTAATGTTTTATGTGTGCGTGTGTGTGCAGGAGAACATGCCGTATGGGACGTGTGAGAAGCATGAAGAGCCGAAACTAGATTCGAAACTCATGATGATTGCGAAACTTACCGCCGAAGCGACCAAAGGCCATGGTCATCCATCTACCAAACCGACCCAACTTGGGCTTTCTGTGTTTGTCGTAACCTTTGCCTCACTTCTCTCAACTTTTTGACCCTAATGGTTACTTGATACTTATATATACATGTTCCGGTTTGGTTCGCAAATGAAGAACCAATCCGGTTTAAGTCGGTATGATCAAGAGAAAGCCTATATTTTATTTTGAATAACCCAACCACACACACAAAAAATTACATTTATTCAATAAATCACAGTTGCAAATATCGAAAACATGAAGATCCATAATTACAAACAACTTGGTTTTGGCTAGAGATTACGAATCCGGTCCGGGTTAAGAGCGCCGTAAGATACAGGTGACGAAGCCTGACCGTCTAATCCTTCTTGATCCGGTTTAATCCGGTGCGGATCCTTGCCACAAGGGATATAAAAGAAAGACCTATAGTCGGGACATTTCTGTTTCCGCATGAAGAATTTAGCGCATTCCCAAGGCGTTCTCTGATTCGAAAGATCTAGAATACAGTTCATGCGAACGTCTAGAATCTTCCTCTTGATAAGTTTCCGACATTTTGGACCGACCTGCGTGAAGTAATTGAACGAGAGAGAAACGTTCTTGAGGGCTGAGAGCTCGCAGACGATCTCCGGTATGGTGCCGTAGAACTTGTTTCTAGCCAAATTCAGCTGTTCCATCTTGTCTAGGCATCCGAAAGAGTAAGGTATCGGACCGGTTAGCTGGTTTAACTCGACATCAAAAACCGTAGCTCGGTTAAGCTTCCCGATTTGGTATGGTAAACAACCGGTTAACGTGTTATTCAAGAAAAGGACTTCTTGTAAGGACTTGATGTCACCTATGCTTCCGGGAATAGGACCCGTGAATCTGCATCATATCACATGAAATTTCAAATAACACTTTAGATACTTTATATAAAATATATATTTTGTCGCATGCATAAAAAATAACAATGCAAATGTATCCTCGTGATGTCATACCAAACCTACTCTGTTTTGTTCTTGAAAAAAAAAAAGACAGAATATAATTAACTCCTTAATGAAGAATCTTGGATTAAATTTCTAACGACTAAAATCAATTGACTTTTGAAGCCCTTTTCGATTTCATTCAATAAAACTAAAGAAAGTGTGGAGCTTTTGTGACCTGTTGTTAGCAAATGAAAGGTAAAGAGCAGTGACGGATCCGAGATTATCGGGAAGTCTCTGAACAAGATTGTTGTCATTGATGAATAAGACGTCGAGATCAAGATTGAAAACCTGAGAAGGCACAGAACCTGAGAAAGAATTGAATCTGAGATCGAGAAACGTGAGATTCGTTGCTTTTAAGACAGAGCTCGGGAACTGTCCAGAGAGCTTGTTGTTGCTGAGGTCAAGCTCTAAGAGGTACTTCAAGTTGCTGACTTTTGGAACAGAGCCCACGAAATTGTTGCTGTTTGCATGGAAGATGGTGACTTCATCTAGCTTGTCGAGGAAGTTATCTAGCCGGAGTTTCTTGCCTCCCAAGTTAAATTGGTTGAACTGAATACTCGCGAGTGCGAGATTGTTCGTTCCCGGGAGCTTAGCGCACTCGAGTCCTATGTATTTTTCCCCAGCGCAAATGTCGGTGCCTACCCATGTTTTGAGTATCTTCTTTGGATCGTCTTCGATTAGGTTCTGGAAATTCTTGATGACTGGATACACTTTCTCTATTAGTGGGCTTGAGAATTGCAGCTGCGGTGGCGGTGGAGGAGGGAGTGGTTGTGGTGGCGGCGGCGGTGATGGTGCTGGAGGAGGCGGTGGTGGAGGACAGTCTTCTGGCTCCGGAGATGGATCCGGAGATGGCGCCGGAGAATTGTAATTGGGGCTTTCACCGCCGCCGATGATAATTTCGAGAGCTTTTCTGTCGGTGATGTGGCTGTTTCTGGTGGCTAGAATTGAAAGAAAGTGAAGAGACAGAATCAAGAAAATTGAGAAAGAGGAAATATTATAATTTGGGGCCATTGGTGCTAGACTAATGAAAGCTTTGAGGATTGGCGTATAGTTAGAGAAAGGTAATATAGAGAGAGTGAGCAAAAGTGAATGACATTGAGATGTTGAGAAGTCAATGCACATGTTTTCTTGTGGGCAGCTTATACAGTTTAGTTAAATCCAAAATTGAATTATTTGTTAGAATGAACAAATGTTAGTATAAAGAAATTCTATATTATAATACCAAAGGGTGGGTGGATACATGTGTAGCCTCGTTGGTGTGTCATTTTTTCCGTCAACTGTTTACTCCGTTTTATGATGATAAGGAATAATTCTAAATGATTGATTGTCTTAGTAATAGAAAAAGGGTGACATAAATTCGTAAGTGTGTGACTGGCAACATATATTATATATATAAATGTTAGGTGAATGGAACCAGAAGACTGTCCTCCGCATGATTTTGCCAACTTACCGAGTATCGTAAATTAATAGTTTTAGTAACTGGTAAATTTATTCTCACAAAGAAAAAGGGTAAAGTTTGGTTTTAAATGAAACGGATGGAATATATATTAGGATAAATAATGGTGCAAAGTATACTGTTATTTTTTGTACATTATGTCCGTTCCCTAGACCGAAATTATTGTTTACATCAACCAAACTGTAAAAAACCGGTATTACAATCAAAGAAACTAGAGTATGATCAGAGCAGCTCCATCAAGAGTATCTCATGGAATATCTAAAGATTTAATGTGATAAAAAAATAAAGAAAAAATCATAAGAGCTTTAATTTTTGAGTTTGGTAGTTACCAAAAAATTTAAATGTTTTCAAAAGTACAAAACGTTTAATGTTTTAATGTATGCTTCATCAGAAAAGCTTAACAGATGAAATCCTTTGTTTTGTTTTAACAGAGCCCAGGGTTCGAATAACTTATGTGTCAAGAAGCTGCATAAAAGCGTAACAGATGAAATCCTCAAAGACTTTTGTTTCTCCCTATGGAACTATAACATCATGCAAGGTATGTATGAAAACGTTGAAGTCGTTTCCCCAAATTTCAGAATTGGATTTCAAGATTTAACATATCAAAATGTGGAGGACAGGTCAGGTCATGCGAGGTTCTTGTGGAGTGAGTAAAGGATCAGGCTTTGTAGCGTTTTCAAAACCTAAGGAATCTTCTCAAGCTGTAAGTTTTTAGGTACACACATGTCTGCGCAAGTGCGCATAGACAATGGAGAAAAACTAGTAAGTTAAAGTCGTCTTCTTCTTCTTTCTTTATTCAGATGAAGGAGATCAATGGAGAAATGAAGATCAGGAAACAAGTTTATGCTAATCTAGCTATAGCACTTGCAAATGCAACTCCCGAACAACAGATAACGGTAAGCAGATTATTTTGTTTATGTTCTCTTTACTTTTCTTTTGTTTACGTTCTCTCTACTTTTCTAACAAATGAAATATTTTGTACAGATGCTTGGTGAGAATCTTTACCCAGTGGTGGAACAACTTGAGCCAGATTCACCAGAGAAAAGATCACAAGAATGATTCTTGAAATGGGGACCAAACCAAAGTTCCTTCACTTACTCGAATCCCTCGTTGCTCTCGAAGAAGTAGCAGAACTTTGGCTCATAATCAGTTTTTTTAGAAATTATTACTCAAAAGTGGAATTGAATTTTGGGGAACTAAAACCCCAACTACATACATGCACAACCAACAGCCCACCACCATTTTGGTTACAACAAGCCAAGTTTCTTATATATTATTCAATGTTTTACTAACTTTCAAATTGTGGGGACATCATAATTCACACATTTAGAAAAAATTTGACCCATGGCCCAATAATTCTTACCTAATCCTTTCTATGTTACATTTTTTTCTATACTATACTATTTTGAATGGTTATATATTGTAATTTTAAAAATCTTTATTGTTTTACACAAATATTAGTTATCCCAATGTAATCATACCTAGAAAAAACTTATGGCTCATACAAATTTATTTTCAAATTATGTGGTATTCAACAAAACATATCTAGTAGTAGATATTATATTATTTCGATTTAACGCGTATTTTACACGCACTGTCACTATTCAAATTATTAATTGTTTAACAAAATATATATGGTACTAGATATATACCATTTTTGTTTAATACGTGTAAAACATGCGTGATCTGAAATAGATTTTGGATAAGATTTATGAAAAATATAGTACCAATTACCTAGCTAGAGATAGGCTAGTTGTATTGTTATATAAGGGATCAACTCAATATCACATTTCTTGTATCCAATATTCCGCCGCTCTCATTGTTTAAGTCATGCGTCCTATTGTCTCTATGACCATTTCTCGTGATGGCTATTCACTGGGTGTTGCTCGTTTCCGGAGGCTTCCTCCTCCAGTTCCTCTTAGTGTAGAGACTTTGACTAAAATGCTCGGAAAGATACCTCCCGAAGCACATAGAAGTGTAATTAAAACTGATTTTAATTTTCTCATACTGTGGTTATTTTTGACATACAATTTGCTCATCTTTCTCTAATTTTAATTTCTCATTCTTTTTTTGTAGCTGCTTGGTGAGAATCTATATCCTTTGGTGGAAAAACATCAGCCATTGATGGTAGCAAAAATCACAGGAATGCTTCTTGAGTTGGACCAAACCGAATGCCTTCGCTTAATTGAATCACCCGAAGCGCTCAAACTCGCGGTCGAAGAGGCAGTTAAAGTTTTAGAGGACTGGATTCCCAAACAAAGCGCTGAGGAGCTCCGAGCCTCCTTTATCACAGCTAAGGCTAAGATGTGATGTGTAACTTTGGATTATATTTCTATGCTCTATGTTGAGTTTATAAGTCTTCATTTCTGTTTCAAATAATAATAATAATAATAAAAACTCTGATTTCTATCATTATTATATATGATGTAAGATCAATGTTTGAAGGGAAAATTATCTGAATGAAAAATAGTTTTATTATATCCAAATAAATAACAGGGGTTTTACGAGCTTCAATTGACTGGAGCAAATATTACAAAAGGGGAAACATGTTGATGATGACTCTTTTTTAACCCGATTTGGTTTTTTTTTTCCGGAAACCCAAAGCCCAAAGAATGGATTAACGTTTTTGTTCAATAAACTTATAAAAGCAAAGTAATAAAGGTTGGAATTTTTACTTTAAAAAAAAAGTTGGAATTATTATTGAAAAGTGTTTATAGGTAAAAAAAAAGTTGAAACTCTACCTTGACTAAAACTTAAATTCTATGTTTCTAATTAGTTGTAACTTTAATTACTCATGTATCCCACGTACATTATATACTTTTTAATTGAGATGTTTATGGTTAAACCGGTTTGTTTGCTTCATCTCTAAACCAAAATTTCATATTTCATATAGAGATTGGGTTTTGTTATATATCTGACGTAAATCCAAGAACGAAATAAAAAGAACTTGAGGCCATGTTAGTGCAACCGCACAAAAACCCAAGAGATGACTAACAAAAGATGCATCTTTTCAAGTTCGTTAGAAAATTGTGTGAAGTCTAAAAGAATGGCCTATCCTCTTTACAATTTAAGAAATCTAGTTTCCAAAATAAAAGCTGCTTCACAAAGGCACGTATAAAAGGACAAGTTGGTGTCAGATAACAACTTCTATAGCCATTTTGCTTCAATTTGTATCATGTTCTTGAAAAAAGTATAATTAAGCCGTAATGATCTAAGCATCAGAATTCATCATTCAAAAGTGTTTAATCAATCACAGAAACATACTGCAAAAAAAAATACCATGTATCATTAGACTGTAAGAGTTCAACACAGCTCAATATACAAAATTGTAATGGACCGGTGGTGGTTTCAAGAGCAATAACTAGAGTATTAATGAAATGGCTGAAGAAGAGAAGACATCGCTGTACGTCGGAGATCTGGAACCAAGCGTGACGGATTCATAGCTCTGTTCGTGTTTGCAGGGATTTGATCATAGGAGATCTCGTGGATATGGCCACGTAACGTTACCCTTGATTATATATGCTCGAGAGGGTAACTTTTTCCCCAAGCCACCTAGCTTTACTCATCAGGGTTTAGTTATGCACAATGCATGTTTTGTGAGATCCTTCTTTGTTCATAGGATCTTGACCAAAACCTATTTTCACCATCTTCCTATGTTCCTTGAGAGCTTAAATGGCTCAAGTAAGCCTTGCCTTCATAGATATACCTAAGCTGTTGCCACAGTAAAAAAACTTAGGCAAACACTCGCCACAAAGAAAGAGGTAGACTAGAACAAGGCCTCGAACAGAGATGAAGATAGCGTTGGCTATGCAAGCAAGGACGAGATTCTTCACCGCTCTCAGAATCGATGAATTATCAGCATGCGCCACATCGGATGCTGTGTTGGTGACTTTGGTTTGGAGCAGTAGTGAGAAAAGGTATAGTTGTTAACTTGTTAAGTGCTCTTTTAAAAGCATGAGAATGAAAAATCCCGCAAGCTAAGCTGACTCGTGATTGCACCAAACCAACCACAGACGCGTGACGATGGAAGAACAAGGTTTAGTCCACATCTCTTCCTCTAAGCGACGACGATAGACGCCGGGAATTTTGATCGGAAGTTGAGGGAGAGTAGAAGGATTCCGGCGAGAAATGAAAAGCAATTTCTCTCTCTCAATATTTTATTCCTATTATTGGTCCCTCTGTGTATTTTTTTTAATATCATCACAACCATTAACAAAAACTATTCAGAAAAAAAAAATACCTTTAACAAAAACCTAGTAACGCTTGTGATTATTTGAGTTCAGATTAGTGATGATAACTTGAGTTTTTTTTTAAAAAAAAAATATCGATTTTGTAAAGTGGAAATAGAGAAAAAAAATATATATATATCGATTTTGTAAAGTGGAAATAGAGAAAAAAAATCAAAAATGGAAATCGAAAAGGTATCGTTATGGCGCCATTTTCCAATTTATATATTAAGGAAATTTTGATTTTGGTTTGTTCAAAAAAAAAAAAAAAGGAAATTTTGATTTTGGTAATGCTGACCACCTCTCTCTATACAATATTATACATTGTTTTGTATTCTATCGTGCTATTACTTTAACAAAACAAATAACTCTCAGAAAAGCCCACAACTGGCCCAGTTACATTCTGCGTCCTCTATCTTCATCCTCGCCTCCCCCTCATTCACCGGCGGCTGAAATTCCTTAAACCCGAGAGGATAAAGGAGAGGGTTTTTTTTTAATCGATTCGATGGTGATGGCCAATCTTCCAACGGAAATGGTGGACGAGATTCTCTGTAGAACTCCGTTGACGTCTACGAGAGCAGTGCGATCTAGTTGCCAAAAATGGAACACCATATCTAAAGATGTGACCTTTAAGAAGAAGCACCTCGCTAAATCCGCAGCAGCAGCAGCTAGGGAAGGGGAGTTTCTGGCGATCATGATGCGAAATTATAATCTTTATCTAAAGAGCGTCAATCTCCGTGGAATCTACCAAGGTCGTGATCCATCTGTAGAGCAGAGAGAGAAACTTATCAGCCTCGACGATTCAGAGAAAGTCGAGATATCTCGAGTATTTCACTGCGGAGGCTTAGTCTTATGCACCACAAAACACTACGACAGGCTCGTGGTGTGGAACCCGTACTCGGGGGAAACTCGGTGGATCTGCGTCAAACCAAGATCTCCTGACCACAGACTGGTCTGGTATGGTCATGCTCTGGGATACGACAAGAGCAAACCTGGGCTTACCCATAAAGTCTTGAGATATGCTCAGCCCATAAAGGCGGAGGAAACTCTGCACGAGATATACGATCTGAACTCTGGTTCATGGAGGGCTCTCGATGTCAGTCCAGACTGGATGATTGCGTACTATAACTATGGCGTGTCTTTGAAGGGAGATACGTACTGGTTTGCTCACGATAGGCGGTCACGAATGATCGCCCCTAATTTCTTGATCTGTTTTGACTTCACAGCAGAGTGTTTTGGACCGCGTCTGCCTCTGCCGTTTGAGACTTATATGGAGGATACTGTGATGCTATCCAGCGCTAGAGAAGAGCAACTTGCGGCGTTGTTTCAGCCCTGGGATACATTCCTGGTGGAGGTTTGGGTTACGACCAAGATTGCGCACAATGCCGTGTCCTGGAGCAAGCTCTTAGAGTTTGATATGGAACGAGTAGGAGCAGTTTCTCTGTTTTCTCTCAGTGGAAGTTTCCTCATCGACGAGGAGAGGAAGGCAGTGGTTGTTTGTGATAAAGATAATGATCCAGCATTCCCCACTCGCGAGACAGCTCACATCATTGGAGAAAAGGGATACTATCGAGAAGTAGTTCTCGGTCATTCAGAAGAGGTTCTCGGCCCTCGAGAAATAGCTCTTGGAATAGGGGATGCAGACACTTTGCTGTTTGCGTGCTCCTATGTTCCAAGTACGGTGCAACTTGCATGACAACCAAAGCTGGCTTCTTCTCTAGAAAGATGCAAAACCAAAAGTTTCAAAAAGTTAATAATTTTGGAGTACAACTGAAAGGAAAGTTTAAAAACAGAAACTATATATATGTTTGACCCAAGTTGCCAAACCAAGTTTGTTTGGGAACGGTCTTAAAAAACTAGTTATTTGTTAAACCACCAAGCATTCTCTCAAAATCTAAAACATTCTCAAGAACCTGATGTCTTCATCGAGGTCAGAATAGCACGTAGTCCATCATTTCACCCACATCCATCCATTAGGGAAAGGTTGGTGAGAGTTCACATGCGGTGGCTGCAAAACATAGGGCTTTGGGAAGACCTACCGCTGCGCCTGGTGCAGCTATAATTTTCACAATCACTGAGCTACACATATCCTCAGCTTTATGCATCCACAGCACGCGCTACAGCTAGCCCAAAAACTCATGGCTCACGCAATTTTATAGTTACTAATATTACCAAACTCGATTAATTTTACACATATCTAAAGATATATAACTATCTAACTACATCGTGCCACATAAATATATAACAAAGTTATAATGTACTATAAGATATTTATTATTCTTAAAACATGCAGTGTTAAAACACGATAAAATTGCATTATTCAAATTATGTAGTATATAACAAAAAATATGTGATAATAGATATCATACCATTTTTATCAAACGCGTAATTTACACGCACGGTTATTATTCAAATTATATGATATATAACAAAATATAGATATCATACCATTTTTATCAAACGCGTAATTTACACGCACGGTTATTATTCAAATTATATGATATATAACAATATATATAGATCTCATACCATTTTTATCAAACGCGTAATTTACACGTACGGTTATTATTCAAATTATATGATATTTCAAAAAACATATGTGATAGTAAATGTATACCATTTTTGTTTAATACGTGTAAAACATGCGTAGGTTAAAATAGATTTTGGATAAGATTTATGAAAAATGTAGTGCCAATTACCTAGCTAGAGATAGGCTAGTTGTTTTGTTATATAAGAGATCAACCAAATATCATATTTCTTGTATCCAATATTCCGCCGCTCTCATTGTTTAAGTCATGCGTCCTCTTGTCTCTGTGAACGTTTCTTGTGATCGCGATTCACTTTCTTGTGGTCGTGATTCACTTGCTGCTATGCGTTCCCGGCGCCTTGCTGGTCTTAATGTAGCGGCTATGACTAAAGCGCTCGAGAACGTACCTCACGAAGAAAGAAAAAATGTAAGTAAAACTGATTTTTTTTTTTTTAATGCTATGGTTAGTTTTGAGATACAAATTGCTTATCTAATTCTTTAACTTTAATTTCTCTTCTTCATTTTTAGGTGATTGGTGGGTTTATATATCATTTGGTGGACATGCAGCAGCCATTTTATGCTTCAGGAAAAATCACAGGAATGCTTCTTGAGTTGGACGAAGCCGAACTCTTTCGCTTAGTCGAATCACCCGAAGCCCTCAAACTCAAGGTCCAAGAGGCAGTTGATGTTTTAGGGGATTGGATTCCCGAACAGGAGAAGCTACTAGTGCAAGAAGCTATGGACCTCCAAGTCTTCTTCCCGCCTAAGTCCAAGATTTGATTTGTTTCTTTGGATCTTATTTATGCTCTATGTTGAGTTTTAAAAATCCTCATTTCTGTTTCGAAATAAAGAAAAAACTGTGATTTTATCATTATTGTTAATGTAAGATCAATGTTTTTAAGGGAAAATTGTCAAAATCAGAAATTGTTATGCTATGTCCAAATACTACAAAGGGGGGGGGGGGGGGGGGGGGGGGAAACATGTCGATGATGACTCTATTTAATCCGATTTGCTTATATAAAAATAAATTTCATTAGTTCATATGAATAAAACGCATATCACTAGCGCTGTAGAATGAACGCATATTGACGCGTCGAGAGGTCGGACGTATTTCTGAGCGACAGATTTGATTCCTTAAAAGTCTCAGATTAAGGATAAGAGATGGACAGATGTCGACCTCTGACACTGATGATTGGATAAGACTAAATTTCCTTGATTCCTTTGTAATCGAGAATATACTAAATTGTACTTAAACATTAGATTTGGATTTAACGAAAGAAAATACAAACTTTACACTTGCGAGTGTGTATTTTAGACCTCAGTTGATTTTTTTTCCTACGACATAATTTGATGCACTAAAAAAAAAGGTGGCAAAAGATCACTATTGTTTTTACAAAGGCCCATTCTATGATAAAAAAATAAACCCATCAGTTTATAAAAAATATCAAATCAAAACTTAACTAGACCAAAACGCATACATCACACACTCTTATGAAAGTTGATTAGCTAAGTTTTAAACATTTAACACTACAGTCTTACAAAATATTTTGGAAGTTAGAAGAACCATAAAATAACATTACTCAAGCAAGGAGTTGTTTATGAAATTAACTCTTGTTCAAAAACTATGAATCGCTTTTCTTCTCTCGAAACTACCACCGCCCTTAATGCTTAAGCCATGCATCTTCTCATGATATCTTTTTAAACTTTTTCCTCAACGTGATTCATTTTGTATAATTTTATCAATGTATGAGTTGTAGTTGTAGGCAACATCCAATTTTTTTTAATGAGTTGTAATTGTAGGCAGCATCAGAATCGTTTTTTATGTTTTTCTCATTGTCTCTATATTCAAATTTGACAAATCACTCATTAAAATAAGTAATTAGCTCTCTGAAATTGAAATGCACAAACAAATTTAAAGATAAACCAACCATAGAGAAACAACACAAGAGATTACCCATCTTTTTCCTCTTTGCAACCTATAGGTTTCAATGTTATGAGATTTATTTGCTAACTTTTTTTATTTTTGGTGTTAATTAAAGAGAAAGTTCTGCTAACTTACTGCTGTAGGATCTAGTTAGATACATATAAAATGTAAATTAGATATGCCTTCATAAAAAAAAAAACATAACTAGATAATGTTGACAAAATCTCTTTCATGTATTTGGATTTATTTTTGAAAATTACAAAAAGCATTGAGATTAAGTGTCTGACTGGTATATCAGATAAATAACAGAATAGCGGAATAACTGAAAAATTATTAGCGGAATAAACTGAACTGAATAATATTTTAACTGAATAATTGTGAAACGTTGAAAAGCTACTTTTAGTAGATTAATCACGTTTTGTTTTTTCTAGTTATATTTTTAACATGCTAGCGGAATCACGTTTCAAAAACATAAAAAAACGTGAAAACGAGATGAATAACATAAATAGTAAAAAATAACAGAATCAAGTTTCTAAAACGTAAAAATGTGAAAAAGCTGCATACCATTCAAACCCTAAGTAATTAATGTGAAATTGTTGTTATTCAGTTTCTTAATGCAAAAGAGAAGGAAAAGAAAAAGGTATTTATAGCAGATGTTCAAAAACCCTAAATCGCGTTTCGTCTCCCAAATCTGCCGCCGCCATCACTGATCCTGGTATTGCTCAAACCCTGTCTCTTTCACGTGATTTGTTCTACTACTCTCCCTTTCGCTGATCCATTTGACCCAATCGTGTTTTTGTATATCATAGTTTCAAGCATTTCGATCTCTGTAGCGAAGTTTTTTTTTTTGCCGGTTCATCAGTTTTCTTGCGATTGAAACCGTTATCTAGTTTCGTCATCGAAAGTTGAAGAATCGTGTTTAGTTAGGCTTATATACGCATGGCTTCAATCACAAAATTCGATTTTTGTTTCCTTGTTTTACAGTAATGGATTCTAGTTACTCTGATTCTCGTCCCATGTTCGTGCAATCGCCTTATGGTGGATGGAACCAAACCCAGATGACTGATTCAATGGCTAATCCGATGAGCAGCGAACAAGTCGACTTGCATTCACAATCTGATACACAGTCGCAGTCGCAATCTCAGCCTTCGTTGAAAAGGCCAAGACTTTCCGATGACAACTTGTTCAATCCGGCCACGTCTTTTCCTCCGACGAGTAACAACAATCCTTGGATGGTTCCGCCGTTAAACCACCCTCCTGTGAACAAAGGGACGGCCAATATCTTCTACAAGACGAGAATGTGTGCGAAGTTCAAGTCAGGGACTTGTAGGAACGGAGAGCTTTGCAATTTTGCGCATGGAATGGAGGATCTCAGGCAACCTCCATCGAATTGGCAGGAGATTGTTGGACCTCCGGTTCAAGACAGGGACAGGGAGAGGGAGAGAGACAGAGAAAGGGAAAGACCGTCTTCTGTGTCTGCTGGGAATAATAACTGGGAAGATGATCAAAAGATCATTTTGAGGATGAAGCTTTGCAGGAAGTTTTGTTTCGGGGAGGAGTGTCCTTATGGGGAGAGGTGCAACTTCATTCACGAGGATCTGTCCAAGTTTCGTGAGCAGGAGGGGAAACTGAGGGAGAGCTCGGTTATAAGCGTTGGTACTAGTGCTGCTGATACACCATCTGCTGAGAATGGTGCTGCTTCAAGTCAAATTGATGTAAATAGACAAGGAGGCATCCCTGTACCCGCACCTATCAACAATGGCGGTGGTGTCAAGACTCTGTACTGGAAGACGAGGTTGTGTATGAAGTTTGAGACGAGTCAATGTCCTTTTGGCGATAAATGCCACTTTGCTCATGGCCAAGCAGGTATTCTTCTTTGCTACTGTGTATTGATACTTGTTGGATTGTGTGATGTTTTGATTTGTGATTTGGTTGTTGATTATACGGAATGGGCAGAGTTGCATAACTCTATTGGAAAGGTTGAAGGAGAAGCTGCGAACGGAGTAGCGTCTGTGAGTAAACAAACGGTGGTATCTGCAAACGAAGCATATGCGATGAAACCGAGTGCACAAGTAACAGCAGATTCTTCTGGCCTCAACGATGAAGTGAGGAGAAAGAAGTGTTTGCTCAAGTGGAGCGACTCCAAGAAGATTAACCGAATCTATGGAGATTGGATCGATGATTTACCGGTGGGTCAAAAGTCGACAAAACCAGTAGAGAGCTGAGTCTTCTTCTACTCTGGCTCCGTTTGTCTTTTGTCTCTGAATGATCAAAGGTGATAATAAAGCTTTGGTCGACAATTTTGAACAGTAGAATAAATCTTGTACCTGGTTTCTTCATAATCAATTCTTTGATTCGCTATGTTCTGGCTATAGAACATACACTAGCTTAGGATTTCCCTTTCGGTTTAATCTTTGATTACTCAAGTGGCCTGGTTCACTAATAGCTTCGTCATCTTCATTTTTCTATAATATTTTTTTGATCAATTAGTATATTGAAGTGTCTTACACCATTACCCATTGGAACAACCAATTGTTAAAACTGATTAGTGGAATATTTACCAGATCAACCAACAATTTAACCGATTCACCCATACAGTAAACTTGATATCATTAATGATGCTTGATTAAATTTGGTCTCATATGGAGCAATTAAGAAAAAAAAAAATGAATTCTTGTGGTTTAGGTTCATCGAATGCAAATAATAATGCAGAATAAATTCATTAAACAAATCATAAAAAGTCTTTGTGCCAAATACCAACAAAACGGATCATTGTGGTTTCTATCACTACAAAACAATTAAGAAATATTTCATTCTAACAACGGCTGAAAGTGGAAATCATAATTTGATTATATCTTTTGATAGTTTTTATAATCCTAGCTTTAATCTTTTTATAGACATCACAGAAATTATATGGACCCCCAAAAAATTAAATATATTTCGTAACGTCTCCTTTACTATTCCCCACTTCTCCAATCTCCGTTCCATTTTGTGAACTTTTTTGATATTTTAATTTTGTGTTCTTTTCAGCATGACATGATGGGTAATTAAAGAAGTGTAGTAGTAAAAACTGTCGGTGGAGAGGCTGGAGAGCATTTGGAATCCTATGGCCCTCAAAAAGAATTAAAAACAAAGTAATACTTGTCTTGTTAGTGACTTGGTGGATTGTTTAACCATGATTAGTTTTATATATCTTTTTCTTTTCTCACAAATAATGAAAGTAGGTAGAATCGATTTTTAGGCCAAACATTTTTCATATATTTCGACCAACGCTTTCTATATATGGTTGATCAATGATCAGAATTGTTGAAAATTATAACGTTAGAAATGATTACTTTTTTTCTGTTTGGCATCCGTTGGAATTGTTTGTTTATGATAATCTAAAAATATAATATATACTTGTTAGAAACTTAAAAAAAAAGGGGGGGGGGGAAAAGATGGTAGTGCAAAAGAAAGAAAACCACGAAAAGAAGAGATGGCAAAAGTAATTAACAAAGAAATAAGCTACAAGACAAAATGTCACTATCATTAGGTAGCGCTAAAATGTCTTGTGAGCTTAATTTAACGTCTTAATTAATTTGCAAATACTCTTTTTAATGTTTGCTCTCCCTGTCAATAAAGGGTATATATTATTTATGCAAACAAAATGATGGTTAAGTGTTGAAATTGGTATTATTAATGGGGTCGAATTTTCTTCGATCGTTGATTCTTAGTAAAAAAGATGAAAAATAGTGATTTTAAAACAGTTTCATCATAAAAACTTTGTACCATAATTTCAGCAAACCTAATACTGTAGTTTATTAACGCTTCTAGTTACTTTAGTGCTTATTTATGAGTTGAAACGTAAACAATTAATATCACAGTCACATAGTCGTCACTTGATGCCTCTCTCTCTCTCTCTACCTCTCTACCTTATTTTACTTGTAAAGAGTCATCTCTCTTGTTCTTGTTCTTGTTCTTCTTCTATTGTTGTCGCAGAGATTAATCAGAAACTTGTTCAAGCTGGGAACTACATCAGACTATGTAAGAATCTTGCATCCAAACCTTCCTTTGATAATTTATGTTTTTGGGTCTTGTTCTTTTATTATTCTCAGTCGCATGTAAAGTTTATGCTCTAATCCCTTTTAAATGTGTTGTAGAAGAGAATATCACAGAAGAAATGTATGCAAACCAATGGCGATCGAAGAAGAAGGTAGAATCTGCAGCAGAAACACTCCAAGTTCCTTCTAGAAGAATCATCGGAGCACAGGTAAAGAAACTTTTGCAGAAGTAGTCAAAATTTGCTCTAAATGTTCTCTGTTTTCTTGAGCAAAACTTGATCGTTATCACCTCATGTTCTGTCTTATGTATTGCTTTTAAACTTCAATAGCTTACTAAATGTCTTTTTATGTGATGATTTTGATTTTGGTATTTAGGCACGCACGGTTCCTCCAGGAAATGGAATTAGACCCGAGAGAGCTCGAAAAAGTCTAAACGAGAAGCTAGAAACTGTAGCCATAAACTCTCCCAAGAAAGATCCAAGTGTGACTCTTTATGGTGAAAAAGGTGTAGCAGATGAGATTTTCCTGGAACATGAAGAAATGGGTCTTGAAATCGGGTTGGGGAATGGAGTTTCATCTCCTTTTTGTGGTGTATCGGATAAGCTTCTGCAGCGAATCGAGCTTCTTGGAAGAGATCATGAGGCAAAGAGACTCGATAACAACAATTTCAGGTCAAGTGAAACCAAGAAAGAGAGACAAGAAGGATCTGCAGATGATGCATTAAATGAGATGAAGAGTAAGATTCTAACTCTAGCCACAGAAAACTCTCAGCTTAAGAAGTCTCTTGCGGCGAAAGAAGATCTCGCGGTGAGTCTACAAGAGCGTAAATTTCAGGTGGAATCAGAATTCGAAGCGTTGATGAATAGGTTAGATTCGACAGAGAAAGAAAACGCGTTCTTGAGGTACGAGTATACTGTTCTTGAGAAGGATCTTGAGGTAAAAACAGAGGAAACAGAGTATACTCGCAAGTCTATGGAGTTGACCCATAAACAGCAACTCAGGAACGTGAACAAGATTGTGGAGCTTGAAGCTGAGTGCCAAAGGCTAAGACTTCTGTTTCGGAAGAAGTTCCCGGAGAAGTCTATATCGATGAGGAATGAAGGTGAAGAAAGGAAGATGGAGATGAAAAGAAGAAACGCTAATAAGAGCGATATGATGATGAGAGACGAAGTTCAGAGCCGGAAGCTTAAGTATGATCTTCTGATGGAGCAGATTGGGAATGTTAGGGCAGAGAACAAGAACCTGATGGACATAATTATGAGGAAAAACATGGAGATCAAAGATCTTAGCCGAGGGCAGAAACCGTTGGAGGCTTCAAGCTTCGACATTAGAAGTGAAAATAGCGTGATTAGCCCTTCTGGTTCGAAGGAGATGAAGTTCCTGATGGATGATTTTAATGAGATGGAGAAGTTAGCCATTGTTTGTACTGAGAAAGATCCAAGAGAGGATGATGAAAAGGAAGGGTCTTTCGACTGGATTCAAGTTGTTTTGAGCGCTATATCGAAGCAAGAGAGGATATCGAAACGAGGTGTTAAAGAACTGTTACAGGACCTCAAGATCGCTTTAGGATGTATGGATGATGATGCAGAGACCAAAAAATCCGAAGGAGGTCCTCTCTGCATCACATGGAACTCTCCAATGACAAAGGATGAGATCAAGAGACATTTGGGTCTAACGACAGCTGAAAAGGTTGAGAAAATTGAGTGTGATGAGAGGCAAGAACTGAGAGACAAGCTTGAGGAATCAGAGGAGAAGGTCAGAAACTTAGAGGTAGAGATCAAAGCGTTGAGAGAGAGTAAGGAAACGGTAGAGGCCGAGGCTGAAACGGAAAAATCGATGAAGGAAGATCTTGAAACAAAGCTGAACGTAACCGAAGCTAAGCTCAACGAGACACAGAAGAAGTTGTCTTCTCTTGAAGTAGAACTTGATTACAGAAAGAGTTGTTGTGAAGAACTTGAAGGAACTTGCATCGAGCTTCAGCTTCAGTTAGAAAGGTAAGTAAAACCACAAACCACATCTAAAAGTTCCCAACCTTACTTCCTTTTCTAATAGAAAACTCATCACGTTTTTATGAGTTTTTGCAGTGTTGAAACGAAGAAACCGACGCAGAGAAACAAAAACGTGAGTAGACAAAACCTGAGTTCACAGACTTTTAAATATCAAAATTTTGTGTTTGATGATTGAGTTATGTTTTGCAGGGATGTGATATAGCAGCAGCTTCTGTGAAATTATCAGAGTGTCAAGAAACGATTACAAATCTACGGAGGCAAATAAGAGCGTTATCTACAACAGCAACCAGCAGCAAAGTGAAGTTTTTACACAGAAGATCTTCTCTCCGAGACAATATAGAAGACTCAACAGCTAAAGATTCATCCTACAAAGCAGATGATGATAACAACAGAGATACTCATGGTGGTAATGATAATGATAAAAACTACAATGCCTTGATCGTATACGAGCCAGTGAAAGCAAAAGGTGAGAAAATGGAGATGGTTACAAGAAAGAAGCAAGGATTAGGGCTCTTGAAGAAACTGTTGTTCAGGAGGAAAAGAGTGAGCAGCAAGAAATGTCTTGCCTTGACAATGTGATAAAAGGGTTTTTGTATCTATCAGGTCTTTTGTTTGTGTGTGTGGTATGTAATGGGGTGAATAGTGAGGTGATTGTGGGTATGTTTGTTTGTCTCTCTGAGATGTGATGAGTATAATTAGACTCTTTTCTGATTTAATATAATAAAACAGGTTGTGTTCAATCCACGTAACTCGCTGAGTTTGAGGTCATATTCAGTTGAACTAACTTGTTAATCAGTTTTTGAAGTTAATGTCTTTTATGTTGACTACTTTATTGGGCCGATGATACTAAGCTACGATCCATGTCTAAGCCCAAGCCCAATTTGTAATGATACAACAATCTATGCATGTTTCATCCAAACTGCATTGAATCTTTGTAAATTTTGAGTTTTTGACCATGTCGACGATCCATGTCTAAGCCCAAGCCCAATTTGTAATGAAACGATCAATGCATGTTTCGTCCAAACTGCATTGAATCTTTGTGAATTTTGAGTGTTTGACCATGTAGACGAATTAATGATTCATCATAACCATAAAGTATTTTTTGGGACCATTAAACAGTGTGTAATTGAAATGTTAAAACCCTTTCAACGAGAAAAAGAAACACCATAAAGAAGACAATGGAAGTAGAAGAAAAAAACACTACAAAGAAGATATATTGACAAGAGCTCCACATAAAGTAGAAAATACTATAATGACATATCATTAGAAACTTGGCACCCAATAGGTCGATACCAAAATTGTTTAATATAATAAGTTATTATTATAACCTGTTATTATATTGGAATGCAAAAAGTTGAGTCACCTTTAGACTAAAAAAGGAAAACGAAAGGATAACTTTAAGACTTTAAAGGCTTTTAGCATATCTTCCATTTGCTTTTTAACAACTTTTCTCAACTCAAAAGGCCAATCAATTAGAAGAGAAATCATTTACATACAGAAAAAAAAAATCAATATTATACCACAAAAACCTAATTAATATGGTCATCAAATCTTTTGTATATATTTTTTTTCTTCACATCTTTTCAACAAATACACACAAAAATGACCACGGACCGTATTTTCTTTTTCTTTTCCTTCTAATTAAAAAAAAAATACAAAAGTCTAAGAAAAAATAATTACTATGAAACAAAAACAAAAAAAAAAATGATAAAATCAAAAGGGGACCACTTCGCTGCAACCGAAATCATCGGAGTTAGCGAAGGAGTAGTCAGGCCATGAGTCTCTGAGAAGCTTCAGAAGCTTCTGTGCCTTCTTCTTCGCCCTCTCCGTACACTCGCTCTGCACCATCAGCAGCAACTGAACCACCACTCCCGCCGCCGCCGCCTCATCTCTCCACCGTTCCTCCGCCGTGCAAAGCGCTAGCAGCGCCCCCGCCGCGTACTCCGTCGCACGATCCGACACTCTCAGGATCGTTTTCACAAGAAGCGGCACCGTCAAAGCGTGCTCACCAAACGCCGCGCATCCCTCAGGCAATCGGCAGAGGAGCTCCACCGTCGCTAGAGCACGCTCCGTATCGCATCTGTCGAAATCCGCCGCGAGTCGGTCGATTAGAATCTCCGGCGCACCGGCGGAGACGGCGATGTGGCGCGTGTTTTTCGCTAGGCAGAGCGCGAACAAGGCTTTGATTCCGATTTTTAGAGCTCGTCGTGGGTATGATGAAACCGGATTCCTTAGAAGATCGAGAACTCCTTCGAAAACGGATTCCGAATTCGAAATCATTCCTTTCAGATCAGCCGATTTCGATCCCGTCAACACCATCTCGATCAACGCGGCGGCGTTAACGCGTGTTTCGATAGAGGAATCAAACAGCAACCGGGTCAAAAACTCGACCCGGCTCGAATCCGACGCGATCGAAACGCACTGATCAGGTTCCGTCATCGGCAACATAACCAGAAGAGCGAGCGATTCGGAGACCAACTCAGAAGACGGCGGAGAGTCGACGGCGAACAAAATTCTGATCAAAATCTCTTTAGCGTTATGCGCAGCTATCAAAACGCGGTTCTTCTCGGAATCGCGAGCGAATCCACGGAGACGGCGGAGAGCGGCGGAGCGCGAGCGAACAGAGACGTGAGTTCCAGAAGTCGCGGAGGCTTGGCTAAGGAGAGCTCGAACGGAGGTAGGATCGGCGGGTTGCTTAGGAGTAGGGATTCGCTCGACGCCACTGGAGCGATTAGCGACGCACCATTCCTGGATGAGACGGCGGAGAGTGTGGTTGGGAATGAGAGTGAAGTCGGAGAGAGGAGCGCGTGTGACTGGGCAGGTGGTGTTGTTACCGATGGAGACCCATGACTCGATGCTGGCTCGGTCGTAGGTTTGACCGGTGCAGACGGTGACTGGGTCACGCATCAGCTCGAGTGAGATGGGACACCTGAAATGGTACGGAATCTGGATTCCTAGATCCAGCGGCTCTAAACTCCTCGGCATTTAAACGATCGGGAAAACGAATTTTCGAATATAGTAAAACTCAGAGATAGAGAGAGAGAGAGACTGCAAAGTCTGAGGTAGAAGAAGAAGAAGAAGAAAAGGTAGATTGTTGTGAGTGTATGAGGAACGACCTTATCTGGCTATGAGCCCACACGTGTGCCATTTATAACTCTGTAAAACTGCTGGAATTTTTGATTAAATAAATATAGCAAAACTCTTTATGTTAAATTAGTATAATTGAACATTATTAGATGCCATCTACGTAATATATTTCTTGTTGGGGAAAAGTCGCATATTAGAAGTGAAGTTGAAGATTTCAGGGTTGAACCAAAAATAAAAGAAGTGAAGTTGAAGATTTTATGTAAATGATGGTATACAATTCTACATCTTGCTATGATTATCTTACAAGTATATATATATATATATATCTTCTATTTATTTTATTTTTGTCAACAGTATCTTCTATTTTTACTTCCAAACATTACAGTCACATATAATACCAAGTTATACTGATTTGTAATAGATGTAATGCTTAATTTCAATTTAATAAACAAAACATGGTTAATTTTCGTTGACAACCAAAAAAGAGTATCATATACTTTACTGCGTGGATACATACCATTACCAATGAAAATAATATAAACAGTACAATTTTTTTTTAAATAGAAAATATTCGTTTCTCAAGTTCTCCATAATATACAAGCTTAAACGCATCAGGTTCGATATATCTACACAAATCACAACAATTATGAAGAATCATGACATTGAAACTTTTTTCAGTCGCAAGCTTCAAGTTACGATCGCTTTTAATCACTGCCCAGTACCCACAACCACCAAAACATTGATGTGTATATATCATATAAATCAGATCTAGATTTATCTGTGTGTTGTAGATTTTGTTTTTATAAATAATGGAATTTGGTCAAACTAAATCAGTGAATTGCGAAAGATTAGGAACGAAGAGGGGCCTACAAGACAACTTCCACTTACTTGTGTTAACATCAAAGCCCCATACTTAAAACTACAACCAAATCTAAAAGCTTGACTTTTTTTTACTTTTACGGCAAAAACTTTGACTCGTTATGATTCAGGGGCATTACTAAAGAAAACCATTTCTTTTTGCACGCACCTTTCAATGCTTTCATTTTCTTTCTAAACAATTGGCTCCGATTAGTACGTAATCTTTTACCTCAAAAATGGCTCCGATTTATATAATTGAATTTACGTTGTTTTAAATAATTCTTAATATGGTTTTGATGTATGGTGTTTTATTCTATTTTCGCTATTGTCATATACTGCATATATGTTTTCAAATCTTATATGGTCTCTATTTTTGTAAATCGTTTTCATACTTTTAAATGTTATTGATTTTTGATTTTATGCAACTTCAAAATATTATTTATTTTGTCTATCTCCGTTTGTTTATTGATCTTTTTGTTTCTCCATTATTGAACATTATACTTGTGAAACTTCGAAAGTAACAAGAATACATAATCCTAGAAAACTAACGACAAAATTTGTCATAGATTAGCTGGTCTATAGTCTTCGATTCATCTGAGTCAAAAACTAGTTACTAGTTTGTAACTTTTAGCTCGTCCACTTTAAACATTGATCGATAAGTCAATGACTATATGTTTTAGTAGCCAAGACTATAAACTATAGATCGATTTTGATATGGCGCTTGAAAATGTAGACTTTACACAATTATCTCATTCAAGAAATATAAACATTCAAAGTAGTGAAATTTAAGATAAGTTAATGTGTTGGCGTTAAGTAGGATCCAAACTTCAACGATAACTTTTTCTAGACTTTTGACAAAGTTGTCGTCTACAAAATTTACTGATGTCAATTTAAATGAAATAGCTAGCAAAATTTACATTTTATAACAAAATCTTATTTTACACAACACAATGTGTAGATACTCTTTACGGAGAGAAATGTGTATATAATTGGATTTTAGTTTAGTATTAAAAAAATATTGTCGATGGAGGGATCTGTTATCTAAAAGAAATGATCGACCGAAGACAGACATTCTACGACAAATACATCGAAATCAAAATAAATTCGAAAGGTGGACTTGGACCTTAATATTTCTTATTTATTTCTTCTGGTTTTCATTTTTGTTTCTTTTATAAATGAAAGTGTTGAACAAACAAAAGGCAAGAATCTGCATGTCACTGCATTGTCCTCATGGGAACAACTAAGAAGCCTTTTATGTGTATTTTTTTTGTCTAATGCTTTGGCAGTCTTATGCCTTGTTCAATCGGTGAAACAAAGAATTTCTTACCGCAAAATAAAAATTTAAACTAAAAATATGATTGTTTTGAGATATGAAAAATAAGTACGTTGTATTAATCGGCTTATGGTAATTCAGTGGTTAAATGATGTATCATAGAGTTAGGGATTAGGGAGTTTTTGCGCTTCGATTTCAATATAAACGATCAGCAACTGTAAATGCTTTGAATGGTTTTACATATAGTGGAGATTAAATTGAGTTTTGGTTTGGAACTTTCTAGTTATATAACAAGTATAATTAATTAATAGGGTGGGCGCGGATCGGATATCCGGGATTTTTTTAGTATCTGTGGTTTGCTTCGTTTTTAACAGATATTTAATTTTATGATTTGATTTGCTCCGGAAATATACGGATATCCGGTTTTTCGAATATCCGGAAAATTTACAAGTATTTGCGGATATTTGCGGATATTTACGAATATTTATGAATATTTAGTTTGATCCGTTTAATATACACAAAACTGAAAGTACATCAATTTTTATTATAAAAAAAATTTCATCTAAACTATTAAGTGAAAATAACTAAAAGAAAATATTT